TTTAATAAAGTACGGAGTCGTCAATCTCGATACGTTGTGTACTGATCTCTCGGAATGGTCTACACTCTACCTTGCCGGGAGGCTACAAAAGCCGGTGAAAATACTGAGAGATGATCCCCGAGTGCGTTTGGCGAACCAAGTCAACCTTCTGTCAGCCCTCAGAACTGCTTTGCTGCTTCTTCCACCAAATTTTACCGAGGAGGAATTATACGGCACAATTGCGGGCATTAGCTATATGGGTGATCCGAGGATGGCTCTTCCCACTGAAGATAAATCAAAAGTTGCCAATATTGTCGGGAACAATCTTCCCAACTTCAGACGACTGTATGCGCCTTTGATCGAAAATCTCCCGAATGTTGGATTCAATGACTCAAAGTGTACCAGTCCTGACTGGGCACTTGATCCTACTCTGAATGCTAGATTGACCCAAGACATGAGTCCTATAAAACGAGGGAACATGGTCCGTCGACTTCCAAAATTTTTCCGCTCTAAGCTCTACTTCCAGTACCAGAAGAAGTATCAGATCCCTCAGCTGGAATTTAACAAGATGCTAGAAGCTTCCAGTGACGAAAGCGGAACACGAATCAACCGTAGAGAGGGTGGCGGATTCGAGCAGCGAATAGCAAGTGAGCCCCCAGAGGAGCTCCGTGGGGAGATTAGGGGTGTGATCAAAAGCACAGTCAGTTGGCCAAGTACGAGTCAGAGTCTCAAGGGACCAGTCACCGCTGGTGCAGCTAGAACGTGGAGATATATGAAAGAGAAGGTCGAAAAGTACCGCGAGGGAAAGGAAAAGGATCGAATAAAGAAGCTGGAAAAGGAAAGCGAAAAGAAAGATTAAAAAAGATACCCACGAATTGAAAGCTGAAAATTAGACGTTTCTTCAATCGAGATGGAGAGTTGTGAGTTCGCGCTCAGGAATGCTTTGTACACCGTAGAATTGTAGGTCAGTTCATATTGTTTGTGTATCGCTCTGCTGAAGATGTCTGTTTTCGCTGTTGTTTGAATCTTTTGAATATATGATTTAGCTCTCCTGCATAGCGTGACAGAGAAGCAAGGCTCCTTCGTTCACGTTGCAATTGTTGGTTTCTGGGTTTGGGTTTGGTGAGAACATTTCATCTGCTTCCTAACCTCTGGAGATGTACTAGCGGTACTCATGATCGTCGTCGTCGAGTTCTCGCTTAGCTAGTCTAATTATGCGTAGTACTATGCCAATCTGACCTCTTTCGGAAGTTGTGTCTAAAGTTGCGCATGGTTCAACTTGTGGATCTATGTACTTTATGTTGCTCATATATTCGCCCCAAAAGTGCATCAAAGGCTTAAGCTTCTGTATAGTAAAAGTGATAAACACTTTTCGCGTAGATCTCCACCCAAACTAAGGGAGCCAAATCCATACATCTCAACCATTAAATCCAAACACCTTTAAGTTGATTTGCAATTATAGCGCTGGCTTTTCTATCGATCACCTAGGTATTAAATTTCATTCAACACTCAACCACAGTTAAATATCAATATCCCTTGGATCAACACGAATCACCTCGCCAGTATTTGTGGTCAGCGCAAGCCCGCTCGTGCGATAACGATGATTGTGTTGCTTTTGATGTAGTAAAAACTATCGTGCATAAGCTATACGAAACCAAATAGTGGTTTGAGTATATTATACGGATTGATGAGGAAAACTTACAAGAATAGATCCACTGTTACAACTTGGTATACCTGCTTTTTTCTTCGTCAAGCTTGTTGTACAGAGGGATTGGTGCGACAATTGAGACAACACGTAGTGTGGGGTCTTGGATGATGTTAATGAATTGTGTTCTGGCTGATCTGGACGCGTAGGAAATGAGAAGAGGTGGGCGGTAAAACCAAAATGAACTTGAAGTTAAGTTCAGCCGGCCTGTTCGAAGATATAATGTGGACTATTATAGTACGCTTTGAGTTGAAGGTAGGCACTTTCGTCCTAACAGTTTTCGAACGAGGGTCAATAATTTCTTATTTGCTGGAACGGTGGAAGAATACGATATTTTGTCACCTTGATCGAATGAACACCGTTTTCATCTCAAGAGCAATCGACAGGATTTCAAACACCACATTTTCGGAAGATAGGAGTCAATATGTACGATATTTTATCATTTTTCTGAGTGAATATTATCATTCGACAGCTATTTGGAGGGTTCACCGCAATCCCTTCGAACTCAACCCTCTTAAGCGAAGGTCAGAATAAACTGCGAATCGAATTTTCCTCAAAACACCAAAAATACAACTACGCATATCAAGCTCTTTTCCGTGGCCGCAATCGGACGTTCAGTGGTGGCTTACTCCATAACACGTACACCTTCTGACGGTCCCAATTTAGTGATTCAGCTGGTAATTCCATGTCAAAGTTACAGATCAGACGGGCGATGATTGAACGCATTTCTGAGTATGCCAGATTCTACACCATGTTCGTTAGCCATCTTGAGTTCTGAGCTTACGCTTAGACGTTAGTTTAGTCACCTTTCCAATACAACCTCGCGAACCCATAGCAAACGGCTGCGATGCAGCAAGCTTGTCGTTTCCATATCTCTCAAGGAATTCCTCGCCCATAGAACTTCGGTCCAGCCAACGCTCTGGCAAAAATTTTAGGGGATCTGTGAAGTTGTGTGTTGATCTTGAGGCACTGAGTTGATGTACGCCTACGCTTGTCTACCGAGACTTGTCATTAATTCCAAATCACGGAAATAGTTTGAGCAGCAAGCTTACTTCTCCTTGTACAAACTGTCCATCTATTACCATTCCCTCTTTCGCAACCATTCGCGGCATGTTACTCGGTACTGGGGGATACAAGCGAAGTGTCTCTTCGATACAGGCTTGTAAGTAGGGTAGTTCGGCTACTGCTGCAAAATCCATAACAGGCGAGGAAGCGAAACGTTCCCATATCTCTTTTTGGAGGATTAATAGACATCGCGGATTGGAGAGAATGTGAAAAATGAATCCGCTAAGTGTTGTAGCGGTGCTTTCGCTCCCGGCGATGATGAGTGAAGCAGCATTTGCGATCATTTCTTTTTCGGACATGCCTTTTTCATCGTTATGACGCATTATCACTCTGAAGTTATGAGTTAGTATATATCCGAATCCACCTATTCATCTGTCATAAACGAGCACTCACGCAGTGAAATCCCTCCTATCAGTCTCCAACGCCAACCTCGCAATCGTCTTATCCCGAATGAAACCCCTATGCTTCGCTCTAATCCTCACAATAGCAGGGATCCTCTGCAAAATCTCGTACAGCAAATCACCAATCGGCCCCGGCAAGTACGCCTTCGCCGTCCTAATAATCACCCCGAGTTTGAAGCTCCTGAAAATCGTCGACATCCACCAGTGGTACTCGCCATTCTCCATGGCGTAAAATGGTTCACCGAAGACGAGATCGCCTATGATATCGAAAGAAGCGAAATTTAGCCAGGCGGCCATGTCGAGGGTGTCTTTCGTTTCGAGCTCTTGCTGGAGACGGGAGATGAGGAGGTCGCAGTAGCTTAGGATTATGGGTTCTTGGTCCCGCAGGGCGGAGTCGGAAAATGCGTGGATGATGAGCTTTTTCATGCGTGCGTGGTTTACTTCATTGGAGGCTTTTTGTTTTGTTAGTATCAGAAACCTATTTCTGGTTTACATTAATGTACCAATGATATCCGAAGCCTTCGCCGGGTCAACGAAGAAGAATCTTGGATCTCGCTCTAGATCTTTGTGACCTTTGCGATGTCCATAGATATCTACAATTCATCTTATAAGCTATTATTACCTAGTTAAAAGATCTCGAGCGAGTGACATACCCCGCCATGCTTGAGCACTGCTGAATGAGAGATCTCTCGGTGTGATACGGACGACTGATCCATACTTCTCATGCAATGCTAACGTTTTAGCTGCTGAGTTTCCGGTACAAACATCGTAGTACGCCGGCCAGCTCGAGGCTCCATACATCCATGGCCCTGGATATTTCGCTAGTGGATGAGAGGTGACATTGTATATCGCTTTTGCAATAATGAAAAGCAAGAACTGAATTGATTAGTACATCAGTATTTTTGGGATTCAATACCTCCGTCGTGACTTACGAGAAGCGCAAAATTAGGTATTGCCCTGATAAAAAGCATCAAAACCACGTGCATAGTGATAAATTCGGACGTTCGCTGTTCCCAGGTTTGCCCAACCAAACTTGGAGCCCTAGAAACCATCACTATTCAACTATGTCAATTATTGTGACCCCTCCATGTCAGCGACATGCAATGCAACGAACGCACCGTCGTGCTCGTGGAGCAATCCTTCATCTCCGGAGACTTTAGATGCTTCCGGCGGCGACTTTCTGGGAAAATCAGCACATGTGTGATGAGAGTGGGCGAGTAAAGGGTTCGCGATAAGGTGGTCACGGAAGTGATATGATCGGTCGATTGATCGGCTGGAAGGAGAATGAAGGCTGACTTGAAGGATTGATGGTGGGTAAGAAAGTTGTGAGATTTACGTGGGGAAATTAAGCGAGGACTGGCTGGGTGGGAGGACAAACAGTTGGTGACGGCTGCTAGATCTGTCGAGGTGGGAGCCGGTAAATTGACGAAAAATATTTTGGAACTAGTGGTAATTGTTGATATATACAAATCAGAAAATAGTTACGGAACAAAGAAGTTTGTCTCCCCTTTTCTCGATCCTCTTAAGCGAGGAATCCTAAAGCATCACAGCAACGAATAGATGAGCTTTCAAAAGGTCAAAATTACAAAGTATCAGTGTATCAAAATTAATTCTAAAATTCATGTCACACATCTAAACCATTCAACTATCCATCTTTCCTAAACTCTGCATTCTGACCATATCAAAATACAATCCCCTCTTCGACAGCAGCTCTGAATGAGTCCCCTGTTCCGCAACCCTACCCCTGTCGATAACAATGATCACATCGGCTCTTTGGATCGTAGAAAGTCTATGGGCGACTGCTATAGTGGTTCGGCCACGCATAGCTTTGTCAAGGGCTGCTTGCACGCTTTTCTCGCTCTCGGTGTCGAGTGCACTAGTTGCTTCGTCAAGAAGAAGTATTTGAGGATCTCTTATCAAAGCTCGAGCTATTGCGAGCCGTTGCTTTTGGCCACCGCTTAAGAGGACTCCTTTTGTGCCTACCGACGTGCTGAATCCGTCACTTAAAATTGTTAGCTTAAACACACTCAACGAAAGCGCTCCAGAGGCTCGCTTACGGCAAAGACATAATGAGATCGTAGATATCAGCATCTTTACATGCCTGTACGATTGAATCATCGTCAATATCATCTCGATCGGTGCCTAGAAGTATATTCTCTCGCACTGTCCCTTGATATAATGTCGGCTCTTGGCTGACTAGGGCTAGTATGTTGCGATATTGGGTAAGATGTAGACTCGATATGTCCTTGTCATCGATGATGATTCCACCCTCAACTATCAAAGAGGACGAGATTAGAATTGCAGAATACTGTTTGTTAAGAGATAAATTCTAACAAGATATTTGAATGATTCAAAGAAAAGAACTCGACTGGTAGGTGAAAGAGATGAAAAAATGTATGAAAGAGCTCACCTGGGTCGTAAAATCGTTCAAGCAGCGCCAATATCGTGCTCTTACCACAACCACTCGCTCCCACTAGAGCTATATACTGGCCGCGCATGACTTTAAAACTAAGACCCTGAAGGACTCTAACATCCGAACGAGGAGAATAAGAAAAGTGGACATTGCGGAATTCGAGATTTCCAACAACTTTCCCCAGAGGTGCTCCCAGCTGAGTGCTAAAGTGGATTCTGGGTTCCCGGTCAAACAGTATCTTCAGTTCTACAGCAGCATTCTTAGCCTTACCAAGCTCGGGTGCAAATGCAAGAACACGACCCGCGGATTGGATCGTAAAAATGAGTGCATTGTAGCAGAGATAGAACTCGAACATGCCGATTTCTCCATTTGAAATGAGATGACCTCCGTACCAAAAGCCCAAAGCCATACAGAGGTATGGAAAAGCTTGTGATAAGGCGTACAAATTAGCGGATTTCAATGTTGTAGCTAGAGCGAGTCTTTGTTCTTCGACCAGTGTCTCGTGATACAGCTTTAGAACATCCTTCTCTCGGGTTAAAGATGCTATCGTTCGTATGGCAGATGTAGCTTCTGCTGCAAAACTTGCAGACAACGCGTATGCTTTCTTTGAACGCTTCGCAAGTTCGGCTGCGATCCAAAATCGGTAGAATCCAGAGGCAAGTAAGACCGGAATCGTCGCTCCGCAGACCAGACCAAGTTTCCAGCTTATGGCGAGACTGAGCGCAAGAGCCGAGATAATTGTTGAAAGAACGTTGAGGATTGCGCCTAGTGTCGAGCCGCTGAAGCCAGATAAGCTGGCCGGTTGAGTTGCCAGAAAGCTCGTCAACGAACCCACGGTGTGTTCGTCTTGATCGAAAAATGAGACGTCTTGTTTTATGATATCGCGAAATGCCCTACTCGCAACGCGAGAAGTCAATTTCGATGAGCCATAACCTAAAGCCACACCTTGTATGAGGAAGTTGATGAAAGCAACCACAGCGAGCATGAAGTACATCCATGACCAAAAATTGATGTCGCTACGAAGTTCGGCAAATTGCGCAGGTGGTAATGCTAATGAAGAGACAGACTTCGCGAAGAATAGTGACTGGGTGGGATAAGTTCCACCAGCGAGAATTGAGAATATCAAGCCAATCAGCATAATGGGCCATTCTGGGGTGTTGAATGCTGCAAATGTGGCAAGTAGTGTCCAGGACGAACAAGCGTTTCGACTTTCATCACCAGATGGACTTGAAGTGGTGGCGGTTGCGAATTCCGTTGTATCATCATCCCTATTGATTGGCTTCGCGTAGGCAATGTCTTCATCTTTGCTCTTTCCTTCCTCAGGATCTTCGTTACTTCCTGGGCCTGACATTTCCTGCGCCTGAACGAGAGCGTAGTAAGCCGCTTTCTTTTCGAGCAAGTCGTCGTGGGTTCCTTGCTCAACAATACGTCCACCAGACATCACAACTATTTTATCTGCATTCTTTATGGTAGACAGTCGATGTGCAATGATAATTGTTGTTCTTCCTTTCGCTGCAGCATTAAGAGCGACTTGAACAACTTCTTCTGATTTTGTGTCCAGCGCTGATGTCGCTTCGTCTAACAATAGGATCTTAGGGTCGGAGACCACTGCACGACTGATCGCTATGCGTTGTTTCTCACCACCAGACATCAGAAGACCTCGCTGTCCAACTTGTGTTTGATAACCATCGGGAAGTGCTAATATGAAATCGTGAATATTAGCAGTTTTTGCCGCTTTGAAGATCATCTGCTCCTGGATGTCTTGACTGCTCATCTCATAAGGGGTGCCAATCAAGCCATGTCGGATGTTCTCGTAGATTGTGGTTCCAAATAGAACTGGCTGTGTTGCGATGTTAGCTCTTCATGTTGAGAATAGCAAAATTATACCCATGAAACAGTATGTCTCAGAAGAAAGGAAAGAAAACTATTAGGTAATCTAAAAGATGAAATTTCAAGTTAAGAGAGACAATCACCTCTTGGCTCACGAGTGCAAGCTGCTGTCGCATCCATTTCAAGTTCAACTTCGAAACGTCATAGCCATCAAGTAGGATTCTTCCTCTGATTGGTTCGTAAAACCTCTCAACTAGCCCAACTATGGTGCTCTTGCCTGATCCTGAATTTCCTACAAGAGCTGTCGTTTTCCCAGCTTCAAACGCAAGACTGAAGTCTTCCATGACGCAAACATCGGGACGAGAAGGATAAACGTGTCCTATATTTTGTAATTTTAGTTGTCCCTCTACATGGTCAAGTGTAACTCCATCCTCTGCTTCATGATTCATGGGCGAAATCCGGTCAATTGTACTGAAGATCTTTTTCGCCGCTGGAAGAGCGACCGCGAAGGCCTTTGGCAAAGATTAGATTTATTTTGGGATCAGAAGAGTCTTGACGTACCTGAAAATTAGCTGCAATATTGACAAGAGCGAATGAACCTAGCACAATAGCGAGCACTGTTGTGAGTAGTCTTGCTAGATTGATTTCGGAATTAACGAGAAAGCGTGACCCTTGCCAGAATGCTAGTGCCTGTTTTCATTATCAGCAAAAAGTCCCTCTATTAGTCTTTGAGGCAATGGCCGGATATTCTCACATAAGTAAGCTCAACAATTGCAATACAAGTTGCCAACAACCCAGATATTGCAATACCCAGTCCAAAGCCGGCCTTCTCAGACTTGATCAGAAATTTATCGTACTGTTTGGCTAATTTTTCTTGAGTATTGAAAGCGATGGCGTTCCTAATGGAGCTGATCACTTCGTCAGAAACTGCGGCTGCCGAGGCATTGGCAAGAATCATTCGAACACTATATTTCTTCGCCACAATCGAAGTTAGTATTAGACTGAAGAGAACCGCAAACAATGTTGCAGTGAGTATAAGAGTTAATTCTACTGTACTTTAGCTCATGTTCGGTTTCGGAGAGGGTGGAAGACGGACTCCAATACATCACGAATCCAATCACAAAAGCAGCAACAAAAGTTGCCAAACCTGTCATTGTAAAACCAACTTTCTCTGAAATGCCATCCTGAACGAGACTCAAATCCGAGGTTATACGATTGATTACTTCCCCGGTCCCCAGAGTGTCGAAGAAGGCAATATTCTGGCGCATGATTGCTGACAAGTACTCTTCTCTTATTCTCTGGGTGACATGTGTGCCAGTCCAGATGAATCCGAAAGTTGCGGTAGAAATGAACACATATTCGCCGATCGCAATATACACGAGGTATAAAGTTTTAGTGACTAGATCGTCGTTAAAGACATTTCTCTGAACAGCTGATAAGACTGTGAAGCTTTGGAAACTTTGAGCAAGGGAACCAAAAACAACCTGATACAATTAGTAAAGATAGCTATAATTTGCAGCTCATTCACTTACACTCATCAGAGGTAATATTGCCCCACCAGCGATAGCACAAAGACTGCTGACAGAAAATACAACCAAGTCTTTCCTCGTCGCATATCGGAAGAACGTTGCCAATCCGATTTTGACATCGGGTACGTTTACTTGAAGATTGAGGATACCTTCCTCTTCTTCATTCAAACGTCTGGTGTCAACGGGCAGTTGTTTGGCTTCGTTTACGTCGCTCTTATTGGAAGATATTTCATTCGCAGCCTTGTCGTGATCACTCTTCCCAAGCGGGTCCATTTCTCTCATTGAAGAGGCCATGTGCAAGATGTGGCATGAGAGTCACAAACTTGTTCTCATCGGTATTGTTCGAGGTGCGCCACTGCGGCGGTGTTTATTCCAACAAACGAGTTGGATCTGACTTTACAACGATCAGCATGTCCAAATCCAGACAACAATCGTTTGGTTAGATGATTTTTGCTGCATCGTTTCACGTTTCGTGAGTTCCGTGAAAGAATAATGAAGACAATTGGTCGGGATGATTGATGGGAAAGATGTTGAAAGTCGCCGGAAGGGGGATTTAATCTCCCCATTTTCCCGCTTCCCCGTGATCTCACTGCTGACAACAAACATTTTGGGTAATTTAATTGGCTTCATTTGAAAAGAACGAAATTCAAAGAGAAAATCTAGTTATTTTGCATGTCATCTATTTTGGAAGTAATATTATGTTCCCGATTCTCAATTACTCAGTTCCACAAGAACATCTTCATGGTGAATCCTTTTCCACTGAGAAGCGAAAAGTGCTATAGGCGATGAAACATCTATCCGGTCCCCATATTATCTTTTCATCTCTCTGCCATTCTGGATGATTGATAGCATCAGTCCAGTCCTGTGTCTGAATGCTAACGCCACCAAATCTTGGAGTATCACCTCCACCTTGCGATTTCTTGAGGGGTATTGCGCCTATAGGCCTCGGTCAGTGGTGGGAAACCAATCGACAAATTGTTGAGATAGAATTAAGGAGTAGTTAAGGAACATGTAAGATGAAGTTATGAAGTGAACGTACCATCTGTCTCATTCCATGTAACAACCTGCAAAGCCTCTTGATCCGAATAAAGATCCAGCTTAATGCCAGAATGTTCCGATTTGAGACTAGCAACAGGTTTATGATCTTTACCCCAAGGTTGCGATCGAGTGGTCAGGAAAGTGTTGTCAAGTCCTCTCACAATTTCCGTCCCTTTTTTGCCGTCCTGGTCCATCACGACACCAAGTGGTCTTGGTTTCGACCAAAAGTCAAATGCAGAGTCTTTCTTATTACCCAAAATATCTCCAGTTGGTATCTTGTCCTCATCAATACCTAGACGAAGTCCAGCATATGGCAACGATAGCATGTGGTTCTCCACCGTTCGAGTCGAATTCTCCACAAAGCCGTCTAAGTTCCAGAAAACCTGATGGCTCAAATCCATCGGACCGGCTTCTTTCATCGGAGTCGATCCATAGGACATATGCCACGCAAATGGTGTAACGGTATGGGTTAAACTTGCTCCAGCAACGCCTGGAAATCCATTTGCGCCCCGATCGTATATGAAGAAAGTGAGTGTGTCTTTCGTATGAACTGCCACATCTAGTCTAATATTCCCCCATCCTCTCTTTCCGCCGTTGAGAGTGACTGGCTTGTCAGGATTTTTGCCGTTATTCGAAGTTTTCCACCGTTTTCCGTTGAGCTCGAAGCTTGCGCCGCTGATCATGCCCGCGTATCGACCTATAAGTATGCGGTTAAATAACTTTCCAAAAGTTCTTTGCAGGAAAGTGACTTACCCAGCGCTCCACCAACTCTGCCTTCATATTCTGCGTATTGCGTAGCATTGTCTAGTCCCATCACAATATCTATTTCCTTGCCGTGCTTATCATTGATCCAGAAATTGGCTAGAGCACCACCATTGTTCGTAAAGGCAAGTCTAATTCCCTCTGCTTGAATCACGTATTTTCCTTCTTCATTGGGTGTATGGAGAGCTGTGATGATAACAAACGGATTTCCTCCAACCCATAAGTATCTCACAAAAGTCTTTAAAACATGAAACACTCTCATATTTTCTTCTGTAAATCAGAATGTCCAATGACGAAATGTATAAGCCTCTCGTATCCAACCGAAAGGTCGTTGAACTGGATGAAGTTAATCTAGCTCAAACTTGCGAACGTTGTAATGGAAACGGGACTTCCCACTAGGCGGCCGGAAGTTCTACCTTGCCTCTTTCATGCATCAAAGCTACCACTTACTTGAAGGAGGCTGCTCGATATCTCGCACTTCTGGCAGCTGTTCGCTAGTCTACTCGCCGCCGGCGGCTTCGCATTTAACCACCGGAATTAGAGAAACGGCGACTTCCAAATTTTTGGCCGTATACATTTGATCAACCAAAGATTTACACCATGCGTGGTATCACCGAACATCTCGGAACCCTAGGTTGATGCAACAAGTACATATTTGTGTTGAATAATATATAAGAATAAATCTCCGCTAATATTAGCTGCACAATGCCACAATCGTTCAAAAGGATTCGCTTGGCGGCTATGTCGAAGTAAAAAGCATCGTGATAGAAACCGCCTCGAAACTTGTGTGCCATTCAACACAGCTACTGCGAAGATTTTGCTTATACAGACTTTTCAGGCCCAACCTGTGTCTCTTCTTGCTGGACTATGGTTTAAGCTCTAGCCGGTTTCTCTGAACTGAATGCCCGGATTTGGTCAAGCACTCAAGCGATCGTTTCAAATGAAGATTTCCATTAGCCTGAGTGGCATTCTTGTTAGAAATCTACGGTATTGCTCAAGCTCTTGTTCGTTGCATGTTCATATCCACTCCATTCAGTCCTAACCAAAGATCACTCAGTTGAAAGTATGTGCGTCAATTGCTTCTCCTTCTTGGATATCTCCAACAAAATATCATGAGCTGCTGTGATTACTGGGCTATTGAAATTGGAATCTGCTGAACCTTCTTTGCTACGGTCGACAAGCTCAAAATCTTCGGCAAGATGCTGATCGTGCAGCCGAAGGTCTTTATGCATGGGGAAGCTGGTGTCAAAGGTCTTCCGAAGTTGCTCCAACATCTGCTTAATAACGTGTAAGAGGGTACCAACATACAACTTAGACGTCGCCGTCATTTTGAAGGATCCGAGATTGAGAGAAGGTGACAGGCTGGGTGCTGATACATCCTGCTTATCATTGGAATCACGAGATAGCGTTAAGAAGTTGACAAGCTTTTCGTACTCTATCAGCAAGCTCGAATAAGTAGCGAAAATCAACAGGGTTGTAACAATGTTGGGCTTGTAACCGTAGTCTTTCCTCGGAGCTTGTACGTTAAGGTTCGCCGATTCGTTACATCCCAGTATATCTCCTGCAATGCCGGACTCAACGGAACTTGAAATATCCTGCAGCGGGAGACCCAAGGCAGCCGGTGGCATCGCAGCTATAAGAATATCTATAAGCCTTTGTGTGATACTGAGAATCATGCCTAGATTCGAGATGGCTGCATTCCCTGGATTCAATCCGCTTTCATCGAGTGAGTTCCGCACTGCATGCTCTGATGGCGAGTATGAGTCTCCACCTTGATCATCGGAAGCAAACTGGTAAAGATCGGATTGCAGCTGTAGCAACTGAATCGTGCATCTCTTAGACAAATCCTTCGCAGATATCGAGATCTGCTCTTGAGGCAACTTACTCAGACTTGAGTTTAAGTTGCTGGCATTTGAGAAGAATTTCCAATCATCAGCTTTGGAAGAATTCAATGTATGCGGATTCGGTAGGGTGCGTACTGAACTGTCACTGATCTGGAGACAATCCTTGGTTGAGAGATCAGTAAGATCTTGGAGGGGTAATGTGCTGTCAAAGGGTAAATGCATCGTGTAGTCCAGGTCCAATCCAATATTCGGCCAACTCGCATGTAGCCACGGTTCGCATATTCCGTTCGTCGGGTCTGCCAAAAATATCCTTTAGTATCATGTAGACTTATCAAAATCGGTATGAAGATTTCCTACCTTCTATTTGGACTGCCTGTGAGATTGTAGTCGTAATATTAGAAGTAGATGAAGAACACGGAGTATTTGTCTCATTGTCGGATTCCAAAAGAGGGACGTCGTTTGTAACTGATGAGTTTCGGCTCTTTCTCTTTCGTCTCTTCCTGGATTCATCGGTGCCGCCAACTCTGTGGTCTTCGAAAGATGTGTTGAAGTTCACTTCTTTCTCCTTGGGCCGACCCATTGGTAAAGATGGGCTATAAATGCAAACATTGCCAAGCCGACAACACCTTTCACATTCATGACAGCCATTAGCTCTTGCACATCGACTCTTGGTCTCGTGGCATCTATCACAAGATAATCGCAAGTTACGGCTGGAACTTCCACGTTGGCGTTCGCGAGATGTCATTCTAGCGTTGACTTGATACTTAAAGAAGATTGCTATCACGGATGCCACTAGATGATGGGGAACCTCAAGGTTGCCATATGGCATTGTTCTAGTGAAAGCTTGACAGAACCCCCTCTTCATTGTGCCGCATTGTGCCACAATTCAACCTCACAACTAACCTCTTATCAAATGCAAGCAGGGTCCTCTCAGGCTCTCTTCGTGGGAGCGGCCACTGCATGACATCTGACAAGCCTCAAACTGCCTCCGTAAATAGTCAGTAGCCTTATTGTGGATTGTCTCTTAAAAGACACGCCGACGAAGGTGAAGAAATATAAATGGTGAAAGATATGAGAATGTTCAGACAAATTAAAGCGCTTGTCTCGCACGCCTGGAATATTGCAACAAGATACTCGCACCTGCAATAACTTTGCCCACTCAAATCTTGCAAATAATCACGGGTAAATCCTGATGCGACGACTGAGCGATCCCACATAACCTGATTCGTCACTCAGCTTGAAAAGTGTTGCAATATCATGGAGGAGGCGTATATCATACCGAGTATAGGTATGCAGATTGCGACAGTAAATTCACACCGAGTCCTTGGTTGCAGAATATTAGTTCCCCCACACGTCCCGCACCCACCTTGACAAGCGAAATATTCTCAGCAGAAAGGTGAAAATACCACAATATCAATGTAAGAGTGTTTACCAACATGAGCTCGTTCATGTATGCAGTCAGATTGGGGGCTCACGACAGGAACTCTGGGGTTTTTACGTGGGGTATCAGCAGTTCTACGCCGCACAAGAACATCCCCTCAGTAAGCTCTACGAGCACATAAGAAAAAGGCGGGTTTCTAGATCAATTGAGATAGAGAACACCGGCGACTTCCATGTGTTCTCTCAATCGCCGATGCAGCGCAATAGGTAGTGGCGTAGGGATGGTAAAACCTGGCCAAGTACCAAGGCATATCCGAAGAATAAACCAAAGCTATGTCCGGATTTAGAGCACACCTTCACAGCGACTTCCCACTCGCTCAAAGCTTATCCATGGATTCTCTTCCAAAGACACAGACAGCGATTATCGCACTTGATGATGGTAATCTGAAGGTTGTGGAAAATGTAACTCTGCCCACATTGGAAGATGATATGGTCTTGGTGCGGAACATATTCGTTGGGCTTAATCCAGTGGATACTAAGATGGTTGGCCATCTCGCGGTTCCAGGGGCAATTGCTGGCACAGACTATGCTGGGTATGTAGTTGCCATCGGTAACAACGCTCAATGCCCAGGTCTCAAGATCGGAGATCGTGTAGCAGGCGGTAAGTATTCAATTACTCAAGCAATGAGAGCAAGGCCACTGATTCTTTTACAAGCTGTCCAACCTTGCAACCCATTGCTGCCTTCAGTTGGTGCATTCACGCAATATGTCGGGGCTACTGGGTTTGTGACAATGAAAATGCCAGATGAAATGTCGTTTGAAGAAGCCGCAACAATGGGAAGTGGTATTGGTACCATGGGGCTGGCACTATTTCGTTCACTTGGAGTCCCCGGATATCCAGGAGAGCCTGCATTGAAACCGAAGCATGTTCTTGTGTACGGAGGAAGTTCCGCGACAGGGACAATGGCTATCCAGCTGCTCAGACTGTAAGAAAACGCAATCTCCTTTCAAAATGTTTGGCGATCCGTAGCATAATCGTTTGCTCAGGTAAATGATTTGAAGGCTTTTGATATCCATAGTTGGTCAAGGTGATGCAGCTGACCTTGATTCAAGTTCCGGATTGATACCCATTGCAACGTGCTCCGAAAAGAACTTCGCACTCACAACTTCGTACGGCGCCGAAAAGGTCTTTGACTATCACTTGCCTTCGTGTGCAGAAGACATCAAAGCGTTTACAAAGAACTCGCTAAAGTATGTGATGGACTGCATCTCTGAGCCGGAGACAATGGAATTTTGCTACCGATGTATTGGAAGAGCTGGCGGGAAGTACACTGCACTTGAGCCGTATCCCACCTGGCTAGACAACAAAAAGACTGTCAAAGCAGACTGGGTGTTTGGTCCGATGATGCTGGGCAAGAAGATTGGTTGGCCTGTCCCCTTCGAAAGAGAGGCGGACGACGAGGTTCGAGACTTTTCGATCAAATGGTTTGAAACCGCAAGGAAGCTCCTCCAGGATGGCAAAATCAAAGCACATCCATTAAGAAGCATGTCGGGTAGCTTTCAAGGGGTCATTGATGGTATGGATTCCTTACGAAAGAAGGAGATATCTGGCGTGAAGTTGGTATATCGAGTGGCGTCAGAATAGCGGCTAGGTGTAGGGAATACTACTGGTTCTTTCATATTGACAGCGATTCGATCGTCGAGCAATTTGTTTCATTTAGAAGCGGGTTTCATGTGGCTTCTTTCATCTTCCAGCTAGGGATCGAAGCAACGACTCTTCGAGGAAAGTTGACTTAATCGCTTTTCGGGCATCATGAATGTTTATATTGCGATATAGGTGGTATGGTCGAGATGCTCGTCGGTTCAGTCGTATAAGTTGGTGGTGTAGGTAGTCGGGTATGAGGCGGTGGGGGCAAAGAGATTATTATCATCATATTTACTCCACACGAGGATTCCGGGGGTGTAGCTAGTGAAGACGCGTTGAATTTCCATGGGGAGACGCGATTGACATGATAGAGATTTATGTTTATTACTAGGGACACCTAAGGCTAATTGCCCTCGGAATCATCTCGGTAGCCCCGTAGACGTTACATGAGAAGTGGCTATCGAGACACGACATCTTCAATCAAGTTGACAGAATATCGTTTATATTTTCGTAAATGTTCCGTAAATAGGACCTCTTTCAAATTATAACTCGCCACTAGAGCCTTACTTTGCGAACTACAGCTCTATAGTAATGAATTAGTAAAGCCGATTCCGCCCACCTACCCTTAACTGCTGATCATGTCACTCTCTTGACATACATAGCACATAACGAAAATAGACCAAGTCTATGAGCGCTCCAGATCGAAATCACGAAGGCTGAAATAAATGAGTGCAGAATGTTTTTGCGATGACCCGGTTCATCCACCACAGTTGGGCTTTCGCTGTCGCGTGCATTAAGCGTGCACGCTCTTCGCTGAGTCCCTCTCTTCACTCGATACGAGTAAGTCATTTACACGTTGCTATTCTCGGGAGCTGACCATTCCTTAGATCAATTATCGAGGCTCTTACCAATCAATATGTCAATATCAAGGGCGTTTGCGTTCAGCTCGCTTGAAACGCCGTTGCTCATAGGATTTGTTCTTGTTCGTTTGCTAGGTACCTATCCGCCTCCGGCTGGCATCCGTCCGGCGGCGACTTCAATGGGAACTGGGGGAGCTATCGACAAGGGCGTGTTAACTCTAGCCCGTTCTCATTCCCTGAGGAAGCTCTTGAAAATGCTATTGGCCTTGAATATCCCAGGTACGATGATGCACAGTTCGTGCATTCATCATTTTGCTTAGTTCTCACTTAAATCCATTTCGATCAATCTTGAACTTCCACTAATTCAATCTAAAATAGACTATATCCGCATCTAACTCCATTCGAATCAGTGTCCAACTTGCAAATTATAGGTGCTCATGATGGCTTCTTACTTGCAAGAACCCATTGCTATTGTCGGAAGCGGGTGTCGTTTCCCAGGAGAAGCTAACACGCCCTCAAAACTCTGGGAACTTCTTAAGAGCCCTCGAGATGTATCTGCTCCAATTCCTGCAAGTAGATTCAACATTGATCGTTTCTATCACCCTAAAGGCTCCCATCACGGGACTACTAATGTTAAGGGCGCGTATTTTCTATCTGGTGATCCACGCCATTTTGATGCTCCATTCTTCAATGTATTACCTTCAGGTTAGTTATAGAACACAATTTTTTTCTCTCCAATTTAATCTAGCCGGCTGTTATTCGTTACCACCAAGCACCTAAAGACGCTCGCGTTCCTCGTTTTTAGGGACATGGTGCAATAAGTTATAAATACATAATGCTGATTAAAGGATAGAGGCGGATTCGATGGATCCACAGCATAGGATGTTGTTAGAGGTGTGCTACGAGGCATCCGAATCGGCTGGTATTACCTTGTCAAACCTACAGGGATCTGATACTGCTGTCTTCATCGGATTGATGGGCTATGATTATTGCGGAATTGCTAGTCGAGATCCAAATTACATACCAACATACCTAGCTTCTGGGACTGCTAACAGCAATGCTGCTGCTCGTATTTCATAGTGAGTCAATATTTGATTTATCCGTTGATCAGATTTGGCTCTGCCGTCAAAGTGACGACTCTTTCGTCATGAAATTTTCAATGAAATACAAAAATACTTTGGATAACCAGGGCAAATTATCTTGACTTTTCTTCGCTGACTCTTCAAATGTATAGTCATTTTGATTGCCATGGGCCGTCGTATGTGCTTGCCTCCCCAAAGGAGAATGGGTAGCTAATTCTGGAAGGATGACTATCGACACAGCATGCTCGTCAAGTCTCGTCGCGGTACACCAAGCCGTACAGGTCTTGAGAGATGGAGTTTCTAGGATTGCAATTGCAGCTGGAACAAATTTATTACTGGACTCGGGGAATTTCATCACCGGGAGTAAAATGAACATGTAAGTCCAAGTTCGATGCCAATGGGTTAAAGCTGTTTTCGATTCAATGTCTACGCTTGTTTCATCTGCTATCGCTCTATGGTGCATAACACACTTCTAACCACCACGAGCAGGCTCTCTCCTACCGGCCATTCTAGAATGTGGGATGCGGACGCGGATGGTTACGCCCGAGGAGAAGGTGTCAGCGCTGTGATTCTCAAAACTTTACGTTCTGCTATCGAGGATGGTGATGATATCGAATGCATCATTCGAGAAACCGGAATCAATCAAGACGGAAAAACGACAGGTATCACAATGCCCAGTGCATCTGCACAAGCAGCGTTGATCAAGTCAACCTACACGAAGGCCGGGCTCGACCTGTTAAACAAGCACGACCGTTGTCAGTATTTTGTGCGTTACTCGTTTCCTTTTCTGTTTCGGCCTTACCAGAGCAGACCATGACGCGCTCGTGAATGGCATGTTTCAACCGTCAATTTGCTAACATCATCTAGGAAGCTCACGGAACAGGCACACCGGTAAGCCCCAATTTCGAAATCTGTGTTACCTATAATTTGCCGTGAAAGACGCTTTCATGCAAAATCTCTATCTTGCAGAAGAAAACGCGTCATCTTTCTTGTTTCGTCTTCTTAAGAGACAGTCTCTGATCATAGATCTCAACAGGCTGGCGATCCCCAAGAAGCGCAAGCTTTGTGCAAAGCTTTTTTCGGTCACGGTAAGGAAGATCCTAACGAAATTTTGTATGTTGGATCCGTGAAAACGATTGTTGGTCACACGGAAGGGACCGCTGGTGTTGCTGGGATTCTGAAAGCGTCTCTTGCCCTTAAACATGCTATAATACCCCCAAATCTTCTTTTAAACCGACTAAATCCAGACATTGAGCCATTTTATACTAACATGCGAATCCTCAACACGGCTCAACCTTGGCCAGCAGTTGTGGAGAATAATCCTCGACGCGCAAGTGTTAATAGTTTTGGTACTCTATCCAGCCCACCCTGTCCCCAATTCTAGACCATTCTAATTGATTCATAGGCTTTGGGGGAACAAACGCGCATGCCATACTTGAGAGCTATGAATCGAGTAGTCCTTCGATTACAGATCCTAGGACGGAAGACCCGCCACTTGTGCCTTTCCTATTCTCAGCAGCTTCTGAAAAGTCGCTTGAGGGTGCTATAATGTCATACGTTGCATACCTTCAAGATAATCAATCAACTGATATTCGTCGGCTGGCTTATACACTGGTCCGTATTCTGTTTCTTTCCTGTTTGTTAACCAATTGTACAGTAGTCTAACATAAGTTTGTCCAAATAGAGTTGCAGACGGACAGCGTTTCCTGTGAAAGCTTCGTTTTCGGCCTCGACAGGCGCAGAGCTTTGCAATTCCATGCAAGAAAGTTTACAGCAAAGCTCTACCGAACGTAAAACAATAGGTGTACGTTCATCTCAAGGTGGATCGATTCTTGGCGTTTTCACTGGTCAAGGAGCACAATGGGCCCTGATGGGGATCCATCTAATCGAGTCTTTTGACATCGCTCAAATCATTATTGAAAAACTCGATCGGTCGTTAGAAGCACTCCCTACGTCCGATCGTCCGGATTTCAAAATTCTTGCAGAGCTTTCCGCAGAAAAATCTTCATCGCGTCTAGCAGAAGCAATCTTTTCTCAGACTCTCTGTACTGCTGTGCAAATTGTTATTGTGGATCTCCTCAAGAGCGCTGGTATTGTGTTCAAAGCTGTTGTCGGGCATTCTGTGAGTTCCGCCTATGATAAATGTTGAGTTTCCACTGACGACTATGGTAGAGCGGCGAGATAGTTGCAGCTTACGCAGCTGGGTTTATTACTGCCTTCGACGCCGTCCGAATTGCGTATTATCGCGGACGTTGTGCCGCCTTGGCTTCTGGTGAAGGGGATTTGGCTGGAGCGATGTTAGCTGTGGGCACTTCCTTTGAAGATGGAAAAGAAATGTGCGAATTGGAAGATTTTGAAGGCCGCATCAACGTTGCAGCCTGCAACTCGCCATCGAGCATTACCCTTTCTGGGGATATTGATGCGATTGCCGAAGTTCAAGTTGTCTTTGAAGAAGAGGGAAAGTTTGTCCGGCCTTTGAAAGTCAATACCGCTTATCACTCGCATCATATGCTCCGGTGCCAGGACTCTTATATAAAACTTCTACAGCAATGCAACATCCAGGTTTCTGATCCGGCAGAGGGAAGTCCTATCTGGTACTCGAGTGTAGATGGCGGTGCACGTGTGGAAATAAGTGATGCGCTGAAGGCTTCCTATTGGGTGGAAAACATGGTCAGCCCGGTTCTCTTCGCTCAAGCCATTGAATGTGCAATAGAAGAATGCACGCAATTTGATGTTGCACTAGAGATTGGACCTCACCCAGCCTTGAAAGGTCCTGTGCAACAAACAATCGAACAACTAGGCGCTGAGGCAATACCATACTTTGGTGTCTTAAACCGCGGAAAGAATGATCTTAAATCCTTCCTGGATTGTATTGGCTCAATTTGGACTCACTGTGGTAGTTCAACCTTGGATCTTTCTGCTTTCCAAAAGTTACACTATGGTAATGAGCAACACGCGCTTCCATTGAAAGATATGCCGTCCTACGCTTGGAACCATGAGAGGGAATACTGGAATGAGTCACGTGCCGGCAAGCAGTACCGCACCCACGAGACCGCAATCCATGAGTTTTTAGGTAGACGAACGACAGACGGAGTTGAGGACGAATGGCGGTGGGAAAACGTGCTTCGAACGCGAGAGATATCTTGGCTTTCTGGACATGCGCTTCAAGGGGTAAGGTTATTCCACGCTCTGTTAGATCAATCAGACTGACACAGTGTTCTTAGCAAACAGTATTTCCAGCCACTGGTTACATTGCACTGGCCATGGAAGCAGCAATGCAGATAGCAGCCGGACGTCCAGTGAAATTGATCGAGCTTGTTGACCTCGTTATCAACAAGGCAATCACAATCGACGACGACAACGGCGCTGAGATCGTTGTGAGCATGTCAAATATAATGACCATTGGCAAAAACTTTATCACTGCTAATTATACATCTTACTCTTCTGTCAGCAAGAGCTCTGGAAAGATGGCTATCAGCGCCTCAGCTCGTGTTGAAATAAATCTGGGCGAGGAAGACGTAGAAGTACTCCAAAGCCCAGCAAAGTTAGACCTGACGATGTCTGACGTAGATGTTAACGACTTCTACAACAACCTTTCTGAGCTTGGGTACGGCTACTCAGGTGATTTCAGGGCTATGGGATTGCTTTCTCGGCGTTCAGGAACAGCGAGTGGTACTATTCTGCCCCCAGCCGAGGACCACACAGTGTCTAAAATGTACTTTCACCCTTCAATGCTCGACACTGCCTTACAGGGTATGTTTGCTGCTTTCAGTGCCCCAGGAGACGGTAGGCTCTGGAGTCTGCATGCACCTACCGGAATGCAGCGAGTCTCAATAGTTCCTTCACTTTGTATCGAGAATATCGCCAAAACTGTTTCCTTTGATTGCTCGATATCTACAGCCATTTCCAACAATATTACCGGGGACATCAGTGTCTATTCTACGGACGAAAAGCAAACAGTCATTGCAATTGAGGGTCTTGTCTGTCGACCATTCTCACCAGCTACACAGGCAGATGACTGCGCAATGTTTTCGGAGATGGTGTGGGATGTAGCGACGCCAGATGGCGAAATCCTGGTTCGCAATATCGAGCGTGCTACTCCGAGCCAGTTGAGTAAAGCATGCGACTGCGAACGTGTCGCACTCTATTACCTGAGATCTCTGAATGAGTCTATCACTGTAAGAGCAATTCCCTTTCAGTAATGTTTCACAGAAAGCCACAGATCTCCCCCTTTCCCTCAATTTGTGAACTTTGGGCTCTAGACTTACTGGATGATCAAATGAGTCATTCGATTAATTTCCAATTGTCCATGCTAAAATTACTGTCTTCTAGCCATCCGAGCGCATTGCGCTTGAAATTCCTCCGCATCACGAAGCGCTTCTGGATAGCGCAAACCATGCCACCGAACTTGTCATGAATGGAAAGCACACTTACGCTCAAAAGAGCTGGGTCAATGACACTCACGAACAGATCTGTTCAGTCATGGATTCGTAAGTTGAATATACTTCCCGCCCTACGGTCGCTAGCTAAGTAGATGTAGTTACGGCTCTGACCCTGATTTTAATATAATGCGCGCAGTCGGTGAGAATCTTCCAGCAGTCGTTCGAGGAGAAACAACTATTCTTGAACATATGACGAAGGATGATAGACTAAATGACTACTATCAAAATGCCCTTGGTTTCGATAACGCCTATGACGTACTAGCAGGTATGGTTGCACAATTAGTCCACAGGTTTCCTCATATGGACATTATAGAGGTAGGTGCCGGAACTGGATCAGCAACCGCGCCAATTTTATCCCAGATTGGGGCTGCCTTTTCTTCGTACACCTTCACGGATATTGGAGTCGGATTTCTATCTAGGGCCCAAGATACATTTAAGGAACACTCAAGCAAACTGATATACAAGACCCTGGATATCGAAAAGGACCCAACTTCGCAAGGTTTTAACGAACATTCCTATGATGTGGTTGTGGCAGCAAATGTACTTCACGCCACCCACACGCTAGATGAAACATTGAAGCACACAAGAAAGCTACTGAAACCCGGTGGTTATCTCATTCTCTTTGAGATTGTCGACAACATGGCCATGCGTGTCGGTTTAGTCATGGGGGGACTGCCAGGATGGTGGGTTGGCAGAGAAGACGGCCGCCGATTTGCGCCTACAATTGAGTACGTTGCTTTCTGTACTATGTCTCCCTATTTGACGTTCAATTTCGCGTACTTCTGTATGAATTATCCAATCAAAAGAGCGAGATTCACTAACACACGAGTCTCATAGATTACCCAAATGGGACAAGCTCCTTAAAAAAGCCAAGTTCTCTGGTATCGATACCTACACTCCCCTCAATGATCCTCTCGTATACTTTGCTTCTGTTTTCGTTTCCCAAGCGGTGGACAACACCACGACTTTGCTCAGGCGCCCGTTCTCGAAACACAACCAGATATCCATCCCGAATCTCTTACTCATAGGAGGTGATTCTATGGAGACATCTAGGCTCATGGAAGACATTGAACAACTATTGCGTCCGCTTGCCAAAAATATTATAACAGCTATCACGTTGGATGAGCTACAGAACATCGAAGTGCCTCCTATGTGTACCGTTCTGAGTTTAGCCGAACTTGATAGTCCCTTGTTCAAAGACATGTCGGAAGATCGTTGGCAAGCTCTCAAGAACGTCTTGACTGTAGCTCGAAATGTGCTGTGGTTGACTCGCGGTTGCCGTCGAGATGATCCCTATGCTGCCATGACCGTGGGCTTTATGAGATGCGTGACATACGAGTTACCACAACTACGACATCAACTACTTGATGTGGATCATTCTAGGATTGTCAATGGCACATTGTTAGCAGAAGTATTGCTTCGCTTGCACGTCGACGAAGAGTGGGATGGTATGGACCACGAAAGAAATGTTTTATGGACAACAGAGACTGAAATCATGATTGAGAATGAAAAATTCTTCATTCCACGCATAAAACCCCAATTCGAGCAAAATCAACGGTACAACTCCGCTAGGAGAACGATCACTAAGGATTCTAATGTGAGCTCGTCGCTCGTCAAATTAGACCGTTCGGAAACAGGATATTCACTTCGAGAAGAAATCGTGCCTATCAGGCATGATAACAATACACACACGCTTGTCGACGTCGATGTGTCGTTAGCAGTTGCATTCAAGGTATCGTCGACCCGTGCTTTCTTCAGTATTGGCGTGAACAGCGATACTGGATCGAAAGTTCTATCGGCAAGTCAACACAATGCATCAACTATATCTGTTCTCAATGCATGGTCGATGCCTGTCAATATTATCAGCGGCTTCGAAGCACAATTTCTTTCTTTGGTGGCCGGAAGTATGATACTCCAGTACTTGTCGACTATAATGTCAGCGGGGGGTGTTCTACTGGTCCACGAACCAAGTCCAGCACTTGCATCAATATTATCAGAAGCGGACAGATTTAAAGTCGCCTACACAACTTGTGACTCAGATGCTAGTAAAGAGTGGATTTACATACATCCACAGGGTTCGAGCCGATACATACTTCCATTGCTACCAACGAACATTTCTATGTTCCTGGACATGTCCACGGGCTGGGGCTCTAATAGTGAGCCTCACGGCGTCGTGTCTAGAATCTCGGCGGCGCTCCCGAAACTTTGCAGAAGGGAAAACAGTTCAACCTTTGTATCAAGCGATTCATTTGTTCTGCCCGATGAAGTCATTTGCGACGCATCCTTTTCTGCCGCGTTACAGAGTGCCAACACATTTGCAGCATCATTATTCTCATCAGCCTCATTCCCGGATACTGAGACACTACCCGTGTTACCTCTTAAAAATGCTGTCAGCGAGATCCAACAACATCCGATGTCGATTATTAACTGGCGATCGGACAAGTATGTCTCTACCATGGTATCAACTATTGATGCTAGTAATACTCTATTTCGAGGGGATAGGACGTATTGGTTGGTCGGTTTAGCGGGCGATCTTGGACAGTCAATTTGCGACTGGATGGCGGACCATGGTGCCAGATTTATAGTCCTGATGAGTAGAACTCGAAGAGTGGAGGACAGCTGGATCCAGCAGCACAAGGCAGACGGGGTAACGATAGCGTGGCTGGCCGGGTAAGAATTAAATATCTTAATGCCATTGTTTATGGCCATATTTTGTTCTAACAACTATCTAGGGACGTAACAGACCAAACAGGTTTAGCGCAGGTGTATGAGAAGATCGCCTTAACTATGCCAACTATCGCAGGGGTAGCTAATGGAGCGTTGATCTTGCGAGACCAAGCCTTTTCAGATATGGACCTCGACTCCTTCCAGACAGTCATCAAACCAAAGGTTGACGGCACGCTGTTTTTAAGTCAGCTCTTCCAAGAAAATACGCTTGACTTTTTTATTGCTTTTTCATCCGTCGTTGCTACCATGGGAAACAGCGGCCAAAGTGCATATTCAGCAGCGAATGGATTCACCAAAGCTTTGATAAATCAAAGACGAGAGCGTGGTCTGGCTGGCTCCGTCATAGACAGTAAGTGTGCTACAATCTCTAATCTCCCGTTTTAAAAATTCGTTTTGGCTAACAAGATAACGCGTAAAGTCTCGAGGGTCGCAGGAGTTGGATATGTGGAGCGCGAGCTTAAAACATCAGTCATGTCAGAGAAACAGGTCAAAAGATTGATGAACGTAAGCCTGCCAATGTCAGAAGCGGACCTCCATCAGCTGTTTGCAGAAGCAGTATTTTCCGGAAAGCCCGATTCTGGACTCAAGTCGGAGCTCATTTCAGGTATCCGAACACTAACTGTCGACAACGAAAGTCCTGTCTTCTGGTTCAAACAGGTCAAATTTTCGCACTTCATTCAAAACCGAGAACATGTTGGGGATGACACTGGTAACAAGGTTACCAGAATCCCCGTCAAAACATTGCTACAAGCGGCCACATCTCCTGAGCATGCTGTCACTATATTACGCAGTAAGTCCGGCAAAACTGTAACCATGTAATTTATTTGAATGTTGCCGCTAACAAATCTAGCTGCTTTCATTGCGAAACTGAACTCGAGCCTGAATCTCTCAAGCGACGATTCTGTTGATGGTAACATGCCCTTGATTGAGCTCGGGTTAGATTCTCTGGTTGCGGTGGACATTCGGACGTGGTTCTTACAAGAGCTCAAAATTGATCTACCAGTGTTGAAAATATTGGGTGGCGCATCTGCTGTGGATTTAATTACACTTGCAGTTGAAAGACTTCCTGAAGAGCTGTTGCCGAAATTTGGCGAGACACCTGCTCATAATACTAAGCCAATCCTTCACGATACATCTGGACCAGTACAACCTGTACCTTCTCAACCCACTAAGCCAATTCCCGATGAGCAGTCGCCGAGGAGAGCTAATGTCTTACATGAACCCACGATCTCAGCACCTTCGTCGGAGACCTCGACGTCGCCATCTCAACCGTCCCCTCCGTCTGAAGCTTCAAGCCTTGGCGTGGAGTCTCATAGTGACGAGGTTAAAACCCCGTCGTCAGAACCGGAGGTTGATAATAAGGAGGGAAAGATGCTAGAATCAAAAGTCCTTGGAACGTAAGCGGACTTCTACTCATAACCATTACCCATATGCCAATCTAATTTTGGAAGGCATGCTCTTGATACAACTGGTCGAGTGGCTTTGTAAAATGAGATTACCATTCCTCTGGAGCCTAGTGCTTGAACAATCGTTAACCGATTCCCAGCCCCTCGAAGTCTGAGATTCTACGCGTAGAGCCCATGTCGTATGGACAGTCAAGCTTCTGGTTTCTAGGTCGATACCTAGAAGACTCAATCAGCTTCAACATCACTTTTTGGGTCAAAGTAAAAGGCAGCATAGATACACCTCGATTAAGAAGAGCCGTAGAATTGGTCTCGCAAAGACACGAGTCTTTGAGGACTTGGTTTTCCCAAATTGATGGGGACGACCCGACGCAGAACATCATGAAAGAATCGACTTTTAATCTAAAAGAGCAGCCTGTCAAGAGCGAAGACGAGTTTCTGTGCATTTTCAATGATATGAAAAACCATGTATACGACATTGAAAACGGGGACACAATCAGACTTACTTTGTGCGAAGAGTCTGTCGATACCTGCTATCTTCTTCTTGGATTCCACCATATCTTGATGGACGGGATGAGCTCCGATATTCTCTTCGCAAACGTCCAACAGGCTTACAGAGACGGAGCATTGCCTCCCATACCACTCCAATATTCGACATGGGCCGCACGACAGCGATCTTTTGTTGAGAGCACTGAGTCTTCGCAGGATCGATTATTCTGGAAGACAGAATTTGCAACTATTCCCACAGTCCTTCCTCTGTTTCCGATCTCCGGAGTCAGCTCACGAAAAATACTCAAGCGATGGCATATGGTCAGAGCCAGTACTAATCTTGGTAACGATATGACCATGCGCATCAAGGACAGATGTCGGAGTTTGAAAGTCTCTCCCGCGTATTTTCATCTGGCCATCTGGAAGACGCTTCTCTTCAGATTCTTGAAAGTGGATGATATATGCATTGGTGTGAACGACATGAATAGAACAAACGCAGAGGATACTGGTAAGTTCCATCCAATAGCTACCATTAGTGTTTTCACTCTTTAATTTGTCTCTCTTTCTTCTTCCGTGGCTGATGCGAAATCTAGGTGTAATTGGAAACTTGATGAACATTCTCCCTGTTAGATTCCAATCAAACCCAACGCAGAACTTCCTTCATGCAGTCAAGGAAGCTCGTACAAAAGTGATGACCGCAATCGGTCACTCGAAAGTACCCTTCAGTGTCATCCTGAGCGACCTAGATATCAGCAGAGATTCTACTTACACACCTGTGTTCCAAACGACTTTTGACTACCGGGAAACATTCAAAAAATCGTTTCTCGGACAAGAAGCATATTCACCACCTGAGGGCTTGGCTCGAAATAGCAACGGTTATGATCTTAGCTTGGGCGCCCTGGAGTCGTTAGACGGCGAATCTACCATCTACCTAGGCGCTCAAAGCTCGATCTACTCTCTAGCTGATGCTGAAATTATCATCAAGTCATATGTTCATTTGTTGAATTGCTTTACAGAGCATCCTGCAACTAGGGTTTCTCGACCATCTCTCTTCGCACCGGCTGATATAGCACACGGTCTCGATATTGGTACAGGTAAGCGAGCTACACAGGTCCCAATACTTCACCTAGCTGGCTAACTATTTTTCAAGAAGCACCACTAGTTGCGGACTGGCCAGAAACAGTAATTCACAAGATTGATGAGGCTGTGCAGGCTCAAGGCTCATCTGTTTCCATCAAAGATGGGTATGGAAACACTCTTACGTACTCAGAAATGGATCATCGTGTCCAGGCGATTGCAGCCTCGTTGATGAAGTTGGGGACAGTAGATTCTGCTTGTATTGCTGTTTTCCAAGAGCCTACTGTCAATTGGATATGCTCAATGCTAGCAATCATGCGTGTTGGAGCTATCTACGTACCACTAGACTACCGCAACGGCATTTCTCGACTCGCCAGTGTTATCAAAAGCTGTGAGCCGTCTGTGTTACTGATTGACTCTGCCAACTCCGATGAGGCGAAAAATCTTGGCGTGGACAAGTCTCGAGTGGTCAACATTTCGTTGATAAAAACTTCAAACACAACTCAAGTTGCTATTGCAGCAAAGCCCGAGACGGTGGGAGTTATACTCTTCACTAGTGGTACAACGGGTGTACCAAAAGGTATTATGTTGAAGCATTCTAGCCTCAAAAGCTCCATCGAGGCATTGACGAAGACGTACGGCCTCGGAAGGGAGGTCGTGTTACAACAAACGGCGTTTAGCTTCGACATGTGCCTCGATGAAATATTTGTAGCCCTCTGTAATGGCGGTACACTTTTTGTTGTTGATAACGCTCGTCGCGGAGATTCTCACGCTCTTATGGATATAATTCGAAGCGAGGGAGTCACTTACACTCGCGCGACGCCACCCGAGTATTCATCTTGGATTCGCCATGGTGCAGATCTTGTCCATGAGAATCGCACCTGGAGATATGCTTTTGCTGGCGGTGACTGGCTCACTGATCGACTATGCCAAGAGTTCCGTTCATTGAATTTACCTGACCTAAAGCTCTTCAATGTTCGTGTTCCCCTTTTCTCAAAGTCGCTGTTTATTTGACGATATTTTGTGACCTTCTCAAACATTCTCAGCATTCATGTGGAAACTTTGCTAATTGAAGCTTGAATAGTCTTACGGCCCTACGGAAATTACTCTGTCTGCCGTAAAAATTGAAGTCGATTATCACAAGAACTCCTCAGTGGAAGAAAAAATTCCAATAGGAAAGCCACTACCAGGATACTCAATCTACATTCTTGATTCCGATCTACAGCCCGTGCCCCTCGGTATCACTGGAGAAATAGTTATTGGTGGCTCTGGTGTATCGCTCGGATATCTCAATAACGAAGTTTTATCTAACGAAAAGTTCGTCGCTAATTCCTGGGCCACACACGAGTTTATGACAAACGGATGGACCAAAATGTACCGCACCGGCGACAAGGGCAGTATAACCTCTGATGGCAAGGTGATGTTCCATGGCAGAATGGAAGGGGATCTGCAAATCAAATTGCGTGGCATCCGGATTGAGCTCGAGGATATTGAGAGTTCAATCTTGCAAGCATCAAATAAAGTTCTCACTGAAGTTGTCTGTACCGTCCGCGGAGATCCAGAGTTTATTGTAGCGCACGCCGTTTTTGCCTCAACATTCTCAACCGACAATGAGTCTCGAAGTCTGTTTATTCAGAAGTTACTTACAAATCTACCGTTGCCTTCTTATATGATTCCGGCTATCATTATTCCAATCGATACTATACCGTTAACAACACACTTGAAGAGAGATCGTGCGGCTATCGCTGCCCTTCCAGTTTCGCATTCAATTGTTGCCGAGGATTTGGTGTCAGACCTCGATTCTTTTGAAGCAGCGTTGAAAGAGCTTTGGGCAATGGTGCTCCCAGCAGAGATTTGTCAGGCGGCTTTATTCAAAAGATCTTCTGATTTCTTTCGCTTCGGTGGTAGTTCACTGCTGATGGTTGAACTCCAAAGCTTGATTCGGAAGAAGTTTGGTGTCTCTTTGAGTTTGTTGGACTTGTTCCAGGTCAGCGCGTTGGGGGAGATGGCTCAGAGGGTTAGAAACGCCATGGAAAGTCTTGAGGACTGAATAGTTTGGTATATTGAAACTCATATACGGAAATGATTCAGCCATTGTAGATTAGATCAATCAGCATAGCTATGTAGAAATAAGTCCCGTGGTGTGACTTACTGCAATTGTCAATCCATATGCTTGTACAGAGAACGTCTTTGAAAGTTGGTAATTAATAAGCGATATCGTTGCAGTTTCGTTTGAAGTTTCTCATCCGATCGTCACGTTCTTCAAAACATCAGGACGTAATTGTCACGTGATCATAAATTGCACTGACGCGACAAATATCGCAACCTCTGCCATTCATGTACACGACCTGCGTCCTGCGCCTGGTCGATATCTATTCTACTTTGTGTCCGAACACTGTTGTCTGATCGAGCAAAACAGCTTTGAACTATGTAAATGATTCACATACACGCCCATCTCCAATTGTTGACCTCACTACCCGACAACTGTACTCAAAATTGTGTACTGCCACTCTCCAGGAGCTTTGAAAGACCGAACTTAGCCGCAGAATCCTCATCCATCTCATCCATAATATTGCGCATTTTCGAAATACTGCTCCGCAGCAAAGAGCTTTGATATCGAGCAGGAAACAATGGCACTACCGCAGCAAGCAGCGCGTAAAAGTGGCAGCTGAGTGCTCGCTGCTCATTCTCGCCATTTGTCCTCCTTAACTCAATCCAAAACATCCAGGAACGAAGCCAAGCTAGCTTGTCGTAGGTTGCTGACTCCGTTTCTAGGGAAATTGCTTCAAGTACTGTGTATGCAAGTTGTTCCAAATCCTGAAAGCCAATTGCGCTCCAAATCTCTGAAGCCATGAAATTGGCAGCTGCTTGTATAGACTCGATAACCCCGCTCACACGATATTCGATCCGGCCCCCGGATCTCCAGAGCGATGAGGTATCATCATCAATTGGTGAAAAGCCTCGAAGCTGGAAATCTTCGCCGAGCAACTCGGGGTATGCAGTCTTCCAGCCATTTCTCTTGATCTCAGACAACGCCTAACTTTGTTAACTGCCTGTACACTCTTATAGTTCATCGGCTTACCATTGAGTATCCTTCGATAAACACCGTCCACTGCTCCCAATCTTGAGCGGTTCCAGCCAAGATTATAGACGCCGTCACGATAGCGTCGGCATTCTCTTGAGAAAAAATGCTTATTTCGTGCTGAAGTTTTTCTAAAGCAGCACAAGCATGCGAGAGAAAGAGCTCCTTAGATCTAACACTTTTATTTGCTTGGTCAAATATGTATGCCCCAAAGCTAACTAGAGCATACTGAACACAACCATGGACCCCATTTATGTCACTGAACCTGTTTCTTTTTAGCTATCGAGTACGACAAAAGAATTCATTCTTATTCATCTTACTCTGGTAATTGGTCCTCTAGCAAGAGCAAAGGACGGTCTGGCAACGACGATCTTCTAGTGGAGATTCGATAAGATTGCTGAACTATCGCAAGTGCGATCGAAGACATGCCACCTTGAAATGAAATCGAGTGTTGAGAAGCGTCATGGCCGCCATCATCCTCAGGATGCCAAAGTAATTCAGGTTGCCCTCCTGGAGGCGCGAGAAACACGGACGATTCAGCCATGGGATGGTCTATTTGACTTGCTGTTGGTGGGTCTGGGGTTGTTGCGCGTGAAGGAGTAGTACTTGTAGTATATATGCAAACTCGACCAACGCGAACACAGTTTCGACTACTTCATATGTCAGTATAGGATCAACCAAGATATCCATATTGTTCATGCTAGAGGCTTGAACCTCGGATTGAATCTTCTTCTCCCATGGTTCGCTTACCAGAACGGCATCCTCTCGTCACAACGTATGTGTCTGTCTTTACACGTCGCGCATCCTTTCTTGGATCTCGCATGATGCTGTCTTCTACGAGCTGGCGCATTTGCGGAACGTGAACCAGTCTGCTCTCTTGATTGACTTCTTGAAGACATTTTTACTGATCTTGTCTTGCTGTTTTCTGTATGCTGCGAATATCTCTATTTCTCTACTTTACATGGTGGAGTTCTTCCTATATAACATCATGGTGAGGAATTCAGAATCATTGTGTTCAACTCAAGCATCTATTACAATTACTTTCAAACAGCCCCTCTACCTCAGCTTCACATTAACAATAGGAGGGCTGACCACCAATTCGTCAATGAACAACTTCCAAGGCCGGGCGACTGCATTCCGAATGAAGGTTAACAAATGTTCGCACATATCCGCTAGACGCGAGAAGTGTGCCTTAAAGTTCATCACCGTTTTCCAATCTGGACTATCTAATCTACAAATCTTTTTCCATTTGCAGTTTGAACGAATCCAAATGCTCAATTACAACTGAGGCTCAGCTGTATTGGTGTGACAAATTGTTCTATGGTATGACGATGTTATTGAACTGTGGCTGTGCGAGGGGACCGAGATGCTGACTGCTTTGACGAATTGTGCATTTGAGATTCGGTACACCAATCAGGAGAGTCTCAAGGGGGAGTGGGGGCCATTGATGTTAAGCGAGCCGTATACGACTTGTAGGGCTTGCCGAACTCCTCGTGGCTTTATGGTTACAATGGTATGCGGCTAGCATGCTCGTAAGCGCTGGTAGTTTATACAGATAACTATATTGGCGTTGAAACGCCCTGGTATAGTCCCTTTGGGACATTCTTGACCTTTTGAGAGTTGTGAAGCTGAAAACATGGGAAAGTGAATCTCGGTCAGACGTTTAGAACGTGCTGTAGCATGCTTGGAATGGGGCAAAAAGCAGGTACAGTCACTACCTTCGTATTGTGCTACTTGATCTCGTCTAGAACTGCTTGCTCGTGTGTTTCCAGCTGGAATGCACACTCGAATATATCTTCAACACTGGAGCCTCGAGATGGTCTGAGGCACTCATCTTTGACGGAATGTCCGCCACTTCTAGCGTCGCGATATATTATACTGAAGCCTATCTTGTATCACTAAGTCCTCGTGTCACAATGGTGGATGGATGTGCATTATTTGCATGACAACTGCAGCTAAGTTGAAGCAGTTGTGAAAGTTCATGTCCAATTCCCACCTACTGAAACGATGTAAGATCTTGGAGGCCATACGAAATTATGCCATTGTGCGGATCAACGAAGATACATGGTCGAGGTCAAGAAGCCCAGCCGGTCGCAACATGACATTTGACAACCTTTGAAAAGTTCATCGCTCTAATTCAACGGTCAGCCATGTGCAAATTACTGAAGTTTAGATCGCAGTAGCTAAGTGGAAGCTTACCTAGTAGCTAGAGTGTATGAAATCATCACGTTATCCTATCATTGAAATTTGCCTTCTGGACCTCTGATCATATATTACACTTAGATCCTCTTGCAGGCGATTGACCGTCAATAGTCCCATTCCGAATCGTCTTCTTCACTGCTCTCAACCCAAGCACCTGGCAGTTGACTCTCACCTTCACGTTCTGCTTTGCGTTCTAGTTTTCGTTCAGCTTTCTCGACCATTTTCCAGAATTCTCCTGCTAGACCATCACAAATTTCAGAGCCCCATACAAACCAATCCTCTGGATTCGCTCCATAAGTGAAACCTATAAAGCGCCAAGGTAGGTACCGCCTTAGTCTTGTGAATCGGTCACCCAGTTCTTCACACTCTAGATCACGGTTGAGAACACCGTCTTCCAAGAGTTTCATTTCGGTCATACCATACTCCAATAAATTCACACCAGAGCCATTCAAGTCGACCAGCCACATTTGTGTGGCCACTTGAATAAGTCGCTCGCCGTATCTACAATTATTCTCTAACAGTCCTGCGATTAATGAAAGAAACGGTGATCGCTTGGGGAGGAAAGCTACAGGATGTAAATCCGCCCCCAAATTGACCACTTCTTTCAATAAATCTCGCCAACCTAAATTATTTTAACTAAATTTAGTACAGTGGTAGTCAACACCCAACTCACCTTGGAGTTCTTCTGGCAAGTTTTCTTTCCGTGGAAAGCTAAAACATACAGCCTCATCACAATAATTGAGTCTGATTGAAGAATATTCAAACGACAAAAGTTTCCCAATCGCAAAACAAACAGCGTGGAGAATTGTATCGCCATGTATGCTCTTGGTATTGAGCATTGATGCGTTTAGTGAATCACAACCTAATGCTATACGGAAAAACTTTAAATTTGTATATAAGGCTCCGTGATAAGTTTTTTCGATTGCAATACATGCACGTTGATTGGCAGGCACCTCTTTATATTCAACTTCCAGATTTTCAGTGAGAAATTGAAAACCTTCCAAGTTTCCAAAGTAGTATACCAGGATATTTGGTTCTGGAGAATTAGAACCATGCTCGAGCAGTAGTCGCATGGTTTTTACTTGGTCTTGAGATCTAAAGCTTTGCCTGACTCTTCCTAGTATAGGATAGTTACTGATTGTCTGTCAGCAAGTAGTTGTGTCTTTCCAAATTCATTCGGGTAGAGCATTTCCATACCTAAGTCCAGGTTCCACCCTAGCCCCTTGCTCAATCAGAAATTTGCAAATCTGGTGAGTTCCATAGTAAGCTGCGTGCTGTAGGGCAGATTAGTACTTGAAACAAAACAGGCATTCTTGACGTACGCATAACAAAGTTGCCCCGGATGCATCTGCATCAAAAGGAGATGCCTCTCTTTTTTCGAATAAACCTCGTAGGCCTTCAATGTTTTCTCGAAAGATATACTGAAACGCAAGAGACTTGTCCGGGATAATATTGTAAGTTCGAATATTGATTTGCCATCCATTCTCAGCACTATGCCCAGTTATATCCCACAATCGATTCAATATTAATATAGGCCCGCGCAGTCGAGTTCTAATTCTGTGTCGACTTTGCCGTCCTTGGTCGCCTTTATTATAAATCCGTCCAGGTGTTGATATCTGGTCGATCTTGGCTACCTCGTATTCGACTGACAGCATCGGCATCCAAAAATAATAAGACGCTGTAGTTCTACAAGGCGGAAATTTTGTTTTTTCTTCAACGCTGTACAAGAAGATACGGCAGGGATTTCAGCCGGTTCAGTTCCCATCTCCTGGAGCTGTGAGCCATTGTTTGCCGGTACGTTAGAGAGCTGTTTTAGTTTGTAGACAATTATATCAGGCTGCAATTGCACGAGTGCTCTTGAATAGATTAGCTATACTCATCAAGTCTACCTGCTAGGAACGCCATCTCTTTGAATTCACCTACTTCGTATAACACTGGTGGGCTAGCGTCATAAGTCGGATGGTACGCTCCATCTTTGCTCTATACTTCTCTAGCCTATCTCGCTTCAAGACAACCTTCGCCGCAACCCATTTTCGCTTCGTTCTACTCGATGACTGTATATCCATCGAGATTTCATCCACCAACTCACCCAAGCGGTCGGCTGCACGCTTGCAATGTTCGAGACATCTTGATGATGCCGTACCGTCCAAAATGAGACTGGAAATCGGATTGCGACGCTGATCGTCTTCGATATCAGCTAGAAGCTCGTGCAAGAGTGATATTTCTTCTATGAGAGAAGTGATATCTTCTGGCGCTTCTTGAACATTGTCCCAGAATGATTTAAGCTTCGAAATGCTCGTTGCGATATGTACCGTCAGGCTGCCGATGCTGATGCCGCTGGCTACGAGGCCTACGACTTCCGCCATGTCAAGTCACATTTGTAGAATTCAATAAGTTCAAAAAGAAGTGCAGATAAGTAGACCTTTCAAGAGATCAGAGGAGTTGTCAAGTGGGAGAGCCTCATTATGTGCCTCGTGAGAATCTTGCGAGGTCTAATCTGCGTTTAACATGCACTGCGAGTGTGAGTGGCTCGCTTCAGCAACTGAGGCTGATTTTGTTAGAGTCAGGCTTTCTGATGCCCAACATTCAAAAGTCACGTTCTTCTGTTGTAACACAATGAATATGGAAAGGCTAATCTGGAGATTATCAGCTGACCTATCTCCTCTACTTGCTCGCTTTGGTACTGGTGTCTGCTGTGGCTCTTATGGTACCACGCAAAAACCTCCTAACCATCTTGGAAAATCAGGCTTATGGTTGCTGAAAATTTCTAGCTATAGTTGAGCTGACACATATGATGGCTTTTTCTTACCCGAGATATAGATTTTGATAGCAGAACATCGAGAGAGTAATGCATGAATCTTTTCGCTGCAGACTCAGATCAGCATTCGCCATTCTAGGAATTTGAGTCTATCAAGGGATTCAGTTGTGAATTCGACCCATTTAAGAGTCGACTTTCCGAGTAAGGAATCATTATCTAAATACACTCGCTCCTATTTCCTCTACTCGCACCTTTTACTCCAATTATTACAATATCCAAAACTCAGCACACACTACCACCATCATTAAGGCCACCAGCATTCGATAACTGCTATCCTTCGAAATATTTCGAGAAGCGGAAGAAGCAGGCCGAGTAGATACAGCAGGTAAATTCGTAGCCGTAACAACAGCTGGTTGATCTATGTTGGAAGTTATTACTTATGCTAAGCGAGACATAGGGCGTCAGGGGAAGGGAGAAGGTAGTACCGGTCGTTTGAGTCGGGAAGAAAGGATTGTTTATATTTGCTAATGTGACGATTTCGATACTCGAGCCTGTAAAGATTTCACTTAGCCCAATAAAGTTCAGCTTGCATAAGAAAAAGACATGCATACCTAGGCCGCCAACTTGTGAGGGTGGCGGTGGTGGAGCGTTGGGTGGTGGTTGCTGCGAAGCTAGGGTTGGTTAGTATGTGATTTGATCAAAGATTGTCGAGAATTTTCTTACTTGTTATGGTGGGAGGTGGTCCGCTTGTAGTTGGTACAACTACGGGAGGCACAGTCGTAGAGCCTAGAAGAATGATAAGCCTCAGATGAATCAAAGAAGTTGGTCAGGGTAATTTATTGCACATACTGGGTGGATTTGCTTGTGTAGTGACCGTAGTTGGATCTAAAGAAGTCAAGTTACTCATTGGAATTGGACTCTTTTGACTGATCTACGAAAAGGTCATAAAATCTTACCAGGGCTCTTCGGAGGACTTGTGGCAGCTGTTGTGGGAGGAGGAGGAGGTGGTTGGACTGGGGTGGGACTGGGAGGAGGAGGTGGTGCAGGAGCCGTTGTCACAACCGTAACTGGCTTGGTTGCCGTGATGATTGAGGTTTGAACGCTCGTTGAAGGAGGAGGAACAACGGGAGGCGTCGTAGGAGGTGTTGGAGTAGGCAACGGTGGGGTAGTGGGAAGGTTTGGAGGAGGCGGGCTTGAGCTTGGCGGCTTCGTGGTAGGTGTGTTCGTGCTAGAGGTCTTCGTGCTAGTTTGAGATCTATAGTAAGAAGTGCAGGCAAGGTTGGTGCAGCACTGCAGTCTTCCTCCAAATAACACACATCTGTTGTTATCTGTACAAAAGGTCCCGTCAAGACAGCAATCACCACCTACAATAGGCACGCAATTGATACCACCTGATCCTAAAGTCAGTATCTACTGTTCATAGGAACATAAGCGTGGTCCACTGACAGGCAAAGTATCCGACGAGACATGCTCTCTTCTGAAGTCTTGACTCTCGGATGATCAATCCACCTGGGGATACGTTTCGTGGGAAGAGGATTTCTGCGGGAATGATATCTCGATGAGCTGAGCCCTGACTTGCGGCAAGTCCGTATAATACAGGAAAGACGAATGCCAGCATGAAAATCATGTTCTTCCACATCATGGAGAATATCATTTGCCTCAAACTTCGCGACGTACGACATAAACGTCCTAAGAAACAGACCTGGCGAACAGCTCACCATATACTTCCACATTTTGAGCCACAAAAAGCAACAACAACTACAGCTTATCAACTCAATGAGGCAGCGAATGAAAAGACACATGAGCCGTAGAACGATTGCTTTCTGGCTTGGGTCGATGAGAACAGCTGAATACATTGGACAACAACTTGCGCCATCTCTGTGTAACACTTCTGGTTTCGATGGTGAATGCCACCTAAACTAGTAATTTGAGCAGTATGCAACCACTCGGCTGGAAACCACAAAGAAAGCGGCCAATCAGGACTCTGGTCATCATGATAGCTATATCGAATATCCCGCGTCTGTCTCACAGTGAAAGCACACAAGCAAGCCTCCAACCTTGTGCTAAACACCCGTGGACACCATTTGAGGTTAAGCGAGAATCGGATTTGGAGAAGAACATTTGCTTTTCGAGAGCTGGAGCCTCCTCCAAAATCCGTTTTCTCATGTCGCAAAGATTGCAAAGATCTTCATTGATGTTCATTGAAAAATTGTTTCCGAGATTGCGGTCGTAATCCTCCTTCAGCTCAGGCCTCTTCGTGATATAGAGTCCCTGGCAATATCTTAGTGGAGAACTCAAGATTCGATAAACATGAAGAAACAAATGGACAATTGGTACAAAGCGATTGTACGAATTGTCAGCAAGACGTTGGTCGTAAGGGAAAGTTTCTTTCGGAGATGCTTCAACAATGAAGTTGGCGCGCTTGCTGCTTTCCACCTTTTAAGGTTGATGCCGAACTTTTCACTGCACTTTACGTTTGACGGTTGAAATAGAGTTCAAGGTTAAGAACAATAAGAGCAGCGATGATCCTCGTCAAGGTTGACATAGCGCTTTGTTTGTCGGGCCCATTCGGCGTCCCAGGCGCCGGTACACAGCTGTAGCTTCCCCGCTGGAACGTTGGAAGTTGGAAGTCGCAGGGTTTAAGAGCCCCGTATCGGCAGCTATCTTAGCCATAGGTCAAAGCTGTTCCTGCTGATCACAATGACCTGTCAGAAAAAGAATAACACAAGGGATATGTTCTTCAGTTCCATTACTTCCATTGATTTTCCTTTGCTTCCTCCTCTTTTCCTTCAACTGCTTTCACAGAGCAAATCGCATCAGAAGGGAGGTCATTGGATACATGCCGTTGCATGATCCCTAGGAAGTCGCAGCAACTCTGTACGACCTTCCAAATCAATCCTCGAGTCCTACATTCATGAGAACGGTAATTCCATAGAAGCGCAGTTGTCAGGCCTCGTCACCAAGGAAGTCTGCACCAACCTCAGCCTTCCTGTCAGCTCAATCAGCCTATATACGATACCAAGCCGCTCCCGTGCAGAATTACCAGCGATCGAAAGAACATCTGCAACATCATATATACAGCGCGCCCCTCCATTACCCCAGATTTCAGTTTCTGAAACTTACGCGGATACCTACATATCTTCGGCAAGCTGATCACAATGCCAACATATCTGGTCCACGGCTTTCGTTGGGACCGAATCCAGATTCGCGTACACGTAATTCGACACGATGTCGAAGATGCCGCTACAGAATGGATTATGGGGCCATCGACCTCTGTCGCCCTCCTAAATTCCTTCTACACACTCTTCGACTTCCTCCCTCCTTCATCACCGCCTCTAGTAACACGGCCGGTCTCTCAATCTCCCGCGCGCTCCGTCGAATCGGAAACCGCGAAATCTCCAAATAGACTCTCGAAGAAGAACACGAAATCAAGGCAGAGCATGAAAGCAGGCTTGTCTCTCAAGAAGGGAAAACCAGCAGACATAAACACCACAGCAGCGAAGGATGGTCCCAATGGAAGGCAGAACACTCCACCATCTCGCTCTTACGGCACAAGCCCTACTTCGAGTAGCGCAAATACCACAACACCTGCGGCAGAAGCGCCATTCAATAGCTGGTCGGTTGTGAAAATACTTGAACAGTACGATCCGGAGGATCTGACAAGCGCGTCTCAACCATACGCGTACCTCAGCGATTACATCCTCCCCGTCACGCTTGGGATTTCGATCGCGGAAGAGATCAATAAATATGAGGCAGTGCAAAGAGCAGAGGAGATTGCGATAGCGGATCCAGCAGAGGGCGTTAGTGAAAGGGAAACTCGAAGGAGGAGCAGAAGATTGGGCTGGTTCGAAAAGTTGAGAGATGAAGTAGGCAAGGGGGCTGAGATTGGGTGGTTCGTGGTTGTTTGTGGAGATGAGGAAAGAGATTTCGGAAACTTGGAAGAGAGTGCAAGTGAAGATGGAGAAGTACCAACGGAAACAGTGAAGAGTCCTAGGAGTGCTGGGCTAAGAGGATTCTTTGGAAGGAGAGAGAAGAAAGTTGTGACTGCGGAATGAGGAGCTAACAACGAAATGTCGTGAGGAAATTCTGGTATCGGCCATCAAGAGCTGACCATGGCGCCGATTGGGATGGTCATGCGCACCTTATCCCATAACTCTACCGCCATCAGTGGCGGGCGTCCGACGGAGTTTGGTGAGCCAAAGATCAAGCAAGGCACTAAACGTCAAGCGCCAGCGAGAATTCGGTGTTCGTTTTGGTAAACAAATGAATCCGATACCCGGATATGTGTTGGTGATGCACATAACTATGAAGACAGCAACATTGGTACCTCGCTTCGCGAACGCGATGCTGGAATGGAGAATCCAAAGAAGTGGTAATATGGCGGTAGAGAGCATGGTCGCGTAGGCACCAGCAGAACATCTATATCAATAAGTAGTCTATCAATTTTAGCCTGCTTCAACATGTCATTTTCAAGTACGCCCCTCATAATCTCGCTTCCATATCCTATCCCACTTCTCTTTGTCAACTGCGAACTCTCTCACATACTCACTCTCCAACTCATGGGTCCTTCTTCCCAGTAGCACCAAACTGTGCAAGGGACCACCAAGCACATCATCTGCATCACACAGCTCCTTCAACGTCCCACTCACGAACTTTTCAGTCCTCCCACCTACTCTCGCAGCTCCAACAGCCAGACTCTCGGGCCCATAAACTCCCGCCCCTTCTCCCTCCGCAGATTTAATCTCCTCCACCTCCAACATTTGTTGCGCGCACTGTCCAACAGTCATATACCTCGGTGGTTCATAAATCATTCTCCCTCTCGCCATGTTCTCTAAACTCTGCTCTTTCACTTTGATATCAAGTAAGACTAAGGTATGTAATCCGATATCCCGGTTCTCGCGTATGCGATCGTGGAAGGAAGCGGGTTTCCAGGTCTCGGTAAAGAATACCATGGATACTGTTTGTCCGAAGTTGTAGAGTTGGAGACCTGTTGAGCCTATTGCGGACATGATTGAGGCGTTGGGGATGGTTTGGATGGGGATTTGGAGGGTGCGAGCGCGGAGGACTAAGTCGGTGTGGGTTGTTGCTCTAGATTTAGGTTAGATTGAGTGGAATAGGTACATGGGGGTGCAAGTACCCAAAAGGATCGCCCACTACAAGAAATGCAACATCGACATTCTGGGCGTCGTGTAGGATGTCGTCGCTGGAGGACTCCACCATTTCTCTATCTGCGAGGATCACTTCGCGGCCATAGTATTTTTCCTAGGTCTGGGGTATCAGTATTAGCCTCTAAAATCGAAAACGCCAGTATCTCAAGATAGAAATAAACAATTATAGAAAACTTCATCGGGATTAGCAGCACTAAAAACTTACTAAAATTTCCTTCTCGACAAGCAAAATACTCGTGTAGGCTTCTAGATATACTCTTGAGGCCTTCTTTACTATTTCGAGACCTTTGACGGTAATGTCTGTCTCGTCTGACAGACCAAGGCCTACTAGGTAGAGCATTCTTGCGATTCTGGTTGGTTGGTTGTGTTGTTTTGAAAGGTCTGGAGTATGGGGAAATAAATTGACCCCTCGGCGGGGAAGAATAATTCTGCCATACACCGCCTTCGAGGCCCGCTTTAATTTGACAGCTCCTCATAGCTTTCAATGGATGTCTTCAACTTCTTGAACAATTCGTTTCCACACAACACCCTCCAAATCACTGCATATTTGAGAGCGGTTCAGACTTGTTAGGGTATACCACCGAGATCAGTATCAAAATGTCCGGCCACAAAGGCGCCTACGAAACCAACGCCACCGACACCGATTTCCGCAAAAAGTACGACCGCGCCGAATACGCTCAGAAAGCTGCAGAGCGCGAAGCGAAAGAGAAGGAAGAAGGCAAAGCGCGGTATGAGGCTAAGCTTGCGGGAAAGAAATACTACAAACCCCTCGAGGGAAATGAAAGTCTCACAACCGCGCGCGCAAGTCGGTTAGACGTCAGTCAGAATGTAGGCAAAGTAATGCTGATGCCCGCCGGGGCAGCGACGGGAAAGAGAGGGAGAGGCGCGGGTTTTTGGTGTGAGGCGTGTGATCTTACTTTCAAGGATAATTTACAGTGGGTGGAACATGAGAATAGCATGCAGCATTTGAGGAATATTGGACAGACGGGGGAGGTTAAGAGGGCGGGGGTTGATGATGTGAGGGCTAGGATCGAAGCGCTGTGGGAGGCGATGGAGGAGGAGAAGAGACAGGATAAGAAGACGCTTGGGGAGAGGTTGGAGGTTAGGGCGGTGGAGGAGGAGAAGCAGAGGGAGGAACGGAGGAGAAAGAGGAGGGAATTGGTGGAAAGGAAGAAGGCGGGCAAGATTAAGGTTGAGGAGGATGTTAAGGCTTATGGGGACGATGTTAGGGTTGAGGGAGAACATGATGTTGATGATATGGCTGCCTTGATGGGGTTTGGGGGTTTTGGAGGTTCGAAGAAATGATCTGTTTGAGACATGGGATTCTGAATTTAGCGTGGCGTTTGGGGGTTTGGCATTTACCGGAAATTGAGAAGAGGGGGTTCGCGAAAAGTGCCTGAAATCGAGCTACTCGTTGGCGTCAATGTCACAACTATTTTGGCAGTAAAACTGTGCATTCTTTCCATGATAAAGTTCTTGAATTCTGGATATGGAGCTTGAGGTTTACATTATGCACGCGATCACTGGTCGACAAACAACCAACCGTTACCTCAATAAATTTTCTTCGCGATACAATGACTACACGAAGTGCGACTCGCTAGCGCTACAGTCTCCCAATTGCCTCGTTTCCTTGCTGATTGGTGATTCATGAGGAAATGCATAGAGAGCTACCTCGGTACTGTGCCAGCGTATCGCAAGTTATCCAACAATATTGCCAGCTAACTATTGCGGCCGACGGGAGATGCCTGATGTTGTGGTTTCAAGCAGGGTCAAGGTAGACGGAGAGGTGAGGTACATGTATGGAATTCAAGCTGAAGCTAGAAAGAAGAGACGAAGGAAAGAAGTGACGGAAGCTTCGCTAGGCTCTGGATCGTGGGGTGATAAGCGAGTGCGAGCCTGCATTGGATCTTCAGAAGAACTACGGACATCAGGGTTCTGTTACGAAAGAGCAAGTCGGAAACGACTTACGAGAATTCATGGATCTTCGACCAAGACTTTGAATTGCCCAAGCGAAGGGTATGGAGATCCAAATCTCAATCGTATAACTTCTCAGATTACTCTTAACGGCAATTCTTGAAGCTGGAGTCAAATCTCCCTATAGTGGTGAATATATTGCGCAGGCTTTTATAAACACTGCTCGAATCACATTCACGGGGATTATGGGAGATAGGCAGCATGATATTCCTACCGTGGTCAGGATTTGGCAATGGGTTAGCAGGTAAGGGTCTCATAAATGATCACTTGTCCCACGTTTACGTGGGTCAACACAGCAGCTCGTCTAATTTGTGATGGACTGTTCCCAACAAAACCGAAACAAAGAGCCGTAGCTTGAATCAATTTTTGGGACTTGTTTAAGGTATGGGTTTGAATTATCAGACTAATAGCTACTGCTGTTCTGAACAACGGTACAGTTTAGCTCGAGCTATTGCAGATACCTCTCCTGGCTCTAGAGTCGGTAAAACTAGATGCCATTACCATATTTCATCCTAGAGACACCCCAGTTCTTGTCTAAATGCAAGTAATACCGGAGTTACGGTGCTAAAATCCGGTGTCGCCTTACAAAACTTAAGTGTTGCATAGTAGAGACAATCCTTGCGAATATACGTACTTCGGCGGCCGCCAGAATGTAACCCAAGCATAGGCTTTCTCAGCCCTAGCATAACGGCACAGCTGGGTTGCTAAAACATTTGCACTTATCAGATATTGTGCCGAGGATCTATAGACTTGGCAACTAGTGCGTTCGCACATCAGACGTTATACGTCTAGGATTGTCAAGAACCGTGTGTAGCTAAAAAACGAAGTTCTAGACTATGCAATATACGCCGCGGAGTTAGTGAACGCAGCACAAACTAGAAACTCAATGTGCTTACAAGGAGTCATCCGGAGTCACAACAAACGGATGGCAAAGGAAGCGTTTTTCTGCACTGAAGCTATATTCGGATTCTAACAGTTGCAGAACAACGCCACAGCGGGCGAAATTGCTCGTTGGGAAAGCTCTGCCTATAATGCTGATTGTTGACTTATGTGTCAGTCGAAATTTTCCCTCGGTAACTCGTCAATCCAATCATTCCTCTTCACTAGTTGACTTCCTAGAATCCATAACACAATAGTTGGATCTATTGGGTCGAAAAAATGCCCTTGCTTTCCAGATAACATGGCTTTACGAGCGGGTCGGCTGCCTCAAACAGCCGTTTTCGTGACATCCTCAAATACCATCAGTTAAGCATGGTTCTACCCATGAACATCGAGCGAGTTGGCGGTAAAAGCCAAATGGCTATGGGAAATGGTCATTTTGTACCGAAGAAGAGCTCTACGCCTCTCCTCAACGGCATCAAAATGAAATCCCGAGATTCCGCATATACCATTCTTGTATACCAAGCCAGGTATAAATACCCACCGTATCCGCTGCTTTGTAGACTCACTTCATCCTCAAAGCTCGTCCTCAACTCTATCTTTCACTTCCACTTTACTATCCAAAACAACATTATTCTTTCAAAATGCAGATTCCAGCCATCCTCGCCATCTTGCTCGCAGCAGGTGCATCCGCCAGAGATTTTACCTTATACGAGGAGCAGAACTTTGGTGGAGGGTATCATCGTGAGCAACGTTGGAATGATAAGGCTTGCTGTATGTATACATTTTGAAAGTAACTTTAAGTCCTCTCATAAAAAAATTAGGGAACATGAATGGCGCAGGAGATTCCGCAAGTTCCGTGGGAGGTGAAGGATGTACCACCTTTTACCGGTTTGTGCTACCCTATTGGACCACTTTATCTTTGAAGATACAAACTAATTCCCATGAACTAGAGAGCGAGATTGCCAGGGCGAGAACTGGGTGAACTACGGCGATGCTCCTACCATACCAGGCTTCTTGGATAACCACATCTGGTCCTTCCGCAACCAATGTGATTGCCCAAACCCATTCGACCCTTGCCAATTTGCTGGAGACGATGGAGCCTGCACCTTTGGGTACTCTGCATGTTTGCAAAAGGTAGGCTGTGGAGGTAGGAGCGGGGAGTTTGATTGTGGTGGCCTTGCTGTTGGTGAGTTTTCTGTCATTCATGAATTGTTCCCGTACATATTTAACTCCGTGGTTCTAGGTTGCCTGATCTGCAACTAAACCTGCCCATTGGAAGCGCTGCTATAAGTGGTATCTTGATCTGAGATGCGTCATGAAGTCTTTATGTGACTTGGGATGAGTATTTGGATGCTACAAGTTCTTTGAGGTTTGAGTTGGAGCTCACGTAGTGGTCATTCGTTCAGGTTGGATAGGCCCGAAATACAATAGCTTCGAGAAATTCTGAAAGTACAATGGATCATTTGTTTGCCCAATGTTCATCTCTGCTTGCATGGGGGAAGCTATTGAATGCGAATCAGTACATTCCTTTCGCACACCTGGTTTGTAAGTTTTCTTATTGTAGAGTATGTTCATCATCCATATCTGTAAGTGCGTATTATACGGGCTAGTAAATGACTACCGATTGATACCGTATAAAAGTGATCTTGAAGAAGATCAGACGTAAAGAAGCTAAAAGACAGTGGAATAGACTTTTGTGACTGCAATATCTTTAAAATGGGCGGTGGTAGATTTATGACTATGCCTGCAATTCGATTTTATGAGTTGGCATTATGGATGAGTAAGGGACTTTCATCGGCGGGGATTTATTTTAATTCTCATCAACTCGAATTTGGGTTGAAAACAGGACCATAAATGAAATACGTGGTACTGATTGTCGTCATTATAATTTGTCAATACAAAACATTATAGAAGACACAGAAGAGCCATATTATGAAAGTAAATAGACTACCCAGATACACCCTAAAAGACGACATAGTAAAGCACTAGATTATAATACCGGTTTCTTGTCTAGAGCCGATTTGTTTGCAGTAGCCTCGAATGACTCCATGGCATGACACGTTGGCCTCTCCTAGTAAAAATGATCAGAAAACCAGTGCTGAAACAGGAGTCTGGGGTATCTTACTTTCTGTGCAACTCCAGCTGATCTGCTGAAACAAGAGGACTAAGAAATCGTGACACCCCTCTTACCATGTAACGAATCGGTGGGGAACCCAAATCGACGTCGTAGGTTTCTCAAACACATCAGCAAAGGGGACTACTGGCGCAGCAGGAGTATGCTCAGGTCTGATGTTGTAGAACAAATTCTCCAGCATGATCATCGCATCGTCGATACCTAGGCACTTCATTCGTCTCAACAACATCACGGATTCGGAAGGTCCGAATTGAATGATGGATCTGATCGCGCTCTGCACTTCGGGGTCTCCTAAGACAAGTACGTCTCTGTCAGGGTTGCAATACATCCTGAAGGCGAAGAATGAGTTGTTGAAGAGAAGTATGTAGCTCTCGAGAGCAGTTTGCCGCGCCTCTTGTTTTACGTGAAGAATGTATGGGAATTTGTACTTTGTCTGGCTTCGTCTTCGGCCTAGAGCAAGGGGGATGACATATTGGCCCTTAGGTAGAGCGTATTTCCAGATTTTTAGGCGGAGCTCTGTTGGCAGGTTGCTGAATTTGGGAAACCGTGCTTCCGAAGTAGTGGCTTTGGGAGCAGCTCGAACGGCGTTCTGATTGCTTTCCCAGGAGAAACGAGGTGGGGAGAGATGAGGCAGAATTGCTGAAGATTGCTCCACTGTAATCTTTGATGAAATGTTTCTTTTATTTCTGCTTGCCGGAAAGTAAGCAGAGGTTTAGATCAATTTTTGTGAACTGTCAGTGAAGATTTTCGAATCTTTCGGTCATATAAACGTACCTTGTTCGAAATGTTCTATGTTCTGTCCACTACTTGACCGTACCTCGAGAGCCGACTGATGCGCTTTTTATCTGGGAGTTATACCCCGGAATATCCAAAAGGTGCACCGTTTCTCCAAGACTTTGAACTTTTTAGAACGGCTTTACTCCTCGGTACGCATGCAAAACACATACCGAATATTTCTGCCTGTGTTTCTACCAAAATAAACTACTCTCAGCTGATATTATCGACAATGTTCTTCGCACAAATTGAGTAAAAATATTTTGCAGATGACAAGAAAGGGAAAAACTGGTTTTGGCCATTTTGGTAGAAAGTAGGATAATATATTTCCGCCTTGAACGCTAAAGTTAGTCTACCAAAAACAGTCTCTGCTTGAGTTCTTACGACACCATTGAGCGATGTTGAAGCTATCGTGAGCTAAGGAGATCATGCAGGTTTGCCAAGGCCATGGGTCATTGGCCTAGCCCACTGTAGTAAGTGGAGCCAATTTGGAGAACATTGCCCCTCCAAAATAATGTTTTGATTCCGAGTCATCATCACTCAAACATGGCTTCAGGTAAATCCCCTTTTGATTTGCAGACATGTGCGCGGCCGAATATATTGAAGTTGCAGCCGTATAGATGTGCAAGAGAGTAGGATATCTCAATTCCAGATTTCGTGGAAGTTTATTGACTTCTTATCGCCAGTGACTACAAAGACGATGGTACCAATATCCTATTAGATGCCAACGAAAATGCTTTCGGTCCCTCTCTACCACTCAATGGCTCTGCTGTACCCTCGAGCGGCTCCGAAGTACCATCTATAGACTTCCTTGGTCTTCATCGCTATCCGGATCCTCATCAGCACCCGCTGAAAGACCTTCTTTGCCGGCTCCGAAATACACATGTACACACTCCAAAAGATTTAACTCCCGAGAATTTGTTCGTAGGTGTGGGAAGCGACGAGGCAATCGATGCCCTGATCCGCTGTTTCTGTGTGCCTGGACAAGACAAGATCCTAGTTTGTCCGCCCACTTATGGAATGTATTCGGTGTCGGCGCAAGTCAACGATGTTGATCTTGTCAAGATACCATTGTTGCCGGCCCCAGATTTTGCTCTAGATGTCGAATCAATTTCTTCCACTCTTTCTTCACCCGACGCCAAACATATTAAACTTATCTATATTTGTTCTCCCGGTAACCCTACTGGATCGCTGATCAGAAAGCAAGATTTACAAGCAGTGCTGGAACACCCAACGTGGAACGGAGTGGTCGTTATGGATGAGGCATATATTGATTTCGCGCCTGAAGGATCATCAGTTGCAGAGTGGGTTTCGGAATGGCCTAATCTGGTGGTTATGCAGACTCTGTCCAAGGCCTTTGGCCTCGCCGGTATCCGTCTCGGAGCAGCTTTTACATCACCGCCCATTGCATCCCTGTTAAACAACATGAAAGCGCCCTATAACATCCCAAATCCAACTAGTGAAATCGCCATCTCAGCTTTGAAAGAGAGTGGCTTAGAAGTCATGAGAGACCACAGAGCGGCAATACTTGAGCAGAGGGATAGACTTTTGAACGAGTTACCAAAGGTTAACGGCGTGGGAAGGTTTCGAGGAGGCACAGAAAGCAATTTCTTGCTTGTAGAAATGTTGGATAGCCAAGGCAAGCCTGATAATGTGACAGCCTTGAGTGTATATGAGAAGCTTGCAGAGAATAGAGGAGTTGTGGTAAGATTTAGAGGGAAAGAACATGGATGTTTAGGCTGTTTGCGTATAACGGTTGGGACCGATAAGGAGGTTACGAGATTTTTAAAGGAGATAGAAAATGTTCTTACGCAAGTTCATAGCGAAGGTGCCGCGACCAACGGAGAGACGGAGGAAAAGAAAGAGAACGAAGCGAACGGAGTGATATCGTAGCCAAAGCGAATATGATTGTCTATAGAGCTTCATTATGTGATATTCAGGTATTTTTGGTAAGGTGCATTTCAACTATAATATCTCACGTCTAATTCGTTCCTTTATCGAGAAAACAAGCTTTTCACCATGCCATTGTAGCTGAAAAAGAGGAAGGTTTCCTGGTTGACCCTCCAAGATTTCGCGGACTTTGGTACGTTTGCTGATACCGGGTACGTGCAGCACCCCATCGAGACCGATTTCGATTTGGAGTCTTCTATATTTAACCAAGTTGACGCGACTCTGTGTTCCAAACACTCTCTCCCATACTCAAGACATTTGGGTCGCCTTAAGAAAAGAGTCCTGTTTCCAAATCGTAAATTCATGGGTAGACGCTAATAGAGTACCTGACTTGATAGACGAGCGTATCACCCCGTCTGTTTGAATGTAAACAAACTGGAAATTTGTGAGTTCATTTTTTATAACCTAACCAAACGATTATTGTGCTGACCACTTGCCAGAAGTTCGATATGAGATCGAGTCAGTACACCATCCATCCGACTTCATCAGACCCGTCAAAGCCGTTCAAACGAAGCAAAGTTGTTGTGGGGGAAGGAACGACCGGGACCTAGCTTCTTTTGTTCGACGGAATCGTGACTGCTTTTCCTGTTTTCGCGACATCAACGGAACCAACAACAGTTTTCAAACCGTTCTCATGGAAGTCACCTCCCCCCTCCTAACCAAGCAAGGTTCCTCGGGGTGTATATCGAAATGTCTCTCCCAGATCGTACGAAATATGGCGAAACAATCAGCTCTCCCGCCAAATTGACTGACCGTCAGCTATTCACCATGCCGTTGAGGGAGTTCTCCAAGAGTATCAGCTTGACCACATCTTTTTCGACGACTGCAGATGTGTATCTTCGCTGGCTTGAAGTCCATCGCGTACGCCGATCCGAATTCACAGAACACTGGGAAAATACGATTATTCACTGGGTTCAATCACTTCGTGCTCGTGGGTTCAAAGAAGGAGATCTTATCAACGAGATCCGAATTTGGAAAGAGAGATCTGGGCCTTTGATCGAAGTATACGGCCGGCAACCACCAGGATCCAGAGATGTAGAGAAAGCATATGATAGGCCACTGAACAAAAACCAACTACCGCACGCGAATTCGATGGAGGGCGACCCTCGAAGGCGTGAGAATCCTCGAGATCTCTTCGAATTACCTTACGACGATGATACAGAAGAGCTCCAACGTGTTAGAAACGAAAGTCGACTGGAAAAATCGTACGAGATATACAAGTCATCGTCAAAAAAGAAGACGATGGAAAATTTCGCCGGGCCCCCGCCACCATCATATGTTTGCAATCGTTGCGGAAAGAAAGGCATGTTTCATTTCACATAATACTAGTACAGCGACGTTAGTGCATTGCTCTAACATTACAATGACAATCCTGACCTATAAATATGACTGACACGTTTTGGCAACCCTATCGCTAACTCTCACAGGTCATCATCTCCAGGTCTGCCCAACAAACATGGATCCAGCTTTTGATAAGCCTCCTGATCTACGCTATACCTGCACTATTTGTAACGCGAACGGGAAACACTATAAATCCCTCTGTCCCAAAAATCCTGATCCGTTTTCCATAATTCAGAGAAGAAAAGAGCAAGGTCTCAAGACATCCTCAGTAGTTCCCCGATCCTCCAGCAGAGATACTGTCGAGAATGGAGAGCTTCTCAAGATCCGTCAGTTTGATAGGGATAATGCCAGACTAAGCCGCGATCCCAACCTTAGAAGGAGCATTTCGCCCCTTCCCAAGTCTAAAAAGTTTCATCCCTGGGCACCGCTAGAGACAGCCAAAGATACAAGCCACCGCCCTGAGCAGTCGACAAAAGTGGAATCTACCTATGGCAGATTCTCTCGAAAAAGGTCTCTCTCGAACTCACCAAACCGTGACTCGGCGGCTCCAGCTCTTCAGAATAAACGAGCCAAGTTTCGTAAAACAGAAGAAGGCGCCAATGGAATGCGAAAAACAAAGCAAAGTCGGGCAGAAACGGAGGCCACAACCGAAGCAATCGAAGAACTGTTGACGGAGGGCCGTGCAAAAGGAGCAGCGGTTGGGGAAAATGATGCTATCGAAACTGCGAAGCAAGTCTCCAACCCCGACGAAATAGACCTTCGCAGTGACCATGAATATGCGTCAGGTAGTGGTGATAACGCATTTGAAGATACCCCGGGCCTAGACACTTCAACTTCTGCTATCAAAAATCTCCATATCAGCTATTCTTCGGTCGACAGTAGTGATGAGGACAATGATCCGGACGCAGAAATGGAAGAGTCCTCGACAACCCAGCAGGAGAGTCAAAAAAGCAACAAGTTTTCAGATTTTGTTCAGAGGCTTATTGATAGTCGGAAGGAAATGAAAGAGATTGTAAACAGAATTCCGAAACGACCCAGCGCCGCTGCGATGTGGAGACGTGCGAGCCAACGACGGCGCGAATCAACAATCACAGAGTAGGCGGTATGATCTCATCTATTCTATACCATACTAACGTGAATTCTTTCGCATAGTTCTCCTTTGCCGTCACCTATGTCGAGTCCTATAGTAACAGATGTTTGGAAATATAAAATTAGAAGCCCGACTGGGACATTTGAAACACATATCTCTCCTAAAATCATTCAATTGGATGGGTCACATGAAGAAATGCCAAAGGAGCTTAGCAAAAGCTTTCCTCGCCGGAAAAATAAGTTGAGTGAATTCGGGAAAGGTGCGCTTGAAAAAGTCATAGGCGCGGCCGGAAGCATGAGAGGTCGCACTAGAAGTCGACCAATACTAAACCACACAGAACCATTCATTTCTCGGTCTCCATCTCCACCTTTACCTTGCCCTAAAGACGACGTCAAGGTTCTGGCTCCCAAGTCCTGCAACATTCCTCGTGTCCTTGTAACCAGCCTGCCAGCCCAGTTATGCGATAAAGATTTGCCGCAAATTCCCACTTCAAAAAGGGTTAGTTACCACCTTGAACGTTCCGCAGCGTCTCTTCCAGGTTGCCCATCAAATCAATCTGTTCGGAAAGAGAGCACACGGCTTCTGCACAGCTCGACATTTAGCACGAGGAATTGCTCACGGGATTCAGCCCTATCAGTGTCAAGGTCCACAAACGAATTTCGATCAACTGTACGCAAGATAATCGAAGAAAGCAAATCCGAGGACATAAGAAAATCGACAGAAAACTTGAACCGTCCACAAATCGCTCGACCTAAAATCGTTCGCAGCATGTCTCATATACCAAAGTCCTGCGCTGGTGTATTCGAGGTAAGCGTATATCCCATACTCTCGGCTCTTGCTAAAGAATGACACCTAGGTTACAATGACCACTGAACGCCATGTCCACTTCCGCAAATCTGGAGGATGTAGCTCCTCAAAAGACCGCATTGAAGCGAATAGACTAGCTCAGCTCAACGAATTGAGAAAGTTCGGCGTTAGCTTCAAGTTAGCAACACCACTTCCAGATGACCTCCACTTCTTGAAGAATGGAGGTGGTAAACAAGTGAAGGGCGAAGATGATACTGGAGGACGGAGTTTCACCGGAACTGTTCAAGAGCCGCACGTCAAGTTTGGCAAAAACTGCCAGAACTTGTCGGGTCGTGAGATCTTCCTCAATGACGTGAAGAAGTTTGGAGCAAATTTTAAGTTCAGCACGCCATTGCCAGATGACCTTGAATATATCTGTCGTCGCCGGGGGCAACCAAAGGGTACCAAAGACAATGAGCTCGCAAACATCGATAACGGCGTTGTCCTTGAAGACGCAGGTCCGTCCAACCAGACTCCCGAAACTGTCGATAGGGAGACTGATGTCGCCCCAAAGTCCGACGCCCTTATACGTGGAGAGGACCACATTACTCAATAAAGACCATCTACTCAACGCAGTATTCCACCGAGGAGGAAGATGATGATCATAGCTGGCTCAATCGAGAATTTTGGTGACTATCTGGAGGGAAATGTCCTTGTGTGCTGAAGGACGATTGTTATTGAGATCTAGATTTATTATCTTTCGCAGGCAAGGTTTTGCTGTGAGAGGATGGCTGATATGGCGTAGTTGTTGTATTCCGCTGCGCACGTGAGCTATCGCTTTAATTTGGCAGTCTGTAGAAATATACATGATAGAAAAGACTTTTTTGATTGAACGAAGGTTCTCGTTCTTCATCACTGGTATAAATGATGAGTATTTAGTATGATAGGCATTCGACCTGAGTTCGCTCGATGCAACAGGAATTAAGGGTCGTGAAATGCTTCGTCCTTAGTTATTCCTGCCTCGGTCTGAATGTCGAGTACCTGCGAGCTTAGTCCACGGTGGCTCGAGTAGAGAGGCAGACCCTCCTCCAATCTTAGCAAATCGCCGGTAGGGTTACGACACGGAAACATATATAGGGCAGTATAGCGAACCGGAGAGTAGAAAACTTCGTGTGACTTTGAGCAGCATTCTAGTCCATCAAATAATTCCACGAGAGATCTTAATAACATATGTACCACCCTCAAATACCCATTCCAAACTCCGTATTCGCCGCCCAATGCCTTGTAAGTTGCTCGCTCGCTCAATATTCGCAGCCTCTTCCCATCCTTAAAATTGTAGGTCGATCCCAATCACTCCAGCTTATCCAAATGTTCCAACCTCGTCAACACAACCTGTTTACTCGTCTCCTCTATCTCACCCGCAAGGAACACTTCATCCAATATCGCATACACCTAATTTCATCAGCATTTCCCTCCTAAAATCCCTGTCCGCCTGCCCCTGGATCCCGTACCTTGTAAAAATTAAACACCAAATCCAGCTCACACACATTCCCAAAAAACGAATCCAGCACCTCGACGAAGAAATGTATCGCTTCCAGGTATGCCAGCTCGTTGTCGTTCGCGTCGACGCACGCGCAGAAGAAGAGGCCTGCGTATCGCCGGTAGACGATGCGGTTTTGCCGGAACTCGACGAAGTTGGATTGGTATTTTTGGTCGCGGGGGGCGACTAGGCGGTGCACCTGGGGATTGTTAGTGAGAGGAAGAAAGGAGGGGGGAAGGAGGGGGGTAGGTACTTCGCCTTTTAGTTTGATCTTTTCTTCGTCGTTGTAGGGGGCGTACCATTTTGCTAGGCGGGTTTTACCTCTGCGAAGTGTTAGATAATGTTCTCTATGCATGAACTATCTTGTCTCTTCCAGCTTTTGCCGACGATCATGTTCAACTGGAGAAGAAATCGTGGGAGGACTGGGCACGGGTTGAGTGGTAGGAGGAGGTCTTACTGCCGGTTCTGTATCAGTATGAATGAGAGAACCATGTTGCTCCCTTTGTTTGGTAGGCACAAGGGGTTTCGACGGAGCGCTGGAGATTCTGAGGGGTTGTTGGTGAGGTTGAGGTTGGAGCTTGATAATTATACGGTGAGCGGGGGGCACGAGGGGTGCTGTTTGTGGGGTGGCAGGGTCTTCGAATGCAATTCCGTGAGGATGCCAAAAACACTTTGAGAGCTTGAAGTAGTATGAAAATCCGGTTGTTTGTTACTTCCTCTTAACTCTACAATCTCAAGAAATGCTGTAGGATAGTAAAATGAATTTAGCCCCAACTCTTTGAGGTTGTCCAATTGAATTGAAGTAGCAGCATGTCATAAATTTTCTTCTTCAAAATATACAGGTATAGAATCTCTATTTAGATTATAAATACTACGCTAACTATCATGCAGTCTTAAAATAAGTCTCAAAAACCCTTGCTGTATCGACGATACTCTGCTCTAATGGAATGTACTTAAATCCCATGGCTTTTTCAGCTTTTGTCCCGTCAATTCTGACCGTCCCAGGAGCATATTGCGCATTTGAAACAGCCCCCGTCTCTTTATTGTATCCAACATAACCCTCTCCAGGATTACCGGCAGCAATCCTGTCTCCAATTGGAGTTCCTTTGTAATGATATCTCAGGATATCAGCAACTCCTTGAAATGACCCTTTGCCAGCACACGCGATATACCTCTGTCCATCTGCCTCTGCAGGGTGCTCATAAGCCCAGACGTGCTCAAGAGCCACATCTCTGACATCAACAAAAGAACCTGAGCCGATGGTAGGTGGTACAGTCTTTGCTTCTCCGGAAACTAATGCGTAGATTGGCCTGAGTGTTTCATTGAGTTGCTTAGGATCAGACGCCAACACTACTGGTGGACCAAATACCACTGAAGGGTTTATAGCGGTAATTGAAAACGATGGCTTCGACTCGTTAGCTGTCAATTTGCCCATCTAGATCACGTGGAATTACCTTATGAGTATCTCTGAATTTCCACAAAGCTTGCTCCGAGGCAGTCTTACTCGCGCCGTACAGGACACCAGCAGGCGTTGGCTGACCGGCTTCCTTGTTCTTTATCGCCGCTTCTAGAGCAGCGCTTGCGAAATCTTTCTCGGTAAAAGCGTATTCCGGTTCTTCTTTAGGATTTGTTACTGCAATGGTAGATGATGTGACAACGACAGAGGTTAATTGTGGGCCAGCTTCCAATGCCGAACCAAGAAGAGTCTCATTTCCAGCTACTGCAACAGGAACAACATCATCGAAATCAGTGAGATCAAAATTTATTGGTGATGCGGTGTGGAAGATCCCATCGACTCCTGCTTCTGATCAGCACGAAGTATAACATATAATATACCAATGAACACGAACCTCTCACAGCTTCGTCGAAAGCGCCAGATTTTGTCATATCTGGGACCTCAAAAATTTCAATACGATTCTTATAAGGTGCGTATGCACCATTCAGAAGTGGCTCGACACTTGCTGCTCTTCTTGTTGTACCGCGGAGGGAATAGCCTTTGGTCAACAGAAGCTGACCGAGTACGCCAGCAATGTACCCGTTGATTCCTGTAATCAACACGGTCTTTCCATTACTTTGCGGAACCGCCATGTTGAATATTTGTGTTGGATAGCAAGAGAAATATGAACGAATTGAACTTAGACTAAAGGTAAGGGGTATCAGACAAGTGGGATGGGAAAGCTGCAGCTCAGAACTGGGGCACTGGCTGCTATATATACTTGTCTCAAAGATTACAAAATGCGGCCCGGTAGAGATTCGGTACCGAATACAGATTCTTTCCAGACTGCCGTCACCGCAATTTGCTTTTAAGGCACTGTCAAAAATAGGAAATAAGATCTGCAATAGATTTAGGAATGTAGATTGCTTGGAAATCGATTCGTTTACAATGCCCGATGGCGGAATTTTTGCTGCTGGATATGAGATGAATAGGTGGGATGAGTAAGAATCGTTTCCGAATTCCGATTTTTACATTCCGATATGAGGTGATGATGATTACTATTCGAGAGTGGAAGAGGTGGGCTGAAGATTTTGTTAACGCCGGATATTGCATTTATGGTCGACTGTGTCACCGTATTTCTTAAGCGAGCTGTTTTGACCCGCTCCACGGACGACATCTCAACTTCATGTTTATTTTGTATATACCAAGTATGGCACCCTTTCTTTCGGAATTCTAGGATGATACTCCGCTAACTCAGACTTTCAGAAACGATGCTTGATTAGCAGGTAGTCGTTATACCTCAATTCAGAGACCTTCAAGGCAACAGCTTCACATTTCGATACCCCAGAAAGGACATTATGGCAATCGTCTCATTTTCTAGCCCGACATACATATGTACCTAGGTACCTCAGTAACATAGATACATCTCCGATCCTCGATTGCTTTTACAACTGCTGGCCTTAAATCTCGTCTGCTACGCGCCCTGCTAAAACAGGTCGACCGGGAAATCCGATATATTTTCCAAACGTTGATGCTCGGCAAAATCCGAATCAAATACCAATAACCCAGTCCGCTCCAGAAAAACTTCATCAGGCACCACTGTCCACGATTATTCAAACATCATCTACACGTCCGCCTATTTTTGTCGCTTATCGTCAGCTATGACCTCCAGCAAACCACATGTTCTCGTGTCACTTCTTACCGGCCTTCACGTGTGCCAGTTCTAGTAGCGAGATCTCAGCTTTGATCGGTTCAAGTTGAACTTGTCCTTCCTTCGACGCAATGTTTTGTTCCTCTGACTCTCCTGATTTCTCGCTTTTCGGCTTGCCGATGTAGACCCATATGGCCCCAAGCATAGCGATGATGAACAGAGTTCCGACACTCATGGCAATCAAGACACTCTCCATGACATGGTTCATTGCTTTGTCAACTGCGGCTGTTGAGGGCATCTCGTATGATTGAGGATCAGCGTTGAAAGCGGACGCAGATCTGATATACATTCTGAAGTTGTTTCGATCCTTCTCTCAACTTGATCAAGCCAGCCTCGGTTTCGATGGAGTCGAGTAACGACGACGGTAGATCTGAACTTTAGACCGAGGTATCCACAACTCGATCACGGAGATCTGTTCAGACATGTTAGATCGTGAAAATAGCAAGAAGAGGTGTGAAGGACCTCAAAGTAGTGTTCTTCACAGCTAGGGGTAGTGTAGGTTTATGATTCGAGTGACGTTGCAGGAGCGGAGAGCTTTCGCGATGAGTGTAATTTGATGATACAACACAATGACCTTTTTGTCGGTAGATCGAGATACAGGTCGCTGACGCGAGTATCCACGATGACAATACCTCGGGGTGGCCTGATACTTATAGCAGAGTGATTGAGCACGTTTCGAGCACGTGTTAAAACCACTGCTTGAGACGCGTTCCAGGAGATCTGATGCGAATGAGTGTGTTTGTCTTTGAACTTTGGTTCAATGGCTAAAGTTGCAAGTGTAGCTAATATATAGCATATGGTGAAGAGAAGCATCTTTGTACCGAAGAGTTCAGATTCACTACCACTAAAACTCAACTTCAATAGGACAATGTCTAGGACAATAGTAATGCAAAAGCTTACTAGCACAGAATACCCAAATTCTGTATTAACGATTGTATTCATCTGCTCGAGCTAGATGAGATAATACTAGACGCTCGAGGTATTGTGTAAAATAGGCCCGGATTGGACTTTGCCGCCATATTTTCTCTTGACCCAAAGACACACTTTGGCACATTGTTCTTGAAAATTTGCGCCATCGCGCTTGTTGATTCAAGCAACTAGTGGTTCTACATCAATTTTTGAACTCGCCGACCAATTTTCTGATCTTAGTCAGTCGTTTGTCTTAAGCTCGACCAAATTTTCTCCCTTACTAGGATTCAGGTCTCAGATATTTATTTGCATCAATAACCCTATTACAGCGCATGTTGATTATCCGAAGTTTACTGGTTTTCAGGATCGGGCGTATACACAGTTTTCTTGATTTTATTTTGGAAGTATTGTTCTCTTTCGTTCGGATCTCAATTCATATCACGTTACTACCAATTTCAGTCTTGACGGCTATTTGATTTTGTATCATGATTACACAATCCCAGACGCACATTACTCTTATAAACTTTCGAAGATTTTTCAATTGCCTGACTTGAAGGCACTGCAAGCGTCACCTTCGCAGCGAAGGCAATTTTAGCTTCACCAACGCAAAGCGTTGCCTACCACGCCGGCATTGTCGTCCTCTATGAGTTAAGTTCACTTTAAACGGCACTCTCTAAAAATAATAATCAGGTACACTTTTGCTTCCCCAAATTGATTTAACTCCAAGTTTGTAGTTGCATTTTGTCGCTTTTGGTGGGTCAATCTCGAAAATTGTTCAACATTTTAGAGAGTAGAAATCAGATTTTTAATTACAAAGTAAGTATGCTATTTGAAGATGAATCCCTCCATGGTCGTATTGCGAGTTGAACCAATGGTACACGTTAATCTTTGTTCACTCTAACAGTTGGCTACTCAACATGGCTCGCCCAAAAGGCCCAAAAGACAACAAGATTGTCAACGTTAAGTGTCTGGAGCTTCTGCACACACGTATTCGAATACAAATAAACTTTCCACTAATAGCGATTTCATCCTCGACCTTCCATCTTGGGATCATAAACTAGACAAACGAGGTGCGAATAGGGTTTGAAAGGAATTTCTGAGCACTATTAGTCTGGCTTTCTCTTGCCTAAATATTTCATAAGGAAAAAAAAAGTTTTATCCGGTTCACAGAGAAGAACCGGCTTCTCTGGACATTGGAGTTTGTCTGTGTAATTATTTTGTTTCTTTTGTTGCAAGTGAAACAAGACGTACTAGTTCTTCTTGCTAACAAAATTGGCTATGAGGACCTGGTATAAAGGTAAGATTCATTATCATCAACGCCCTGGAAGGATATTTAATGATATAGCTTCAAAATTAGATGACATATTCGTACAATTCCGAATGTAAAAGGGATCCAGTCAGTTTCGTGGAGCTGAGGCTTGATGTAGTCAAAGATGGGAGCGCAATTGTATTCACTGCAAACGATTCCTTTTTCATTGAAACTTTTGTCCGGCCCCGACTGCCGATCTTGCACGAATGATTCGCATCTTGAATAAATATTTTCTGTCCTGCGAAGTGGTTATATTAAGCCAATCAAGTACCAATCAATCTCGTAAGATCTCGCTCAAGGTATATATTGCTTTCATCCAGAGTGGCTTCTTTGTTGTAAGGAATCCTGATAGTCTAGATCCTTCATGTTCGCGCAAGTATCCTATTCAACGTTGTCTGTTGATAAGATTTGCACTACTCTCGTTACTCTATCGTTCAATGAGTTCAGCTTTTCTTCCACGACATGTTAAGACCGCGCTCACCGTTTTATGTTATTCTCGTCGCTCCATGTGATAAGTTGGAAATCATCAGACAATGTAACTTCCCAGCGAGGCCTTCAAGTTTACAAGTCATGAAGCATGCGAAGAGGGGCAAGATGCTCATAGCTTTTGTTTCTAGATTTTACTGCCAGTTGCGAGTTTACCAGCACACACAAAGCATTCACCAAATCTCTGTCTTTTCCCGGGATGCCGGTGATAAGTTACATCCTCTTAGGTTCTGAGAAAAATTTCCGGTCACGCGTCCCCTGGGAATAAAATCGAGGGATTCAAAAAGATATCGTGTGAGAAAACTTCTCTCAATGAATTACGGCTGTTTGACGCCACTATTACCTACTTCAAGAACCATCGCAACACTACAAGCAGCCGAGAAAATTGCGGCAAATACTTCGGACATGACTGAAATAACCAACTTTCGCCGCCACCACCCTACAAGGTAACTCTACCAAATAAGAGAACGATCGGCCAAAAATCTCTTAATTAACACTATTTTAGACGAGTGCAGAGGGCTGGTTATTTTAGTTATATACGAAGCAGATAATTTCTGACTCTTATGTCGGACGCAAAACTCCAAATTTTCATGCAAAGACCATGCAAAGAACTTCCAAGAGTCTATGACAAATAGAACATTTGATCACAACGACAAGCCTATGCAGGATATACTAATGCTTCGAAATACATTCGTCAGTATCTCGTAATCATTGCTGTCACGTGCTAATCTCGAAACCTGGAAGCGAAGCCCCTGAACTTCAAATGTACGTGCTTCGGGCGCTCTAATCTTTTTTTCTCCTCATTTCTTCCATGCTTCTGCTATTCATATATTTTCATGCGTTACCGTCTTCGCTTGAAGGCAATTACCAAACCACAACGTCGCCGATCTTTTTAAAATACTTCTAGCTTACTTCATGCAATAGAAGGCTTGAATTGAATTGCGTACGATCGTGGCGTAAGCGGCTCACTACGTTTTCGAGAATCGCGGAACGCCATGCTACTCTAAAAGCATTGCATTTCGGTCGTGGAAGACTAAAGAGGCAGGAATTTGGGCAATCCTCTGAAACTCAACCAATGCGCTACTATCTCCAACGCTTTCCACTTGCGGAACGATCTCTTAAGAAGCTGTACGAGTGAATTCCAGCACAGAAGCACTGGGAGTAGTGTTTGTGAATGATAAAGAGGTAAGGTATGTGTTGATTATATGCCCTTCTTCTATGCTTCGGTATTAATACAACCCAGAAGCCATAGCGACCTGACCCTTGAGACGATCACTAAGACGTCCCTGATTTGCAGATTCTGGGGTAAAGTTGTTTCAGGTTTCGAGTTACAATTGCCAGGAAATCGACGCAAGGAATAATCGTTCGATTATTCTGACGCCATGGATCCAACGTCACAAGAGTGGGCTACCCCACGACAAATTATTCGGCTCTGAAAGAAACCGGGCACGACGCCCTTACCAAGGAGCGAAGATACCAAGGCCAGAAATACAGTACCGTTGTGCATAAGGTTATGCTACCAAAGCCTGCCCGGACTAGTCTCCGGTCAATATCGAAGATTGCTATAATTCATGATCATCGCTGAGCACTGGCACGGGAGGACTAATTTCTACAGTCGCCGACTATGACTTCGGAAACCCTTTTGGCCTATATTTTGTCACGACCACACTCGTGTTACCGGGGCCAGGGTCAGAAGGAAATATGCACGACGATTATGAATCTTGCCCCCGGGAAGCGCATACAATCGAGACCTCCCTGATTTGACGGGAGAGTTTTGGCGAGGACGCGTTGGTATATACCCTTCCGGATGGATACACCAGTCCTCTCCAGCCAAGGACTTAACGGCCAAGTCAGGCGTTAAGCTTGAAAGCCGACACACATCGTACGATGACTTATTGATCATCTTCAAGAGTCGGCAAAAGATTCCTGTCATTTCGACGGCGTTCATGGCGTACGAATCGTACAAAGATCGCCGACCCGGGGTTTAACGCCTCATCATTACCTCAACTACCGGCAGCCAGGCTGAGACCCCTTCCCTCCCAGCTTGTCGGGAAACGCTCAGTCAGCTTTTGTAGGTAATTGTTAATGGTAGGAAATCCTCGGGAGACACCGCGGTGTATTACCATGCCAATGTCGTCGTGGTGTCAGCTTCGAAGACGCTGTGGTTAAGCAAATAACCTTGATGACAGTCAAGAAAGCGGTGGCGGACCTCGCACATCAAATCCCTGCGCTAAAGCGCTGACAGCCAATTGAACCACTTCGCGCTGCCGTAATGTGGCGGCCGAAGAATTGAATTGACGTGGAAGGGTTGAGAGCCCAGGTCGTTGTGCTCAACAGATAAGAATCAACTTCCCTGATAGCCGTCTGTGCTTCCTGATCCAGATCACTTTTGCAAAACGAGGATCACTAATAGCCGCGCATCTCGCTTCATACGGTAGCATATTGGAATGGCTTCGTCATCTGGATCGTTAGTAAGGATTCCGTACAGGCCTGCAGACGTGCTTCCCAAAACGATTCCCCCGCTAAATATATTCCGCATGCTGGCGCACTCCCCCTCGACACTACCTCACCTCCTATCACTCGGTACAGCATGTTTTCGCGAGACGTCGCTCTCAGTGTATACAAGCGAGCTTGTCAGTCTTTGGGTTGCCAAACGCACATCTTCGGAGTATCACTGGAAGAAACACGTGCCTGCCGCTAGAACCGCTGGATTGACAGAGGACCAGATATCAGCTGTAGCCTCGGGAAACTTGGTAGAAGCTGTATGGTCAGAACAAGACATGGCTCTGATCACTTTTCTCGACGCTGTTCTTTCTGGTCCAGAGGTTTCCCAGGCCATTTTCAGCAAAGCGAGGGAGCACTTTAGTGATCAAGCTTTGGTTGAAGTTGTGGTAATACAGGTCAGTAGCTTCCTACGGGTGCAGATATTTGACTGACTGGAGTAATTTCAAGGGCTACTTCTACAGCATGGCTCGAATAGTGACTGTGTTCGGTGTTGATCTGGAAGGCAAAGTCCAACCCTGAAACGAATGACAAATGGTTACTTTTCATTGGCATGGCTAGAGATAAACACGATTGGCAAAGCTGGCGTTTTATTCCGGTGGCATCGTTCAAGGGATTGTGTATTCTGCATTTTCCTTCCTAAGATCTGGTGGACGGCAGAGGGCATGGAAGTCTTTCTGGGTATTTCCCTTGATTTTTCTCGTCACATAGCGAATTTTACGTCAAAATCATGTTTCATTCGGAGTTTTCAGTGGTTGGCATATCCGGGTCTTTATTTCTTAAAAGAAGTAGGGGAGGACAGACAACAATAGTGTAGGTGATCAAAGAAATTCATAGTTCAAAGTGTTTTTCATTTGTAGTTGTAACTGGCGTATATCGCCACTGTCAGCACAATGTAACCACGCGACCTCCATGCACTGGGACTCCCCACAGGAAATACTCCGAAAAGCTTATTACGACTTCTTTTCAAAAGATTTCGCCACCATCTTCGAAATTCGTTGCCGAAGTCTCCGAGCTTTTGGATAAGAACCCGGTCAAACGTTTGAACCAGATAACAACGAATTTTGAACGATACCATCATACACGCCCAGGCTATAAATTTCAACGTCTATTACTCGTCCCAGGTGCTCTTTATGGTCTTTGAAGATTTTACGGATGTTGCGGGGGTTCGGCCGGCATATAGTACAAAATGCGGGAAAGGCGTTTGGCGTACTTGTCATTTACGTCAAACTCCACGGAAATCTTTTGCACTCTCACAGTCACATAACCAACAGCAAAGATCCATAGTCTGAGACAGCTATATCAGCTTGTGAATCATCTATAACAAGGGAAAATTACAATTTAACGGTACCTTGGCTTTTTGACGAACTACCAACTCTGGTACGGTGGCTTTCGGTAACTAAAGTGGTGAGCTTGCGATGTGTTCTCACACATATGAGCCTGTCTGAACTGAAGTCGTTCAGGGATGTATTTTTTGATGTTTTGACGTTTGCGTGACAAATGGTTCCCAATTCCAAGAGTGACAGTCCCAATGCAGGACACCCGATTGTTTCACAATCTCGCTTAATAAGCGTGTATTCAGGTATAAGTTTGGCAACATGCTGGCATTGAATATTAATGATTCTACGAAACAACGTTAGTATGACTTCTGTTAAAATATTGCAATTCATTGAAAACTAACAGTGTTTGGAGTTGTCCGGGAACACCGGACATATCGGTAAAGGAGGCTGACAAAGACTCACTGTCATACGACGCGTATTGGTCCGTTGAAGGCTGGATTGAACTGCAGTACACAAGGCACAATATTTCATTGCTATTTCCAGAGGTGGTGATGTTTATCTCTCATTTGCTTAGCACGCAACGAAACAGAAGATAAGTGATAAGAGTTTGCTGAGCTGACGAACGTGGAAAAAGTAAGCAGGACTCAGCATCTACTATCTCTTTATGTCGTATAAACGGGTCGACAAGAACAAATGGGTCCCAACTGAAGCAACCCGCTTGCCAAGTCAATGTAGCGACATGTATTCTTCTGGCGGACTTTTCCTCCAGGACTACTGGCAATCTTCCACTCCTCCGTTGCATAGCATGATGAGATATTGAAAGCTTTCTGGTTGCTTCTAAATTCTCCGGACATCGTTTCCAAGCACACATCGAAAAACCCCCTTTTCTCTGTTGTAGAATCTCAAAGATTGCCGGCTTCAAGGGATATCCGCCCGGATGATTCAGCTCGCGGGCCGATTAGGGGCAGTTAACTTTCAACTTCGCAAACTATCATCGAATGATATATCCAAGTCTGGTATTATATTCGCAAGGCATGCAAGCGTTCAGAGTGGATCGAGGCCTCGTAATCTTTCAACTGTTTCGCGTTCCGCTCGGGAATCGTTTGTCTCCTTTCGTCTCGGGTCGCCTCTTGTCGTATCGGCGAAAACATGGTCGTACAGGTTCGAGTTTATTGATAGAAACTAATAAAGTATGGTCGCATAACTCAGCGGTTGTTGAGGGAAACTAAAGACCTTTGATCAGGGGTCTGGACTTTGTGCAGAATGGACATGCAACTTACTTCAACAACAGTGTTTTAGCTCCTAGTTTCCATGCCTTGCGAGACTGACATGGACCATTTTGAATACATCATTCGTGCTCTACTGCTTGATAGCTACCAGTAACTCATCAACAAAGCGATCTTTACGCAGTGACTCTTTCAGAACCACACTCCATCGTTGATCGTTGCGGACATGTAAGCCAGTCAACAATCAGCTGAGGTCTGCTGTGGGAAGTGGTCGTGATGGATTCGGCCGATGGAGTTCGCCTCGAGTAGCAAATCATTGATAACGTGTTGAGGCCATTAAACCGCCTGGTATTCGACCTTCTTCCGGGCCACGAGAGGCCCAGCCTACTGCGTTCCGTTTGCTCCATCATCGAAGCATCCCAAGCTCGCTCCATCTTTTCGAACCCTCCATAGATGTGTCATAAGCGCCAAATACTTGGGAATTTCTCATAGTCCTATGGCGCAAGAAGACTATTCAGACAATGGTTGGATCGGTGTCTACCAGCGTTGAGGGATTTGGCCTCTGGGACAGCCTCTACTCATCCTCTCTTCTGCTATTACGTTTAGACTGGTGCCACTGGTGAATCCTAAGATGTGTTGCTGCTCATGCTGCGCTGCCGGAGTGTTTGATCGGATGACGACGACATCAGATTAGATCTCAATGATTGAAAAATCAGCGAAGACACGCGCGTCCCATTTGATTTCGTGTAACGTAATCTGTCGCTCACTAATCGTTTCGAACATCCCCCCTGAACCGTGGGCTCCACAAAACATAGCATCTCACGGAATAACCTTGGCATGTGTCAAAAGGCTGACGGCAATACGGGAATAGCAGATTGCTGGGTTCTACTTCCCAAAAGAGTTCAAGTAAGGGTTTCCGAGTTTGTTTTGTTTGTCGCGGCTGGGAGCAAGTTTGCAGAAAGTTATCTTTCCCGGCCCCACCAATCTTCCATTCTCAGCATGCAGCTTTATCCCTGACATGTTTCTGAAGCTAAACTTAGTATTTTTGGTCGTATCTGGTATCTTCCGGGTTCATACGCCCAGTTGTGTCTGAATAAGACTCGAAAACGAACTGGATCACGGAATCCTTCCGCCTCCTTTCTAGCCGAGTTTAACTTCCGGATATCTCCATATCTAGTACCTAGGTATCTATGGCACAGGCGAAAACACTGATTGTCTAAAAAGTCTCAAATAATCAAGTGCGTAAGTTAGTGATAGGTAGGTTTGTTTCTTGATCGGTTGGTTGATAGCGCTTGATTTAAGAACGAAACCCGACCCATAACGAGTCAACTGTCACCAGAATTTGACATCAAAGTTGGAGAACCATCTCTATCGTGCTCGGCGCCATGTCTTTTGTTTACTATTGCCACTCGAATCCAATTGCCGCTGTGGCCATATAGCACTCGATAAGTTTGCGCTACTCAACGCAAGTACCTTCGGCGATGGTACGGCATCGATAATTGCGACGAAATCAGACCCCGAGCAAAAGCCAACAGGTGAAACTGTCACCTCATATCAGGAACTGCTGTGCTCGCCTCCAACATCTGTCATTACTCCTAGTCAATTCACTGGCGTGTTGTCGACTGCTTCAGGAAAATGGGCTGCCCTCAACTTCGCCCGCTTCATGAGACCAACTTCCAGATCTAGACTTTGCCATTTACCAAGCAGCTGCCTGCATATGCAGTGACACTGTAATCAGTACCTCAATCTCCATACTTACGCGACAGGCGGACTTAAGGTCAATTTGTCGGTTCTGTGAACAGAGGCGGCATGTGATGGCATTGAAATCTTGGCCCTCGGACAATGGCACTTTTACGACAATTCGATTCTAGTAAAGATCGCCCTATTTATCTCCACTATACCTTCAAATAGACTGTTATGTCCTCGACAACGTGAAGATTCGGGGTCGCCGACAGACCATTGGCGTCTCGAAAAGCCACTTTCTTCATTTGAGGGATCCGATTACTGCTTTTTTCTTCTCCGCAGGCGAAAGTTTCGTGAGTCAACGCACGGAAGTTTCCTTCCTTGGACGTTGGCCGTTGAGTAGTATCATGGCAGTAACGCTGGCCCCTTGTAACTGTCGACTAAGGTCATTACTCGTACCAGTCGGCCCCAACCTGTTGTAATGGCCAAAACTCGTATTCTGGGCACTAACACATTAGCTAAACTAGAATGCTTCCATAAACACAAGAATAGTTATATATTTGTGGCCATACTCTGTATTGGAAGAGGTTATTGGTCAAATTACTGTACATGATAGAAATTACCAGGAATCTTGGCGGGAATATCTTCATGTAGCAAGTTATGAATGTTTTGATAATTAATTTACAAGCTGGAAACATATAAGTAACTTGATCTAGTTTGCTTTAGTAAAATAGACTTGACAGAGTATTGGTTTCGTTTCTAGCGCTTGGCCAGAGATTTATTTGAGCTGGATATAGTCTCTCGACGATATGACGAAGAAGAAAACCTAAGTTAGACAAAGAGATAGCTCAAATGCAGGGTCTGATAAACTTTCTCGATAAGCTTCACTATAAATATCCTCATTTAAACCTTTTCTTATCGCTGTAACGAATTGAAGTATGAAATAAGAAAACGTCTGTCGCGACAGCGGACAGTAAGTATTAAATTACACCCGTGAATATTCAACCATTAGCATGTACACCTTTTACCTTCAAGTAGTTTTCAAAAATAATTACTAAACTAGCTTTCAAAATCTGTTACTTCAAGCAAGCCTGGGAAAGAAGATGAAACATCAAGCATTGGAAGGGGTGCCTAACGATCATGTGACTTCACCCCCTTTTCACACCAAGTCGCCAACGAACATCTCGGCTCGACGAAGTGCAGCTCACTAGGGCCATCCCAACAGCATGATTTCTCGCAACACAAAATCTTCCCATGGACCTGCCAAACTCACTTCACTCGAACCAAATACGATTTCTGGTGTGTACAGCAAGCGAGCTTGTCCCAAGTACCACAAAATGACACCCGTACGGCTTTTTAGTCAAGAGTCGTCGGAGTTCGAATCGACTCAGGGAGAAGAGAGAACTAGAATCATGCGACTATGCAATTTGAACATTTAATCATGGAAACATCGGACACACAAACCTCTAGGTACCAAGAAATCGCAACTACAAGATAACGAGCAACATAACCTTGACTCAGAACGTACAGACCTCGATTTAATCACTTTGTTTCTCCGATTTCGAGAACTTTGCAGCGAAAAGAACGAGTTGAAGGTTTGCGGACAAAATATCCACAGCTACCTTTCGGTGCGTGATGGACTGACTATAACGCTAGATCTCGAGTCCTCTCTAATGCATTCCAAAATCCACTTGTACCATTCAAACTACGTACTCGATGTCAAAAACCCTGAATTACACCATACTCCGCATTTTGCACGTGGGGTCTCCGCGATGCGGAGGATCTGCAACACCGGCGTCCTGACATTTACGGAGTTCAACCCCACTCTTTAGATTTATAGAAGGGTTCTGGAATTCATGGAATACAAGTGCAACCTCCACCAATAAGTCTTATCTGTAAAAATCCTCGACCTTCTAAGCTTCATCTTTTGTTTTCCTAAGTCGAAGTGTCAAATACCTACCACGTAGTTACAGCATGACGCTGAAGAAACGGACATACCTTTCTGAAAACCAAATCCATGCCAGGATTGAGGCTCAAGAAACGCCATCGAATCACTCAAGGATGGCGAAAACAAATATTGTGATAGTCGGGTAAACAATTTCTGCTACAATGAAAGATGTTTTACTGAAATACATAGTGCAGGAGTTTCCGGATTAACAACCGGTCTTCTGCTCGCTAAAAACCCAAAATACAGCATCACCGTCATAGCGAAACACATGCCTGGAGACTACGATATCGAGTATTGCTCGCCTTGGGCTGGTGCAAATTACACCCCGTGAGGAAAATCTATCTACATCAAGAGGTTACTTTACTAACCTTCACGATGCAGGTTTTCTACAGCAGGTACGCGCGAAGCGAGATGGGAAAAGGAGACTTGGACCCCCCTTGCGGACTTAGCCGAGAAAGTACCTGAAGCTGGAATTCATTTCCTGAGTAAGAAACATTCAAAATCATGATGGGTTTTGCTAAAAACAGTGTCCAGAATCACGAGAATACGTCCGAGATAAGGACCATAACAATACAAGAACCACAAATCCGTGGTTCAAATCCTTCATCCCAGATGTAAGATCCTACCACCAATGTTCTATCCTGTCTAACACAACACAACACAGTTCCGCGTCCTTGACACCTCAGAACTACCTAAAGGTATAGACGGTGGCATCGAATACACATCCATCTGCATAAACCCAGCCCTCTACCTCCCCTACCTCCTCGGCCGCTGTCGCGCCTCAAGAATCATCGTCAAACGCTCAATAATAACACACATCTCGCAAGCCTACACCCTTCACCACACCACCAAACCAGCAGACATAGTCATAAATTGCACCGGACTCTCCTCCCTCACTCTCGGCGGCGTCCTCGACACAACCATGGCTCCAATCCGCGGCCAAACCATCCTCGTGCGTAACGAAGATCCCATGATGATCGGCACAACCGGGACAGATATCCCCGACGAACTGACTTATGTGATGATGCGCGCATCCGGCGGCGGAACGATTCTTGGTGGGTGCGCGCAGAAGGGCAATTGGGAGGCGGAGCCAGATTTGGAGATGGCGGAGAGGATTATGGGGAGGGTGAAGGAGTTGGATCCGGGGTTTGTGGGGGAGGGGCTGGATGTTGTGAGGCATGCTGTGGGGTTGAGGCCGTGGAGGGAGGGGGGTGTGAGGTTGGAGAAGGAGAGGGTGGGGGAGGGGTGGTGTGTGCATAATTATGGTCATGCTGGGTATGGGTATCAGACTTCTTTTGCTTGTGCTGGTGATGTTGTTAAGCTTGTAAAGGAGATTGTTGGGGAGAGGTCGATGGCATGAAGTGATTTTTGCGGACTGAGCACAGTGGGATTTAGGAGACAACATACTTTCATTTTTGAGTGATTTTCTTTGTCAGAACTCAAAACTTAAGAGACAGATATATAATAATACTCTTAGAATATTTTCAAATTGTTTAGAAGCCATGTTTGATAACGTGCAGTAAATACATTGTACTCACAAGCATCACTTACAAGCTACTAGAAACTCTGTGAAAAGTCCTATCAACAAAAGTCAGAGATTCGATGGACGATCTGGGTAGAAACATCAGGATAGCTTTTATTTTGATATATCATTCCCAAGAAGGAAAAACCATAATCCAAAGCATGAGGCATTCCATGAACCCTCCAGGCATCCTCTTCGCACCCGTAATCTACTGCACAATCCCCCTCCCAACCTCCCCCGCCCCTCCCCCCTCCCCAAACATCTCAAACAAATCCCCCGCCAACTCCTCCGGCCGTTCCCACGCCGCAAAATGCCCACCACTCTCATGTCTCCTCTCAAAAACCACCTCTCCAAGCGTCCTCCCATACTCACTCGGCGGCAAATTGATATCCCTTGGGAAATAACTCAACCCCAACTTCGGACCCTCAATAAACTGCCAATACTTTGCCTTTAAATTCTGATCCATATGCGTAGCCTCGTAGTAAATACGCACGCTAGACTCCGGTCCGGCGCGCGAGAACTGGTAGATGGAAACCCAGGTCAGGATTTCGTCGTCGGTCCAGGGATAGGAATCTGTCCAGTCGTGGAGTTTTTCGAAGATCCAGGAGAGGAGGGAGAGGGGATCGCGAAGGGCGAAGGAGAGGGTGTGCGGTTTGGTGCCTTGGAGGATGTTGTAGCCGGAGCCTTCTTTGTTGAACCAGTGGGTGCGTTCTACGCCTGCTTTTTCTTGGTCTGTGAGAGGGGTTTTAATCTTTGAGACGAAGGAGGAGAGAGTGTCGAGTGAGATTTCTATGAGGTTTATGTTGGAGGCGAGACAGTGTTTGGGGTATTGGAGGCCGATGGCTCGAGTGATTTCCGATCCCCAGTCACCTCCTTGAGTTACTGTGGTTTTGTTACTATATGAAAATGAAATGAAGAGTGTTTTCTTACCATATCTCTCATATCCGAGCTTCATCATAACCTTATGAACCGCTTCAGCATACTTGCTAAGATCAAACCCCTTCCCCTTCACACCCCCCGAGAACCCAAAATTAGGAAGCGAAGGCGCAACAACATGAAAAGAGACTCCATTCTTTCCTTCCGTCAGCAATTTCAACATTTTCCCCACCTCCAGAAAGCTTCCCGGCCCTGAAAACAGTAAGTCATTTGCCACACTCAATTGATCTGACCGGGATTCCGAGAAACTTACAGCCATGAACAAACAACAACGGCACACTACCCTTCTTTCCTTTTTGATGCACCAAATGCATATCAATCTCTCCAAATCCTTCAACCTCGATCTTCGTCGTAAACTGTGGAAATTGCTCGTTTATTTTTGCTTCTTGGGCACGCCAATCGAATCCATTTCCCCAATATTTCGCCAGGCGTTTGACGTCTTTGAGGGTGGATCCATACGCCCAATCATCTGAGAAATCGACTTCTTCTGGGAAGGAGGAGACTGAGAGTTTCTTGTGTAGAGTTGAAATTTGCGAATCAGGGATCGAGATTTTGTAAGGAGTGATTGGCGAATTCATTGTAGTTGATGAGATACAGAAATGTTTACTTGAGCTTGTGAGTTGTAGTTAATGAAATGGAAGTAGATTTGCTGTGATTTAAAAGCTTATTTCCTAGGAGGGATTCAATTGATCTTATACCTCAGATCTTACTATTAGAGAATTATCTCGCTATGCAATTGAATTATATCTTGACTGAAAGAAGTTCTTATTGCCATGGGTTTGACATGAGTAGTCGGTACTGAGGTCATCGCCACGTGAGAAGGGCGTGCTGACATAATTTAAGATGCTGCGTTTCTTACATAATGAATACAGCTCCAGGGCTACCAGTGACACAGTGTAAGATTGATTGGCCAATTTGGCCTTAAGTTGCGGAGTAAAATGTCCACCTTAACACTCGGTCAAGGAGTTAACCTCGGGAAACATGGTATAGAGGATGAGCTAATCATCACTGCTGGAAAGCTGACATAGCAATAAGCACGATTAAATTCGCAAGATGTGTGCTAATAATCTTGTCTAAATGATCATAATACAATAATAACCGCAAAACCCAATTAGAACAAACAAATGATCTTCAGTGCACAAATGCGGGGAAATGGTCACAAGCGACGTCATTGAGGTCAAAGCAGAATCCCCAAACGCACGGGAAATACCCATGTGCGTCTCGAGCTGTGGATAACATAATTGGCATGAATAATATTGTGTTTAGATTAAGCTGACCTAACCTTACATTCAGTCTTGAATTGTTAGTATAGACAAGAGCTAAGACCGTGTCCAAAATCTACTAATTATAAGTCGAAATAATATCTCAGATGAGGAGTTCTGCAGGTAGCAGCTACTTAAGTCGTCTATGACAAACCTCTTTAGTCTCTTAATAATACCATCGCGGAATCATTTCTAAAGTCCATGAATCTCATATATACACTCGAATACTTAGAATATTTACAAAAGTATAATACATCATTCAAACATATCTTCCCTCGCAAAAATAATCACAACTTCGACTTACCCTCTTTCCCCTCCCCTCTCAACACTTTCTCCAAAGCATCAACGCCAGCCTGAACAACCTCCTGATCTTGCGCCGGAGTTCCCTGTTCCAAATTAGCTTACGATCATCATCAAACCTCTCCATATCCCCATGGCCTCTTCATCATGAAACGCTATCAAAAGCATCCTCCTACAAACCCAGAGAAATACAGATAATAGGCAAACTCACAGTACTAGCTCCAATCCCACCAACAACCCTCCCCTCTGCATCTTTTACAGGCAATCCACCTCCGAAAGTAGTAAACCGTCCTCCATTACTGTTACCAATGCCATAAGCCGGTCCACCGGGCCAGACGGCGTCTTTATATGTATGAGTTCCTGGTGGTTATTAGCATCCACATTCGACTTCCATTTCCCCAATTTCCAATATCTTCATCATCCACCACCATAACTCATCCTCATGACTCAACCCCCAACCACCTCACCAAAGAAACTCATACCAAGCCAAACATTCCCCTTGAATATAAACCAAAAAAAAACTCACCAACACGATGCCCAGCAGCCGTAAAAGCCTTATCCATCGCAATACTAATACTCGTGATCTTGGCCCCGTCCATGCGTTCAAAAGCAATAAGGTTGGTCGACGCGTCTACAATAGCAATATTCATGGGCACACCAATGATTTTGGCGTGGGATTGGGCGGCGGCGAGGGCGATATGGGCGCCTTGCAGGGTGAGTTGGGGTTGGGATTTTGTAGCCATGGTTGATGTTGTAGCTGAGAGGACTCGGTGGTGTTGGTATTGGAAAAGCGAAGGTCTGTAGTGAGGGAGATGTGAAAATGAGAATAAAAGAATTGATGATTAGAGATGCAAAAATCGCTATTGCATCAACCTTTCAAGGTTGGAGATAGTTGATCATCATCAGGAGTTTGGCGGACAGGAGATGGCCCGGAGGAGATTCGGGAATAAACTCGGCACGGATTGAAGGAGAACATTAGCAAGTTGATCACGTGCACACACAATGAGCAAAACCAAGTCAATGTACACTTTCGTAGCGTTGTCAATTGGTGATATGTTCTCTAGATTTTTCACGTAAGATTTTGATATATTTCACGAGGTTCCTACGACCAGGGTGCAACTCCCAGCATATACTCGCGCTTACTCGCACAGCCCTAGGAGGCGACCAGCTACACCATTCCACTCGTCATCCCACCTCCTACTACCTTCTTTGACTGCTCCCTTTCTGAGGGTTGCCAGTTCCTTTCCGTTGGTATCACCAAATAGACGCTCCAAAGTCCGGACGAGGTCGTCGCTAGTCACAAAGCCGCATCCATTGACGCCCTCTTGAACGAGTTCATTCCAACTGGCATAATTTCCATATCCAACAACAGGCAAACCAGCTCCGAACATATCGACAACTTTCATTGGGAGGTCAACACCACTACTACTCATGTGTAGACAGACTCCGAGATCCGCGCAAGCAAGCAAAGTGGCATAATCTTCAGTGCTAAGCCACGCGGTACTGATGGAAACATTTTTCAGTTTGGATTGTTTCGTCAGCAATGCGATTCGATCAAGATACATTTGTTTCTGGGGTCCCTTGCCCGTGATTATTGCAAGAATCGGCGGAAGCGACTGAGAAGATGCGGAGTATTCACACAAAGCTTCGAGAAGTAAATTGAAGTCTTCATCAGGTGTCCACGATGTGCTGCTGACAAGTAGTCGAGTCTTATCGTCCATGATAGCGTCTGAATGCTCCATAGTTTCAGGAATTCTTTCCAAGAAAGCTCTCCTCTTCGTGCTATTAGATATTGGCTGGAAAATAGCGGCAGGTCTGTCGTGCAGAGTAAAAATTGGCGACTTGACATTGTAAGGCTTCTCTCGAAGCTGTTTTGCCATTGCATCCGTGACGGTAAAGGAGGCTGTGGGTACCCAGCTACCTAATCTTGACTCGTAGAATTTTGAAATCTTGACAAATGGGTGTTGTGGTCCTCTTGTACCCGCAAGGATCGTCCATCCATAATTATGCCAGTCGATTATTAAATGCGTATTTCGTAGAAAACAGACGATAAACGCGACAAAGAGGGTTGGAATCGAGGGGGGGTTCTGGACCAGCAGCCATCTCGCCGGTTTCGAACTGTAGCTGAGGGTATAAAAAATGGTCCAAATTTGCCAGAGGACCTTGAGAGGACCTGCAATGATGAAAGGAATCGCTTTGGATCTAAGTATCGGTGGAGGAGGAGATAATGGAACGATGTTAATATCTGGATTATCAAGGACTTCTGGATGAGGTTTCGACTCTGCGAAGAATTAGTTAGTACGCCTAGAAGAATAGCGGGAAGCCGGAATTTGGTACCCATATACCCAACCAAGTCCACTCTACCTCCATTCTTAGCGATGCTCATGGCATGATACTGCATCCGTGGACTACGACCAATGTCTCCGAGGACCAGCACTTGGACGGAGACTTTGGGCTCATCTGAGGAACGCAGCTTGGGTTTTGGTGGAGAGTGCTTGATATACCGAGTTGGCAGCATCAAGAGAATGGCCGTGAAGGTCGTCGAGGCTATCACGGCCAGCGTAAGGAGGATTTCCAACATTTCGAGACGTGGCTCGAGGACTTGCTCTGCAAGCAAGATGGAATTATTCAGCCCCGCATTGTCAGATGGTTGCTTGAACAGATGGCTACGAACAAACCTCAATTGCTCGAATGTCGCGAAGAAATCTTGAGAAGTGGTGAAAGAAAATGAGAAGACTGCGCAAGGTAAGTGTTTACAGACCTGAAGGCTGGAGATGCGACGAAGAACCTTGGAAGTTCCAATTGTCATCAGCCTCGCCGGCAGAACGTTTTTGCGCTCCTCCTCAACGACAGCGAGCTTCCTGTTGGCCATGGCTGCCGCTATGCCAACTTGTCGCGTCAAGATGCAGGGCTCTCCAGGGTATTTTAGGCGGTTTAACCATGTTCAGACGCCGTGAGGACAGCGCTGAGGCCAACCAGAGGATTGCTTGGCGGGCGACAACCATCGCGGGAAATCAGTCAGGGGCAGTGGGAGGCAGAGAGACAGGAAGGAGACAATCCTGACTTGGAAGTGACTTCCAATAATCCACCACCTCCGCACGATCCACAATCATCCACCTTCACCTCATCGTCACCGTCAGTGCGATTAAAGATATTCTGCACATTCAGACGACCATTGAGCAACGTACGTTTTAGGACGGGAGGATAAAGAACTTCCTCTTTCACTTCCCGCCTCTTCAGGAACGGATTCCCCCAAGGATTGTTTACTTGCCGTGCGAACAACACCACAACTCCATACGAGTCGATTGGAATACGGATATACATGTGGGGAGGTGTGCAAACGATACGGGCTCCAGAGCCTTATTATTATCGGTAGGAATTGAGCATCACAATGGCTTCATCGTATGCTCTTCCAGCATCTGCAATTCATGGCCACGTCCACCCACATTCGCACGCCCACTCCCAGTCACATTCGGCGTCACCAAGTCGACCTTTTGCAGGAAATACATCGAGGCAATTGAGGTCGGAACGGTCGAGTAGCAGTCTGCACATGCATTCTGCGTCGGAATCGAGCGTCAACCACAGTTACGATTCGGACACAAACCACAATCATGATCGATTGTCTCGAATAACGAGTCCCTCGACTAGCAATGGCTATGCGCCGGTATACGGACAATTCGAGGATCGTAAAGTCAATCATGGTCGGCCGCTATCCTATGTTGGCTCACACGAGTCTTTCAACCAGACCAATACAATAAAACACACCCACTCCCATCATGACCACGATCACCACGATCACCACGACCACAGCCATGACCATAGTCAGCATGATCACCATCATGATAATGGCCACGATCACGACCACCACAAACACAGTATCTTAGTCGATCCAAGATCCAAATTTACGGCGCTTCTTCTGCCTTTAATACAAAATTACCCACTTTTACACACAATCATGTCCGAGAAGGATTCGAGAAGGATATTTTACTTTATGAGGTAAACAACACTCGACCCGGTGTATGGGGAATGTGCTAACAATTGCCAGTCTCAATTTTGCGTTTATGATGGTACAAGCATTCTATGGATACATTACAGATTCGCTGGGGTTACTGAGTGACAGTATACATATGTTTTTCGACTGCTTGGCATTAGGCGTCGGATTATTTGCGGCGGTGGCGAGTAAATGGCCGCCGAGTCAACGGTTCCCATATGGTTTTGGCAAAATCGAGAGCTTGTCAGGGTTTGGCAATGGGGTGTTTCTGATGTAGGTCTACCATTTTAGGTCATGTCTTACTCACCAACTAATCAAAAATTCCAGGCTCATCAGTGTTGAGATCATGATAGAGGCCACCGAGCGATTGTCTGATGGACGTGAAACCAAGAGACTTCTCGAGTTATTCGTAGTTAGTGGTATGGGGCTAGCAGTGAATTTGGTGGGGATGGCATGTTTTGGACACCACCATCACGGCCATGATCACGGAGATCATAGCCACGGACACTCTCACTCGGACGAAAAGGCTCATTCTCACGACGACGACCACAGTCATGACCATAAACATGATTGCAGCCATGGTGACCATGACCACAAGCATGAGCACAAAAATCACTCCCACTCCCCTCTGCTACCCGCTTCGAAGCCTGAAGCAGACCATTCCCACAGTCATGCTGACCATGGGCACTCTCATGGACATAGCCACGACAACGAGAATATGCATGGTATCTTCTTGCACGTTCTTGCTGACACTATGGGAAGCGCGGCTGTGATGGTTTCCACGGCGTTAATTTACATTTCCGGATGGTCCGGCTGGGATCCTATCGCTTCTTGCATAATTGCAATCCTCATTTTCCTCTCGTCAATACCGCTTATCAAGTCTACGGCCAAGAAATTACTCCTAACAATACCGGACGACGTTGAGTACAATCTCCGGACGACTCTTTCGAGCGTTAGTGATCTTCGTGGCGTAGCGAGCTATTCAGTCCCCAGATTCTGGTTGGGTGACAAGAATGCTGAGGCTGAGAACGTGGGCGTACTTGGTGTAATGCACATCGTTGCCACACGTGGCTCGGATTTAGACGACGTTCGAGAACGCACGCGCGCATTGTTGAGGAGTCACGGTATCGACGTTGTCGTACAGGTGGAAAAAGACGGAGATAACAGCTGTTGGTGCGGAGGATCCGCCAGCCGGTCGCCCTCACGATTTTAAGATAACATGATTGAAGGAGCCTTGTTTTGCATGTACATTTAGTACGGCGCTTCTGGATTTTTTTCGGGTCATGGAAATCGACCTTTTGGATGGAAAGGTGTCGGATCGTGTTTGAGCACGTCCAAAGCCTGTTGCTCTTTTATTTGCTTGGATTGAATGGTGTAGGATATTATATCTTGCTTCAAGTTTTGTGGCAATGGGCGCAGTACATACTTGACAGTGAGTTATATGCAAGTATATAGATAGATAGGAGTAGAAATGATACCACTATTGCATCTTAGTCGTGTGGATTTGCTCACGTGTGGTCTGTCGTGCATGTACAGAGTTGTTTCTTCACCTCAGCATTGTCACACAGTCATCATCTGGGCAAACCACACCAGAAACCTGCGATATTGGGAGACATATTGCATATATATTTATGACACTATTTCTTACACATCATCATTCATCAAGGCATAACATCATATTCTCTACACCTCCTTAAAAGCAACATCCGCCTCACTTTTCGCCGTCCCTTCCTCTTTCCCCGCCTCGTGTTCTTTGGCTCTCTCAGTCGTCTCCCGCACAGTCTCTTGTCCCTCCTTCGCAGACGCCGCTATCTCTTTCGCAGATTCGGTCGTAATATCATGATTCAGATTCGCAATATCATTGTTCAATTGAGCTATCTTCGGAGCGTCCTGTTCACCTTGTAATTGCGCGTTCTTGCTCTGTAGGAGTGCTTGGTCAGTGTTGAGTTTCGTCTGCGCAGCTACTTTCGCCGCATTCTGCGTCACTACATTACGAGCTGCCGCGGCAGAATTGGCGTTTGCGTCGGTTTTTATCTTGGTTGCTAGCAGGCCGCGCGTGTGTGAAGTCATGTATGATGGTCCTCCGGCTGAGGTGTCGCTTTTTAGAGCAGTGAGCATACTTTCTGCGATGGTCTTTACAACGGCGTCTCTGATAGTCACTTTCTCGGTTTGCGTGATGATGGCGCTATCCTCGTACGGTTGCAGGATTTTGTTGATTAGCACTGTACGATCGGATGATAGGGCTGTTTCCAAGGTCGTTCTGGCTTTGGCCTCGAGCTTGCTATGGAGACCAACGAGATCGTAGGTGTTGCTTGGGTCTTGGGGGTCGGCTGGGTCGAGGGGAGAGAGATCCATGGCGTTTGTGTGGTGGGTGAATTCTGTTTTCAGGTCGTTCTCGAGCTGCGTTCGGATATGCGACATGCGTGCTGCGTCTGTCGCTTTTCCTGATTGTAGCTCCGCCGCTACTTGGATTCCATCTTTCACGGATTGAATATCCTTCTTCAAGTCTGCCACATTTACTTTGAGGATATCATAATGCTTCATCTCAAGCGCCGTTGCATTCGCGGGGTCCGCTGCTGCGTCCTTACCTGCTTTCTTGTCTTTGGCATGCCAGTACCATGCTTGAATTCCGAATCCGATTGAGATGATACTCACGATGGTGGTGAAGATGAAGCCGTAGACGACGTTGAAGTCGGTAAAGCCTTCGAAAGACGATTTGCCCTCTTGATGTACAGCTTTGCTGCCTTTGAAACCTTCGTCGCCATCAGGGGCGACTGCACCTGAGAAGTCGACGGTGAAGTCGCTCGTCGAAGGATTGAGATCAGTGGTAAACTTTACACCGCTGAAGGCGTAATTCTTGCCATCAAAAAAGCAATTGAAGCTTGCTTCGGGCCATTCGCCCGAGTTCGTGACAGCTAGATTGCTGACTTCTTTCATTGCCTTATCGTCGCCTTGAATGGCTATCTTTCCAGTATGTGGATTAACTGTCAGGAACTTGCCTTTCAAGGATGATGGTGAAGAAATCGTATATACCGCAGCAAATTCCTTGAGGTCAGGTGTTTCTACGAACATGGCATAAATACCATTAGATGGAATACTTTCCATCGAAGCGGCTACAACTGCTGAGCCATCTGAGATGCGCGTAACATGTGTCAGCTCTTCGGCCGTGATATCTTCGAGGCCCTGGCTCGCTAGGACAGTGTGCACGGCGCCACCATCTCCAGCAGGATCATTATTGGATAGGGCTGCTATAAGCTTCTGGGCGAATTTGCCGTCCTTTTCAAGAAGAGCGGCTTGCAACTTTTGCACTCGCGGAGAGCGCGTTGTATTCCCTCCAGATAGAGGCGCGAACATAGCAAGCGCCGTAGCAGTCGCTGGCTTCTTAGGTCCCAGAACGAACATATCCGCGGGCAGTGAGACTCCATTTCCTCCAGCTGTGTCTGGCCTGAATACCGTTCGACCACCAAATAGCAAATTGCTAGCCAAGAAATAGTTGATACCAGCAGTAAACTTGAACGTGCCAAAATTTGCCGATATGCCAAGAAGCGCACGAGGAATGGTATCGTCAGAAAATCCTGACATGGCACTCCAAAAATCCCCTTCATCGCCCTTCTTCAGATCTTTCGTCTTGAAACTATCTTGCATGGAGAATTTCAACGTGATCTCATCGTCGGCTCCGTTTTCCCACGATACATTGAGTTGGTCCATGTATAAGGTCAGTGTGGCATAACCCTGCTTCTTGCCCTCTCTTTGGCGGTATTGGTCGTTGTATCGATACGTGAAATGTATGTTCTTAAGTTCTCCCTGCCATGACATACTACTGGATGAGTCGCGTAAATTGAAGGTCGCCAGTGGTGCATCTTTGTATGAGCCGTCGCCCTTTGGAGAGACGTTGAAACTTGTCTTATCTGACTCAACGATCTTGTATTGTCCACTATCACCATTGGCTCCTCTTTCCAGGGTCACGGAGATACCAGCCACTTGAATCTCTCTGTCTGGCAGTTTGGCCGTGAATTTAATGCCCTCATTGTCTCCAGTGTCTCGTTTTATCTCAAGAAACTTTTCTTTCTCTAGTGCAGGCTACACATGTTCAGTATTTAGTCACTTTTCAGCTATGTCACCTACCTGTATCATGGTTCTCCAAATGAGATTTTGCGAGAAGTATGCAACCGCTTGATGACTTGATGGCACAGGGCAAACTTCCTCCCTCGGATCCCCTTTGAAGCGTAGCGGCGCATCTGACCTGTCAAGATAACCAAGTTCGTTATCATTGACGGCCATCCACATAAGTAGGCAAGGTCTCTTCCCGGCCGTCGTAGCATCGGAAGATGGCTGGTACAGGGTGAAGCATACGGCCGTGGGATTCAGAATTGTCTTTGTAGTTTGTGTGGTCGTCGTGCCTAGCATTTTATAGACCACACCACAGCTACGAAAATGATCTTGAATCTTACCAAGCGCTTTCGGTAAGATTTCAGCAGTGTCGAAATCAGGAGAGGAAATCGTGTTGAATTTTGGCTCTACGGATGCAAAGTCTAGTGCGACGTGCACTGAAGCATCTTTCTTAGGATCCAGCGCGATGGGCGTGTTAGCTGGAAGACCGTGTCCCGCGTTGACGTTTGCACTGCCAACATGAACAAGCGGTGCAGTCAATGTCAACAGGATTCCGGCGGGCAATGGGTGTGATATCTCTGAGAGACCTACGGCTGCTCTTGTGTATGTGCCAGTCATTGACATTGTCAGAGTAGCTTGAGGGTCACCCTTGCCCTCATAAAACTGCATTGTTGGCATGCCGAACTTCCATGAGATCGTTCTTTTCTCCGCTGGTGCATGGGTGTAGCTATCTCCAGGCTCTACCGATTTGTTAATCAAGACATGTTCAATGGTAGCTAATTTTTTCACTCACGAGGCCACGCTATGCTGTCTTCCTGGCTGATAACCTTCTCATTCTCCTTGCTCGCTGCGCTGGTCTGTAGTTCGGCGTTGACAAATTCTAGATCAAATGCTACCATCACGTCCCATTTGGCTAGGGTATTGTGTGATTTGAGTGCATTGTAAATGTTGTCTTTAGTCCATTGCGCAGTCGCTGCAGCGGGAGCAGCTGCCATTGTGCTAGAGGTGAAGAGATTATAGGGGAGGGAAGCTTGGCAGGGAAAATAGTTGCAGAATACAGAATTGAAAGAGAGAAATGAAAATGGGTGAATTCAAGAAATATTCAGTATTTGACAGTAAAGGATTTACTTCAGCTAGACTCTGTGGCTGTAAGTGACGCTCGCTAACGAGGATTTTGGCAATACTGGTGTTTACGTGCTAACCTTGCTCAGATATTTTTAGAGCTCATGTCTGGAAACCGCTAAGATGGACATTGCCCATGGGCATTGTGAAATATCGATTTCCAAAAAAGGTAATGTCGACCAGCTGGCATTGTAAACGCCACAAACCTCAATCACTTGACCTGGTAACTCGGTATCGCCGCGGTGGGAGGCGTGCATTATGCTGGATTATCGAGGCTTCTTTTGAGGTGCTTCCTTCGGAGAGTTCTCGTAATTCTAGCTATGGCTGGCGAGCTTGTTCTCTTGGTGGTTAGTTAGATTCGACCCCGCAAGTATCGTGGCACGGTAACTACTTGGAGTAGATTAAGCGAGAGGCGTCCATAGTATTGAGCTGAGAAGCTGAAATACGTTGCATTAAGCTAGTCGAAGTGGGAAGTTTAGACTAGAGCCCTACGATGTACAGGCTAGAGTCAAGTATTCTGGTCCAAGTGCTGCAGATTTGTCGCCAGCATACTGCATCGCAGCTAGCCACAGCCAGGCACAGACAATATCATTGACGTACGACGAATCACTCTCGATGTAGCTATTTTTTGCCAGAGTTCGAATGATAGAAATGAATACGATCGGACTTGATTCTCGTTATCATTGCGACATCAAGCAGGATGTTGCCGTTTAACGAAAGGGAAACAAGTCTGGTCAAGGACAACATATGGCTGAGGTTAAGTGTAGGAACGATCCGATTAGACGACGTGCACAATTCTTCTCAATCTGGATTTCTTATCTTTGCAGACACGGTGGTTCTGTCAGGAACGCATTCTTATCCAGGAAAGCATGTTGGTGTTTTCTGCAGAACGCTGATTCTCGAAACAACTCACGCGATCATCGATGTCAGTGGTACTTCTGGCTCACCTGCGGCTGGTAGGCAAGATGGTTCAGACGCAGGTACAATAGCAATTTACGTTCAAGAACTGCAAACGAAGCAAATTGGAAACCATCCGGTGAACAGCGAGGCCCAAGGACTTTTTCTTAAGGCGAATGGCGGCAATGGATCGCAAGTTGTTGGATCAACCGACGCCGGCAAGGGAGGGAGAGGCGGCGATACTAACTTCTTCTTCGGCCATTCTGCTGTAAGCCTCCAGGAGGGTATTACGTCGCGAATATCACAGAAGAGGTACGTTGCAACTCCTTCGTCTGTGTGATAAACACTGACTGTTGTGACAACAAGATATGGATGGGTTGCTTTGGCAGCATATACTCAGCTGGCTTTAAGCCAGCAGATAGACTACCTCAAGGAGGCAACGCCAACTGCGGAGCAGTACTATACGCTCATGACTGCATATCTGCTTGACAATGCAACTCTGGGTAGTAAACTCGAGCCGACTAGAGTGGCTTTGGTTGCAGCCTTAGACTACTACAAAAAGCAGGAAGAAACAACTGATCCTAAGCTTCTGATATCCATTCAAGGTCTTGTTGCTGCCATAAAAGCCCTGAGCGCTCAGCCTGACATCTCAGTTGCTGATGTCGACACCATCAAAACCGCTGATCCTTTCACTTTCTTGGATGCAAGTTTTGGTACGCTAGACAAAGTGAAAGTGTTCAACCCGGCCAGTGACACAGTCGCCAAGCTCGATAGCTATGCCAAAGTCATGAAAACAAACCCACTGGCCGCGAACTCTGGTCAAGATACCTTGAGAACACGTGTTTCTAGGCTAATTGACCATGTAGGTGATGCACTCGAGGCATCATCATCTATTGCTCGTACAACCATGATTGAGGTCAGTGGTGGAATGAGCAGTGATGCTAATAAACAGAAACCCGGTACGCCTGGCGTGAGTTCTGCTATGGCAGTAACACAAGCGACAGTAGAAACTCCTCTTCCATTGTGGCTACTACATCCAGATCAATGCCAGATGATGCTCACAGTCGCGGACAACCAATTTTTCAGCAACAATGCGGAAGATATCGTCAAGGCAGCCAATGTTTACAGAGCTCTACAAACACAGCAGTCATACTTCAAACTTGATCAATTTAGCCCGCCATCGGCCAATTTAAAGGTTCAACGCTCGTGGAATTGGTTCGAAAACGCGTGGAGTGCACTTTCTTTCAATGGGGATACCCAACTGAGAGCGGTTACGAGCAATGCTTCCATTTCTCTGTCTCGACTTCAAGCAGGTCAAGACTTCTTTGGAAATGCACAGAAATGGGCTCCACGACTGTCCTACAAGTTCTATGCTGGCCTGGCTGATGACCTCAAAGCAGATGTTTCAAAAATGGAAGAATACGTTGTAGCTTACGAGGAAGCTTATAAGTCGAATTCAGAGGCAGAATCAGTTCTTGCAAATGCCATTGAGACTAGCTCGCGACTTCAGAATTCGGCTAATACCAAAATTGCATACTTACTGGACCGTAACGGTCCTATTCGCAGTGCAGAAAGCAAGATCGCTTCGATGGGACCGCTCGTTCGAGCAGCCAAGAGCCAAATTGGTGGCAAACTGGTCACTGTCGCTAATGATATCCGAAATCATATCAATATGGATCCTCAAATCTTTATCGATGCAATGAGCATGATAGCGATGGCGCCACACAAGAGCATGATGGTGGCTGAAGCTGTTTCTACCGGTTACAAGGCGCTCACGACTGTCAAAGGTGCTGATGGTGTCAGTGTAAACAAAAGCTATGTCATTAATGAGCTCCGTGACACCGATGGCAGCCTCGAAAGGCTGAAAGAGGGATTCCAGACGCGTTCGGATGGATATCTCGAGATTGACGATCCTGGTGCCAGTAAATTGCTGATCATTCAGAGCGATCTTGATAAACTTATGAAGACGTTCAAATCTGCTATACCAGATAGCGCCAGCAAAGATCTCGACGCTGCTCTGAGTAGCTACATTTCGCTTGTTCTGGAACGCAATGGGGCTGTCATCAATTACAACACCAGTCTGCTGTATCTTGCTCAAGCTGTGGAAGATCGAGATGCCAGTGTGCAAAGTCTGCAGGCATATGGCTCTCAGCTAAACAAGATTGATAAGTCGCTTCAGTCGCCCTTTTATCTATTACGGCAAATGCTCCGTAGGCATCAATTGCTCGTCTTGGACAGCTTGACCTGCTGTTCTCAATCCCTCCGGCTGTGGGGACTGCAAGAAGAGTCCCGCGTCTGGAGTCAAGATTCTGGTCTCCCTACAGTCGTCGAGTTATATCAATGGAGGACTGAACTTGAGCAGAGCTTCAAGACACTACTCGGGACACGCTTCGGTGGTCTTGCAACGAATTTTCACTACGGCTCAGATGCGATATGGCATATGCTTGAACCTGGCGAAGTGGAAGCTCTGAAGGAAGCAAGTTCAGTGGATGTCGCTATAAGCCCTGGCGCTGAGAAGACAAAGTCGGTGAAGAGATATGCCACAACACTAGGCTCGTTGAAAAGCGCACTCGCCTGGTCTATCACTGAGCCCAGCTCTTCAGCATTCTATTCTTGCAGTGATTTCCGCGTCACATCCGTTAGCTGTTTCATTGAGGGTATCATAATCGGAGCCAAGCCACATTCAGCAGTGTTGAACAAGCCGGTAAAGATTAGATTGCAGCATTTCGGTGACGACGCCTTTGTTCGCGAAGATGATTTTCGAATTGATTTTAGTAATAGCGGTGTCCTCTATACTCCATCATACGACACGTCCAAAATCCATACAGCCGACGAATTCGCAGCACATCTCGAACGTAAATCTGCAAAGGTCTGGGAGGCGGATATCCTAAAGCCGGTTGGGTATGATGGTCTGCTAGTACCGTTAGGTCCTTTCGCGACTTGGGAAATTAGTTTACATGAGTTGCATAATACTAACCTTGATCTTAGCAAGGTTACACATGTTTGGATTGTTTTTGAAGGCACGAGTGTACCGTTTAGAATGTAGAGAGTCGCTTTTGTCATAGAGCTCCGTGTTGTCAATTCTTGATGCTCTGAGAGACTTGGGGCCGCCTAGACAAGAGAACTTCATAGCCTACTTGACTAAGGTAGTCTTGGTGATAGCGGCATACCCTTGTCTGATTGACTGAGTAGCGAGAGTAGCCAACTCTCGATACCGAAACTTGAGATCTAAGAGTCTGAACTCTTGCGAGTACTACTCATCGTCTCGCTTTTTCTGTATTTTAAATCAGGACTTTATGGGCATGCTTTTTTTCCCCCGCGGTTGACATGAATTCTGCCATCAACGGCAGTTTTAGTATGAGCTTAGCTTACAATTAGCTTATCTTGACTACTTCGCTGTACTATGAAAAGTCACTAAAGCCGTTTGAAACTTGTCTACTAACTTTAACTCAGGACAATAAAAGTTTGGCGACCTCAAAGATGTGCTCTGAAGAATTGGAAGAGAATCAGACCTAAGAAATGAGACAGAAGATTTGAAGTTGTCTAGATCGTAAACAGTTTCGTCGACCGTCACTTTCTGGGAAAACAGACGATGGAACCAAAATGAAACTCGAATGAATCGTCTGTAAACGCTTATTTCGTATATCCATAAACGTATTGATGCGCTGGTACGAATGCACATAAAGACAAGGCCGCGCCTGACTTACGCCACGTAACACCTTCCCCAAATCAAATATCATGTCTCATGTGCCCTCTCGGCTTGTTTAATCCTCACCTAAACTCTCCCTAACAATCTTCCTACATCTTCGCTTGAATTCCTTGTCTCCACTGGTCTTCTCCGCTCTCCATAGCTTTGCCGCCTCGACGTTCGCCGGACTCTCATCGTTCGGGCTATACATCAAACTTATTGTGCTCACCAATATCGTCTCCGGTGACTGTACCGGACTCCATCTCTCGGACGCTGACTCATACCCGTATTTGTCCTCTTCTGGCGGGTGCAAGATTGAGATGCATAGCGTGCCGTCGGGGTAGATGTTCGGATGGAAGGGTATTGGCGTCTTGAATATCAAGGTTGGTGGGTAGAGTGGATATGTTGGGGGGAATGTAAGAGTGCAAGTGAAGTTACCACCTGTGCATGATCAGTTAGCAAGATATTGAAGGTGGGCTAATGATATTGTACCTCCGTAATACTTGCAATCATCGTTGATCATAAGCATTACTTCCCACTCAAACACATTGTCTTTGACTAATCCGCAGGATATCCCAGGCAAGTCTCGTGCCTTTTGAATCTCCTTGAACTGACGTGCTAGAAGTCCAGCAGTTGCGCTTGAGGATTTTGGCATTGCGGCCCCAGATAGTATGTTTCCGTGGAAGTTGTCTGAGAATCCGGGTCCGAAGGCGCACAGCTGATGGGCGACGTTAGAGCCGTTTACACAATACGATAATGATTTAGCAATCCGGATCTGCTCAGCTGGGAGATAGCAGCACACGAGTTTGTTGTGGTTTGTTTCTGATCGTCAGATTTGGGTATGACGAGATCGTTCCAACCTATCTTCGCCGTGCGCTATTGGAATATGGGACGCTACATGGACGTAAAATCGTGTGAGCGTGGGTCGGATCACGAAGGAAACCTTATGCCAGAATCATTCCTACCAGTCCTTCGAAAACGAGTGTCGCGTGTGCAATGACCCAAACCCACGGCCCTGGAATGGGAGAAGTTGTAATGATGATGAAATCGGACATGAGGTTGTAGTGGGGGCGGGGCGGGCCTTAAAGCCTATGTCCGAAGTTTCTCCTGAACATCACCCACGACTGGTTCTGCTTCTGCAAACACATTTTCTGGAAATTCTTTCATTATTTACACCACATGGTTTTAGTCACCTTTCGTGCCTGGGAGCTCCTCAACGCCATGGATTTGACTCAGTTTACACACTCTTCGTCACAGGTCGCCTTGATATCAGGTCTTTTCGCATGGTTAGGTTCTCCAGCGACAAACGAACGAAAGAATGCGGGTCGTTTCTGTTTTACCTGCGGAAAGGTACAGGAACTGCATGGCATTTACATAAATCATGCCGCCTACTTGTTAGCCGTTAGATTTGATATCAGGTGTCTGGTTCACTGTCTCTCTTGCAAAGTCAACCTGCGGGTGTGAACATGGCAAATAGGTAGCCTGTCAACGAACAAGGAAGTGATGTGTTAATCAAGTAGCCTTTAAAAATGGAGCTTGCATATCACTCTTTGATATCATCATCTGCAAGCAAGTTGCTGGTAAAGCACTTCTCGTTCATTGGTCCTGTTCTTCTGTTTGCTGCGAAAAAACGCTCAAGAAAGACATATTTCTTTGGTGTTTCAAGGCAGCTTACACCAAACTCTCCTAGTCTTTCAGTCTCTTTCAGTCTATGGAAGAGCTACAGTCTTCATGTAATACCTCACTTCCCATCAAAGAGAATTTTTCAGAGCACTTATTCTCCAGTAAATACTTATATAAACCGAACAGGATCTCGCAGAATATCCAGATCCGAAAAAGTCAACATTCAGATAGGTCAAGGCATACTTCACAAATCGCACCAACACACACAAGACATGGCTCCAAGACGACCCCAACTTGAAGCCTCTTCCACATCCCACAAGCCAGTGGGTGGACCAGATCAACTCCCGGTAGCCAGATCTTCTCACACAATCGACGGGATACATTCCCAACGCAGTCTCCACACAGATCCAGATCTTGTTAATGTTAAGGAATTTCTTGTGACTGGTTCTAAGATGCCTTTATGGCTCTACCTCGTCGAGTGTAACATCCATCCCAGGGAGCCACTGAGTCATGGTTTTCCTCCGCTTAACAACGTTTCGGAACATCGATGGGAAAAGCCAGCTACACCAGGGATTTTGGCTCGCCATATCGAAAATCACTTTGAAATTGAAGGCCTTCTTGAGAACGACCGAAACCAAAAAAAATTCAGGCACGAGATCCAGGGAGGTTACAGATGCCTCTTTCTTCTCGAAAAGCATGCACTCTCGCACATCAAGGCTAAAGAAGCGGAGAAAAAAGAATTTGCTAAGTGGAGGATCTATCTTATAGAGGGAAGGAAGCTTAGCGACCATCAAGCAGTGGTCGTTGATGTCGACAAGGCACATAAGATATTGTCCTCGTCAGGCTTGATAACACAGAGGTTGAGTACTGCAACCACGGAAGGCGCTTATCTTGTGCTCGGTGGTATCGATGCCCATGAGGTATCTGGTAGCTACCCTTTGAACGCAAGACGGCTTTGGGAACTGGGTCTCAGTGAAGTCGAGCTCGCTGCCATTCGAAAAGGCATCGAACTAGGAGCTCTGAATGTCATCGACATGGCAGGAGAGCCTTTGCTACTAGATGAACATCAAGAAGCGAGTCAGCAAACCGGAGACCAAGACACTACTTCTGCTGCTATAAACAAATTACGACAACCTTTCCCTGGGGAGATTAAAAGCGTCATTCAAGCCAAGCGGGACAGGAAAAATAAGGGCAAATATCTATTCAGAGTTGACTGGGTAGGAGTATGGATTCCGAAGGATGAGTGGCTGCCACATGCAAACGTACCCAAGGAAATGAGGGACCCCGCTATCAAGGAATTCGAAGCAAAAAGGAAGGCTGAGAATTTAAAGTCCAACGCTGCGAAAAAAAGAAAGGCAGATGGCCATCCAATGGCCGAGTAGTATAGCAGATAACAAACGCAGAGAGGGCGCGAGGGCTACCAAGTCGGCTGCGGCTCATGTGTACGATGAGTTGAGAAGGTACCTATTTGATATCATGTGGGATGAAAGACGGAAAAGCCAAGATCAAGCGCGTAGAAATGGGGAGGGCCTCTTTGAAGAGGGGTGGAAGGACTGATGATACCGCATATTGTATTGAATTTGTTTTTTTAGAAAAAATCCGCCTAGTTTTCTTGCAGAAGTGAAAATGTCTTTTCCAGGAATAGTTCCCTAGAACTAAGTGAATCTAGATTGATTCGCGAGGTCGAATTATTGAGGTCAATTCCATGCATCTTCAGTGATCTAAAAACAAGCATCATGGCCTTGAGTTGCCAAAAGAAAAAGGTTGATTGACGATCGTGCTAACGTCAGTAGCTTAGGATGTACAAGGTCAACTACCTCTAAGCCACAACTCGTCACTCTTTTTCCATAAATCAAAAGTAGAAATTTGAAGTGTGATCTCGAGATTCCAGGTTGCGACTCGCACATTATGCTGCCGGCAATGTTGATTGGTCGCAATGTCTACACTATTCAAAATTGCTTGTTTCTCTCATATCTGCTGGATGACTTGACTCCTGTCAGGTTTGTGCGATTGTAACGCAACTATCTGCTCTGTGTATTCCCCCAGCATTATCGATACATTTCTGCTTCCCTCAATATATACGACAATTAAACATCAAAATCATCAACATGTCGAAACTTCCAACTCGCATGTTCGCTGGTGTTGCCATCCCAGACACCCCACTCTTGACCAAAGCACTGGAGTACACCAAAGCACATTCAACAGACTTTGCTTTCAACCATGTGCAGCGGTCTATGTTATTTGGATTCATCATGGCATCCAAGATCCCCAGCTTAGCAGACCGTGATTTGGAAGTTCACGCTATAGGAGCGTTGATGCATGATATCGGTTGGGATCCTACAGGGGAATTGGTGACCAAACACAAGCGATTTGAAGTTGATGGCGCAGATGCTGCTCGTGAGTTTCTGCGTAAGGAAGCTCCTGACTGGAACAAGCACCGATTACAGTAAGATGGGATCAATTCTCAGACTGAATATACTAGATAACATATACTGACTCAATCTGCTTTCAGGTTGGTCTGGGACGCTATTGCACTCCACACCACTGGTAGCATTGTTTTCCACAAAGAAGCTGAAGTCCAAGCAGTTGCTTACGGTATCTGGGCAGATTTTCAAGGCCCTGATCGCATTGAGGGTAATCTGTTGACCTGGGAAGAGTACAACAAGGTAGTAGCTGAGCTTCCTCGTCTTAATTTGATGAAAGGGTTGAAGAAGTTGATGTGTCACTTTTGTGAGACGAAGCCAGCTACTACGATCGATAATACCGTAGGTGAGTGGGGGGACAAGTTTGTCGAGGGTTATGATCGAACGGGGAAACTAACTGCAGATTTGTTGTTGACATGCGATTTGGATGGAAAGAGTCTGTTAGAAGAGTCTGACTAGCCTTGAATTATGACGTTTCAGTACTGGAGGATTTGAGTGTTTAGTTTCAAAGAGCCAAGAGCTATCTAGTTCTCTCATAAATGGTAAAAGAATTAATAGCGTAAAATCTCAAAATTAGCGAAAGTAAGGCAAATTTCTATGTTACATTAGCAACAAGCATGGAGTATCTGCATATGGTAGTATTCATTATTATGTTTCCAAGTTCAAATATGGAGTTGGTGGAAAAAGAGATTCTTGCAAATGGAAATCACTCCCTTTGATGTCCCTTGTGTTAGGCAATTACCAAGAGTTTATCAAGTTTTCATTCCGCCTATAAATATAATATAAGAATGTTGTTAACTGCCCAAATTATTGGCCAATGATACGGTGTATTTGGGCAATACGATGGTTTTTAGGTGAAACACTACTGCTCTTATGCTGCCGGTAGCAGAGCATTTCATTTAGGATTTCCAACCAAACTTGCTCTGTCTTTGTTTCAAACAAACCATAGGCATGGACAGTTATCTTTTAATATGTCTTTCATATCTATAAATCATACGGTGGTAAAAGTTGACTTTTGATGCAGTCTGTCATTACATGTCAAAGGATAGGTTGTCAACTTGTTTGCCATCTAACAAAATCACGAGCTACCCACAAACATTCGGATCGCTTTCAATTTCTATTTAGCGGTGAATAAAGACTTCGACTTCTTTAATGCACGACATATAGCATCATAATTTGATGTATCTTATTTCTAAACCTCCCTTTGAGCGACAACAACATATAAACCAGAGTTCCTGATCTCCAATCCAGACATTTCAGTAAACTTTCCATCTTCAACCACTTTCATCATGGGTCCACCACCAGCAAAAAAGACCAAAATCGAGAAAACCAAGACTCCGACCTCATCGCACCAGGCATCGGCTAGCACAACCGGCACTTCTCGCAAGAGAAATACTAAATATGTTGATCTCACAATAACTTCTTCTGAAGACGATGCCCAAAATCTGGAGAAAGAGGGACGTGCATCAGTTGCATCAGACCTAGCAGAATTGCCCGGAGAAGAATCGCCTGGAGAAGAAACTTCAACCGATGGACGTTCATCAGTTGCATCAGACGGTTCACACCTAGAAGAACTGCCTAGAGAAGAATTTTCAGCCGACGACGATCTGTATGATGCCTCACCTCCCAGAACAGTTACTAGACCGAAGGGAAAGCTTGCACCTCCCAAGCCTGTCCAGAAAGGCAAAAAGACTCTGAAAGGGAAAGAACGAGCTGTTGAGGAACTGGAGGAACAAGAAAAGAATGATGGTCACTTGTCATCTGACGACATACCGAAGAGACTTTTCGTAGCTCATTATACGGACACTCCAGATCTACCACAAACTAGCACTGGGTTTAGAGCCCAAGACTTCAGTAGCGCCAAGAAGCCTCCCAAACATATCACCATATTCTCAACTCGGAAAATCGCTATAGCATCAATCAAGGATAGTTCTAAACATGGCGAACCAGACTACAAGTGGCAGGTTTACAAGATCTCAGGCAAGAAACTTGCAAAAAGCTCGGCGCGCGTTTTTGATGATGCGAAGAAGATGTCCGGCGCCAGAGCTGTCAAAATCAAGACTCACTACAGTCCTGGTGACGCTTTCTACGTTGTTGGTGACATTCCCAAGGAATCTGTCAAAAGCTATTCCCCTGTGTCGGAAGCTTACTGGTGGGAGAGGAGTCTGAGAGACGAAGTCATTAAACAAATTCGAGAGGGCATTGAGGCTCAAGCTTTAGAGCTCATAGATTCTGATTTAGTCAAACTGCAAGACCCGCAAGACCCGCAAGATGTTCAAGATGTTCAAGATGTTCAAGATGTTCAAGACGAACAAGAAGAGCAGAATGGCCAAAACAGCAGCCCCGACGACGGCGTACACAAAGTGGTTAAAATACTTATACATCGACCACTAAAAGCGACAAGAGGTGGCCATCATGTGGATTATCTGATTCTCTGGGAAGGGCATTTGCGACGAGAGGAGCAGCAGTCGTGGGTGAAAACCAGGGACGTTAGTCCTGATCTCAAAACAAAATATTGGAAAGCCTATAGAGAATTGAGAGAACGAATTGAGCTAGCCAACAAGTATGAGAGCACACCACTTGAAGCTGAAGACGCGCAACAATCGGAGGGTGAGTTCGAAGAGGATCAAGACATGGAAGATGATTAGAGGGTGCCATACTGGGTACGCAGACTGAACGATTAGTAGATTTGCATGAACACTCGCTTTTGCTATAGATATCTGCAATGATACAATCAAAACGCCCTGAATCATCGTCAATCAACCTCTTGTTGATCAATATACTTTGTGAATTTCTTTTGCATAAGATACTGAGTAATGATTGTATCGATTCGTGAAATTGTTTGAAATCGTGAGGTCAGTATATGAAGTACAGCTGTGTAGTATAGTCAAAACAAAGGAAAGAAGTAAAAATGTCTCTAATGCCATAGAGTTCTCAGTTTCAAGGATATGCACTCACCCAGAAATGGAACAAACAATCTAGCGTTTAACGACACATCACAAGAATTGAGGAACATTTTCATAACAAAGTTCTGGATTGATCAGGAAGATAATTTAGCGTAATAGTACATAATTTGACACCTGATAGCAAAGAGAGGAACGGCCAATAACACAATGTTACGATGATGTCCGATAATCTGTGAAATGCAAGAAGGCATACCCTATGAGACATATCTAGAGTTAGTAAACCTCTTCAGAGCTTAGAGACAAACAACAAAAACGATGAGCTGAACACTTGATGGAGACTTGAACGCTTCGCGTTATTTGACACATGAAAGGAGGAGGCGAAAGAAACCGCGTGTATTTGCAGCAATCTTGCATGCATTAACATGAGATTAAAGCGGTGTAGGCGATGCAAAGAGAAAGCTGATTCACATCATCCCCAACCGCTTGAACCAGATCTACAACGGACAAGAATAAAGTCACTATAGTCTTTGTAAATGAAATCTCAGAAGAGAGCCAACCTGACAAAGCAAAATCCTAAGTGACACAATAAATAAACAATCCCAGAAACTAAGCGAACAGCAGCAAAAGGATAAATCTAGAGATTCCCGGCCTCAATATCAGACGCGTAAACGTTGAACACCCCCTCGCTACCCCCCTTCTGAAAAGAATTCGCATACATCAAATCAAGATGACTTCCGAAGAGAACAAAATCAAGGCCATGGAGAGAAGTAAAATGAACTGCGAAGATCCCAAACTGGCTAAGGAGGAAATCACTCAGGCGATGGCGGCATCTAGGAAAATAAGGCCCAATCTAATTTCCACAGGCGGAGATAATGAGGACGGTGCTGCCAGTCTTGTCGACAATAGGAACCCGCCTGACATGATATCCTATCTCCTCAAACCAGAAGACATCCCATCTGCAGTTTTCCCAGCACGGTATGAACTAGAAGCGACCTTCACTCCTGAAAACGCAGATGAGGAATTCCCAACTACCTTGCCAGAACTAGCGAAAAGCATCTACCAGCATTATGAGTGGCGGAGGCTATTCCCCGCGAATAGAGCCAAATATGCTCTCCCTAAAACAGCTGAAAGTTCTTTCATCACGGTATTCAAGACGCGAGAACAGGCTGAGGGAGAGATCAGAATTTTTGGCGCTGATAGAGGGGATGATGAAGGTGCTTGGTTCATTTACCAGTTATCTATGGAAGCTGTGAAGAAGCCGATGGTTCTTGAGGGTGAGGCTAGCTATGATATTCTGATGGAAGCCGGATATCCCGAAGAGAATATTGTGGATAGAGGGGACACCGTGGCATCATTTCTGGTTTGGCATGGAATCGCGCAAGCAAAAATCAACCAGAAATGGGAGGTTACTCCTCAGAGACTCTGGGAGCTAGGCCTTAATAATGAAAATTGCCTACTTGTGCGCTCAGGCATCGAAATTGGGGCTTTGAAGGTTGCCGAATCTCGAGGAGTTGTTGTTTTGAAGCGTTACGCGGACGGTTTAAGAACGGAATCGCCACCGAAGATCGTGGAACAGGCGGACGACAAAAAGGCGAAGAGGGCGAAGGAAACCGTTGTCATGAGAGAGATCCTCGCGCATACACCAACGGCGGCAAGTCGTCCGGATCGTGTACAACAGTACTTGGTTTGCTGGGAAGAAGATTCTGGGAGACGGACGACAAGTTGAGTCCAGCCTGACGCTGCAGAGGACGTTTCCACTACCTATTGGGAGCGCTTGAAGTTGATAGAGGATGGCTTGAAAGAACTCGAAGATACTGAAGCCCGAACCCATAGAGTGAAGAGACCCAAAAGAACTCATCACCCACAAAGGTAAAGTAAATGACATACATGATCATTCAAAGACTGATGAAATTCAGTGCGGATATGATAACCACATTTCGTTCTAGTCCTCGCAAAAACAAAAAGTCTTGATTACGCGGTTTCCCACGTCAGCCAGCTGAGTATGAATAGTCTTCAGACGTGGAGTTTATTTGGAAGTTATTTTGTTGTACTCCTGCCACTTGCATCGAAGAAAACTGAGGTCTTGATGGCTTAATTGAGCAACACAACTAGAAGAACCCGTAGCGGTGGCTCTCTTCCAATAAAACATTCAAATAATGGTCCTTCCCCAACACAGTTTCCAGGTATTTCTGCAATTTCTGATGCGTGATTCGGGAGACGTTGATTTCTCTGTCACGCCATAACCTTTTGTGGACTGCCTATTCAACCCTCCGCTCGGTTCTTTGCCGCCAAAAATATGCCGCCAACCCCTAATTTTTTGACATTCCACATCTCATACTGCCATAGCCCTTGCTCCACCTATTCAGACAATATCCAAAATTTTGACAGACTCAGCTATCATCCGCTACCCACCGGCCGCGCAATTCCACTGAGGTTAATTACTCCACCTCCACCCTTCCGTTCATTCTGTACCCAGCCAGGAACTTCACTATTTCTTCCTTCGCGTTCCGCACGCGCTTTAAGAACTTCCCAAACTTCAGGAAATCCAGCTTTAAGTGGACCACGTTGCTTTGCTCCGAGAATGGCAAACTTCTCTTGATTATGGCTGATAAAGCCATGGAGGAATCCTTGCTGTAGAAGACTTGCAAGTACAGCTTCTATTTCCACAGCATTCGGCATCTTGTTTCCGAATATGACTCCCTCTTGCGCTCGGAGCTTTTTAGGGCCACCTGGAGGCGGAACCAGATTATTTGACTGTCGCGTCCACCCCTCTAAAGTCTTTTGGCAGTATTTTGCCGCTGCTAGCACATCTGTGACATCAAGAGTCGGTGCCTTTCGCGACTGGGGATCAGTGGGAAATTGGTAGGTGAGCAAGAAGACACGCCGTGCAAGTGAGCGCCAAACTAGGACTTCGCAGCGAGAGAGCAGTGGTAGGAAGACCCCTCTACGGAAAAACCACTCTTGATTTCCGGATTCAGGTCCTAAAGCGTGTTTGAACGCGACCATGTCACCCCTTCGGATTGCTTTTGATATGGGCACAAATTTCTCCAACAGACCGGCTGCTTCCGGTCGAGACATGAACGTCCTAGATGGAAAACGGCCTAAAATCATGTTGGCTGAGAAAAGATAGATGAGAATATTGCGCCGCTGATTTATACACCTGGCATGGCACTGGTCGTAGGCAGACTGAAGACATAATTGAGCTCTGAAAAAGTGATTGTTGTCGAAGAGGAACCTTCCTAAATAATAAAGGTATGTAACTCTTTGACTGGCGGGATAAAGTGCTAGTGGCGGAGAGTTTTGAGTGATGTTCATGAAGATTTGATTTGCCAATTTGGTCTTGCGGCACTAAAGGCTAGTTAGAAAAGGTAGACCAATAAAAACAGATGGGCTGAGAAATACCTGAAAGAGTAGTTTCAATACCATGTTTGCCAAGGAGTATATTCCAATTTTCTTACCCTCTGGTTGTCCATCGCGTCCTATACCATTGCGATTTGAGCTTCTCTCAGTAAGACATACAGTGAAAGCTCTTTGGATTGATTCAGCAGTCCCTTCGACGAGAGTCTTTCCGCCTTCTGCTTGATCGTCAGTCGTCTTGCGAAGTTTCCGTAACAAGTCTGGACGACTATCAAGCATAACCCCGAGTTTGGCGAGGTTTCCTGACAGCTGGATAACAGTGGGTAAAACAACAATCCCATATGTAGGATTCGAAAGGGCGGTAATACAAGCGCTGCCAGTTACTGTCAATTAAGTCCCTCGTGATTTTCCATAACAGCATACCTACTTCACCAAAGCGCTCAATTGCGAATGCGTCTCGAGGAGATCATCGAAATTGACATCTCTCCAAAACTCAAGATATTCTTTCATGAAAACCTGGAAACCAGTCCATACACCTCCATCGTCCGTCTCAGGAATGAGCTTCTCTACATATGCCTCAAGGGAGGCACTATTCTGCCAAGAGCTTTTCAGCTCCTTAGCAAGTTGCATAAACTCATCTGGTAAAGGCGGCTCAACTCTGAGGTAGTGTTTGAGTTCGCCAGCATTTTTCGTTTGCAGAAATCCAGCTATTGATTTCAGAAATCCCTCAAGAATCGCCATTGTGAAGAGCAATTTTCATCGCCAGGAGACAAACGTGGGCACCCTATATGAGCGGTATCCAAACAGCTTGATGATACTAGTGATAGCCAGAAACTAAAAACCTTGTTATCTTTAGAATAATCATGTCTTTGTTAAAAGAAGAAAGTTTATGAGATGAAAACAACCGCCGCAAGGGAGACGCGACAAGGTGATCCAGCCCGAAGATCAGCCGCCACCAGTCCCCATATGGACTAGTCCGCAAGTCCTGCCTACGACGACAGCCTTTCTCGATGCCTTCCAGACATCAATTGTGTCTTAGCTACTTTGTGCAAAACTCATGTACCTTGATTGACCCCTGATTAGGAATAGGTTGTCATGTATATGTTGTTCATTCTTCAATGGCTGCTTGCTCATTTACGCCCGTCCTTCAATTTCACGCATTTCTTGCTTCACTCTCATCATATTCGTTGCTTTAGTTAGGTCTGCTCGTTTCATATATATTACATTCACATCACGTCCTATTCATCATGAAATTCTTAGGATCCGTTGCATATACATTATGCTGGAGCATCAGTATCGTCTGCTGCGAACTACCAGCCTTCGTTGTTTCCACAGTGGCGGAGAAGTACAAAGATCTCCACGATATCCGCGTTCTGAAACGGCCGCCTCCAGCTATCCTACGCAAGAAGCGACGGTCACTTACCCCACCACCTGTTACAAGATCAAGGCTTCCCGGAAATCGCCGTCAAATATGGGCCGATCAATCAGAAAGTTTACTACTTACTGCTCTACCTTATGAGCTTAGAGTTATGATATGGAAATACGTAGTAGGAGATCAATACATCCATCTCGGCCTCTTGAAATGTCCGACAAATCGCGGCCGGCTGGCTTATATCCTTTGCCAATCTACTGAACCAAGTGACTGGCCACGCTGTGAAGCAGCATGCTTTAAGAGATGGCACACTTATCAGCCAGAATCAAATCAACGCTTGAGTCTCTCGTACAACGTGAAGCCGTGGAAGCCTCCTCTCATAGAACTGCTTCAGACGTGCCATCAAATGTGAGCAGACCTACGACTACAATGTATCAATACTTACAGCTGTCAGTTATTCCGAGACCATAGATCTCATATATGAGTGCAATACTTTCGACACAACAGTATCTAACTGCACGCGATTTCTCCCTCGTTTCTTGTTACCACAACGTCTCAACGCCATCCGTACACTTCGTCTCGAATGGCGTATCCTAGCCCACGAAACATTCTTTGGTGTAGACGGGCTTGAAAAGACGACTAAAGACCAATTATATTATCAGAAAGAATGGAAAGACACATGGAAATGTCTTGCGGACATGAAAGGCCTGCGGGATCTTCGAGTTAAATTGAATTTCGTACAATATTCTGCTAGCATTTTATGTTTGGAGAGCTCCTTCCTTGACCCAATCAAGGAGGTCACGGCTCCTGATGTATTTGAGGTAAGTATATCTCGTTGGGCGATGGGGGGTATGTTCTACTTGACCGGCTCAACCTGGGTGGATCTTCCTTGTAAAGTTGACATATTTTCAAGTCGCGTATCTTTATATGGCTTTGCTGCTTAAGTATTATGCTTCGTGTGCAATCAGACATCGACCAGGATATGCAAAGCAGAAGTTGAGGACAAATAATTGTTGTAAATATGATTAATTTGAAGCTTCTCAATGCTGAGTCTAACGCTATTCATGTACTGTCCAGTATTCCGTTTTTACAGGTACCCCTCCCACCATCAAACGCCGGCCGCTAAAATATCGACAAAGTAATTATACAAGGGCCTCCATTTATAATTCATCTACAAACAACATGGATATCCATTAGCCTCGCCATCATTATTAAGGTGATTTCTCGCGCCCCCATCCTCGTAGATGTAAAGGCTGCTGCCTCGATATCTTCCAGTTCCATCTCTAGCATTGGCAATTGTGCTACTAAAAGCACTTCCCGTAATGCCCATATAAAAGTTCGCTTGCATCATAACACCCATATCTACAGCACCTTGAAAATCGAACGCTAGGGCGTCCATCTTCTTGAGGATGTCTTCTTTCTTCGTTGGAGACATAGCTGCGACTCCCCACTTATGAGTTACCTCCCAACCACGTTCCGCACCAGCGGCTTGAAACTTTTTGACTTGTTCCTTATCCCCACAAGCAAGATATACAAGAGGCTTCTTTGCTTTGGGGTCGCCATTCTTGTTATCTTGCGCCCAAGCCTTGTCAAGGGCTTCCAGATTCATCTTCAATTGATTCTCCAAAGGCGACCAAATTGTGTCGTTCTCGACGCGGAAGTGAACACCATAGTACGGCCTGGGGATGAGTTCAAGGAGTTCATGGACGATCTCGCGTGGCTCCGGAAGGAAGCGAATCAAATTTCCGATATCATTCCACAACCGCAAATCGCTACGAGTAGGATCGTCCGTGATGCGATAAACCAAAAACATGCTGTGAATCGAAACGACTGTAATGCCATTTTCTTTCCCTGCAGGAACTGGATCCGTCACATTTGCCTTCAATTTGCCCACCTCCTCATCCCAGAAGGGTTTGAATAGCCGTCCAGGCCAGAAATAGGAGACAAAGGCTTGATAGCCTGGAGCGCTTCCTAAATCCACACTCCAGTTGTGCTTTACTGGCACACCTCCTGCAACATCTAGTTTCTTGGGGTGTATAACCTTCATCTTAGGGCACGCGTGTGCCAAACCCTCGATCAAGTGTTCGGCATCAAACCATTGATCGTAGGTGTAGTATTCGGCCTCGTTGAGAAAGTTGAACTCCTTCAGATCGGTAGAGTCGCGAAGGGGCATGGCGGGAAGTACGATCGAGGATCCAGAATCGATGGCATATTTGAGACATGTTTTAACTTGAGAGATAATCGAAGTAAGACCTGCCGCCATTCCCCCACATTTCATGTATACGATGTCCTCCTCCTTCTCAGGCCATTGCATTCGCTCGCAGCGTTGTCGAATCGCAGGGAAGTCGTAGTGGTATGGTTTCTTTGGTGAGAAGGCAAGGTCGAAGTACGTTTGGGCGTCTGGATGTAGTGTATGCGCGGCTGACTTTCCTCCTTCGAATTTGGGTGGCTGCTTTTCCTCCTTCACTGGATCGGGCTTTGTAACGGTAACAACTGGCGTAGAGCCTTCCCAAAGGGAGGCATCGTCGTTGTTTCCAAGTCCCGCATACTCTGGATCGGTGGTTGGGCTCGATAGTTTTAAGGAGGAGACGTCGATATTTCGACCGAGCGCAAAGATGAATATAAAAACTAGAGCCGTCGACACGAAGATAATTGTTCGTCGATTAAGCATCATGATGACTCCCACTCAATTAAAATAAAAAAACGCGAATTGTGAAGTTGAACCAAAAAGATGTTGAAAAAGATGTTCCAAGTACCGAGGCGTTGAAAAGGGGTTACAAGGTGAGTCGAAATGCACGCTAAGATTGTATTCCGTACATTCGCACATGTGCCCCACTTATTGCCATATTTGGTTTTGAGATGGGATATTGCGGGGGTGGAGATGCTGAACAATTTCATAAAAGCCCGAAACTGGTTGACACAAATGAGTACTCTACCACGCTTAATTTATTTCTGCATGTCGATGCCATTTCGGCTGACGACTTATTCAGGGGCTGTCCTTGAGGAGGCTCCCGCTCCACCAACGGTGTTGTACCACGTGATGGACCGATACATATGGTGCCGCTCCTCGTGTTTTTTCTTCTAGGTTTCTTTGTATTCGAATCAATCCAATGGCGAGTAGAGCACAGCATATACCCATGTGGCAACTTTCGCCCAAGTTAGACAGAATTATGCTTAAGGTTGTTTGTTGTCTCCAATCGCAGACAAACAAGTTGCTAATAAAGCTTCGGTCCTTCCCGTCCACGGATTCAACCACTAATATAAATCACTCAATACTCTCATGGTAGTACAAAGAAGGGTATCTACACCGTTTATATGCACTCGACTATCACGCCTATCAATTTGGATAATATCCTCGAAGATATGGGCAACCACATAGGAAGACGGTCATGTGATTTGGGCTCTGTCCACTATCAGGTCGAGCCAATTCTTCAACCAACAATGATAGGTTTCAGTAGCTTCATTATCTTGAGGCTCACGAAAGCTGCCTTGCGATTACTACATATCTACCAGGTTGTCTTCTGGTACCATGTCGAACGACTGGCGGAAGGGAATGCCACAAAATAGTCTTCTTCATGATCTGGTTCAGGATATATGCATGATGCAGAATTGCGGCCGACAACATGCTGGAATTTGAGCCTCTCTTGTAGTTACTAGGGTCGCTTTATCAGTACTTATTCAAATGGCTCTCGAAAAATGATGAGATTCTTAATATCTTCATTATCTCGCCAGCCCACTTAACCACGAAAAGTTGGGAACGAGGACACTCGAAATTTCACATCTCATCCTGGATATTATTTCTGTCATAGCTCGCAGACAAAATGGAGAAGATGGAGATTCAACAAGCTTTGAAAAGGTCCGTAAACATTGTCGCTGACGTGGGATGGTCGACTAACACTTCCCAAGTGGAAAAGACAACAAGAAGGAGAGAGCTCAAAAGGGCCTCGAAACTCAAGGCCCTAACAGTCTAGATGTTACCTCACAGCTGGATATCGCCATTTCGTACGCCACCAAGTCTCAAGAGCAACAAGCGACGCAAAGTGCATTATCCTCCAACACCTGGACAGCGTCCAAATCGAAAGATTCTCAGTCACCATTAGATAAGTGGTTAAATGAGACGAAGGATGAAAACTTGACCTGGACGGAAAACATGGTGAAACCCAAAGTGGACTAAGTCAGTCCCGTAGCAGTAATATCAAAAGAGCTGGTGCAGCAATAAAATTTCATTGAATTACAAGCTACTATTCTATCCTGCAGCAGCGTCAATCTGCCTTTGGAACTGATGTCGAGCAGGATTCTGTACACGCAGTAGCCTTTAAAGCATTTAATAATCACTTACTGCTTGGATGCGTGTTTGTCTGACTGAAATGCAGTTGAGGTGGTCACCTTTAAGCCATACTGTGACACGAGAAGTAATAGTACACAATATTAGCACATGATGATTCATTGCACACAAACATCAACTCTCTGTCAAAACGAAGCTGTACCCAAATGCATTTCCTAGTTCCAGTCAAACCCCTAACCTTTCCAAAAGTCAAATAAATATATAGTAGCCGCCAAAAGTCACGTACCTTAAGTCCCCATCGGAACCTCCCTCCGAAACCATCGGCCATCTCCCCCTAGCCTCCCCTCCACCATAAGCGAACCTCAGATTTCAACCTCCGAACCAAAACCTCACTAAACAGAAGCCAAAACGAACAGCAAAAGGAAAACATCTCTCACGTGAAGAAGGACTCTCTTACCATATCCGACCACGAACCCCTTGGGGGTCCTTAGCCGAATATCCCGAATACTACTTCGTACCTGCTTGCAAGTCTTGGCATTGTCGATAAGGAACTCCTGCTGGCTTATCGCTTTTGGAGCCTGGAAGAGTGGGAGTTTTGGTGATTGATATAGCTGATACTCTCAATCCTTCTGTTTAAAACTGTAGTTCTGAGACCTCACATTGAAAGCACCAAATAAAATTAGAGCATCCATGCCCGCACCCCTCCACATCGCAATCCTAGATTGTGATATCCCCGTTCCCAACGTCTACGCGGCCCGGAATTACTACAGCGATATCTTCGCCTCATTACTACGAGATGCGGCTTCTAAAAGTGCAGAGTTCGAGGGATTGGAGTTGAAGTTTAGTAGGTATGATTCTATGAAGGGGGAGGAGCCTTCGGATGAGGAATTGAGGGGTTTGGATGGGATTATAATCACGGGATCAGGTGAGTACTGATTTCGATTGGATGCATCTATAGATAGGGAGCTGATATAAGACAAAGCATCTTCAGCATATGATAAAGTCCCCTGGATAGAAGCCCTCACTGCGTTATGCCATAGTAAGTTTTCACCGCGCCTTCATCCATTCCAAATCAACCTAATGAAACTCAGAAATATACACTCAACACCCACACATCAGAATCTTCGGCTCCTGTTTCGGCCACCAACTCCTCAGCCACGTCCTCTTCTCTCCCCCAGGTCAAAATATCGTCTGTAAAGACCCCAACGGCTGGGAACTAGGCGTGCATCCCATCACTCTCTCTCCCCAATTCCAAGCCCATTTCGGACCCGTGACCTCGAACCCGGAGCGTCCTAATGAGCTACGCCTACAATTTGTGCACGCGGATCATGTGGATTTACATGAGCTCCCCGAGGGCTTTGTGTCGGTAGGCCGATCGAGTCATTGTGGACTCCAGGGCGTGTGGAAACGGGGGAGGGTGTTGACGTATCAAGGACATGCGGAGTTTGATCGTTTTGTGAATTGTGAGACGTTGAGGGTTTTTGGGAAGGTGATTTGGGAGGAGGAGTTTATAAAGAGGGCGTTGGAGCAGGTTGATCAGGATGATGATGCGGTGTGGGCGGCTGGTGTTATGTTGAGATTCTTCTTGGAGGATGGCGAGGGGCTGGAGAGGACGAAGGAGATGGTGTTGGAACGGACGGAGGCCTCGACTGGCTCATTTCTTCGCTTTCAGATGGAGAAGATGGCGAGGTTGTTGCAGTATGTGCAGGAGATGTGGAGTAGCTGGTTCTCTACGGGTTGGAAGAGTAAAGAGCACATTGAGTGATCAATTAATATGGAGGAATCCAGACAGGTTAGAGCACGATATATATCCAGCAGTGGATACTTCAGATGTCAAGAGTAGATTCGAAATCATTTGGGTATTACCATGAAGTAGACTGGATATTTCCAAAAAATATCCTAACCCCATTATAATGGCGCAAAGCTATGGTTGTCATTCCTCATGACAAAATGATTGCACAAGGACCTAGTCGTCGTCTTCTTCGTCGTCAAGCATATCCAACGAAAATGCTGCAGGCTTGGCTTCTTGACGAACTGCGGGAGCAGCGCCAATTTCGCTCGCTCTCCTCTCCATTCTTCTCCGTGCTTCCTCTTCCCTCTTAAGGCGCTCTGCTTCTCTGGCCATGTCCTCCTCCTCTTGTATTCTCTTCCGGTCGGCTTCTAATTCGGCACTCTTCTCTGGGTCAAATGTCGCCGGATCCTTTCCTTGATTGATCAAAATCTCGATACTAGCTAGCGCGCCTCTTCTGATGGTGTCCTCGGAGGGCCAAGGTACGAAGGGCATGTGTGCTTCTGGACTGATGAGAGAAAGCCAATGCTCAGGCAACGCCGTCTGTGAACTCTGGTTCGTCGCTTGGCTTGGGAGCTCTGCAGCTGGAGTTGCGGACTCAAGATTGGTTACTGTTCCTTGAGTCATTTGAGTATCCTTATCCACGCCATTTATTCCCGTAATCGGTGTTGACGTGCCGTTTGTCTGTGACTGCGAGCCAGGCTCCTTTGGTGTGTTGGTTCCCCCATCTCCAGTATCTGGATTACTCTGCGCCTCGACTTCTCGGAATGTAGCAGGACGCGTGAATTTACTCGATCGACTTGCGTATGACAGTATTTCGGCAACGTCTACAGCGTTCGCTTTGGAGGTAAAGTTTGTAGAGGATGCAGCTAGGAGTTCTTTGCGAGTGGTTGTGAGAAGTGTGAGTTTGTCTTTGATCTGGGCATCGAGGTCTTCAGATTCAGCACGTAGAGCAAGAATCTTCGCATAATTGGATTGATGGGCAGACACTGGAAGAATTAACAAATAAACACGACGAATTCTCTAGGTTTTGACAAACACTGTTCTAGCCCTTGGCTAAGTTCAGTATCAGCTGCGACCAGATCGTTGGCATGAGATATTGAAGGATTGTAAGTTGAAATCGAAGTGATGAGTGTTGCAAGCGCCTTCTCCACGCGCTCAAAACGCTGATCTATTATGTTGTCCATTTTGGTTGAATCTGAGAAAGCACTTTGCGACGCGGCTTGAAGCCGCGATGATGTACCCGGTTGGGGATTCGAATTAGGCTTAGCGAATCTGGCCCACCTCTGCGCGGAATCACATGATAACCAACAGCCTCTTGACGTCTCCTGTTTCAACCAAACAGATGCCACCCAACTCCTCAATGTATTCTACTATCTGGAAACCATCAATCGCAGAAGCAACAATTCGAAAACTACCACAGCAGATTAGTTATAACTTCGCGAGATCTCTGAAATTTCAGGTTGGTGCACTACAAGACAAGGCTTTATCGATTAGAGAAATGCACATGTTACTGAGGGACTTGTATAACTTACATATCGCTTCAAGCACTCCCTTTCCGACCATTTTCCCGTTTTGTACCCGGGATCTATCTAAACGACAAACGGCGATCCATAGCCGGACTTCTCGGCTTGCTAAAATGATCCTGACGCCAATGGCACTCTTCAATGTTTCTGTTTCCGGGGTACTACCTGACGCAAGTTCTTGCGGCTGAAATTCGTATGTCAGCATTGCTACCCCACCACTTGGAGGCGTATCTTGCTACCCTATCTGGTGCTTTCTGTAAGTTGGCATATTTACAAGTACAGAGGTACAGATTTGTGCAGTCTGGGACAGATAAGGCCTTTCATTCCTACCGGAAGTCCTAAAGATTTCGAGTCGCATGCATTTGGGCCTAATCACCCCGCCATTTAATTCAGAGGCTTCGGTACTGTCGGCGACGACTTGTTAAAAAGATAAGTCATTGCGGAGTTCTCCTATTTTTGGTTATGAAGCGGGTATTGTTCGCCAGATACGCCATAAAAGCCCTTTGTTAATATAGAGCGAATAAAATGATTCTCAACAGGTGAGGGCGTGCGAGCCTCGCACACTCGCACCAAAACATGGAATAGGATGACATGCTCCACAGATACGCTGCCCCCATGGCTGAGGCGTAGCAAATCTTACATTGGGGAGATCTGGGGGCGAAATCTTTTATACAAGAGCCTCGCCATTGAGCATCATCTCTTGTTTTATTATTTGAATCGTGGTCCTTTCCCTTCATTTTAACATTCAACATGGGACAGAGCAATCCGAAAATCACAACTCAGTGGGCAGATGGACCATTCAAGCTCCTCGAAAGTCCAAGACATGCTCGAAGGGTAAGTCACTATCATATTATTGTGTTTCAACACTTTATACTAAGGTCGTTAGATGGGCAATGGCAAAGAGTCTTCCGGGGCAATAAACGTGGCAACCGATATGGCATTAGTACACAACTTTTTAATTCGAGGGCTTAACTGCATCTACCTCCAGGCTCCTTTCATACCCGCCGAACTCAGACCTGATTTCATCAAATTCATGCAAACCTGGACCGTTACCATCCATCATCATCACATGGGCGAAGAAGAAAAACACTTTCCCTGGCTCGAAGAAGACATTGGGATCCCAGGGTACATGCAGGCTAGTGTGGATCAGCATCATGAGTTTGAACCTGGATTGAAAGCTTTTGAAGCCCATGTGGTAGCGGTGAAAGAAGGGACCGAAGAGTATGATGGCCAGAAAGTGAGGGATTTAATTGATGGCTTCGCCATAATTTTGACAAAACATCTGGCCGAAGAGATTGAGGCATTGGTGGGCTTGGAGAAGTTTGATGCAATTGATTGGGTTGCGTATAACAAAAGGGTCTCTGCCGATGCGATGGCCAACACGGATACGGTAAGTCTACCCGTCTTGGTTTGAGAGCGACAGGCAGCTGACTTAAATTCGAAGGAATATATGATACCGTTAGCAATTACCAATTTAGATCTCTCGTTTGAATCCCCGATTCATGGAGGTATGTGGCCTCCGTGGCCGTTCTTCGCCGGCTGGATCTTTCGATTTTGGTATATACCGCAGCACAAGGAGCTTTGGAGGTTTTCTTCCTGTGACAGTAGGGGGTATCCGAAAGAGTTGGAGTTTACGGGACCACCCTCACAGGATGGGAAGTGACGACAATCGTGGACTCTCCGCAAAGCACAAACTGGGTTCAATTCGTGAGGTATTGACACCGAACCCGAAAATGAAGTGCCAGAATTTGTGCCTGACAGTTTACACCTCCTCCTGTCACATCGGTAGTTGTAGGGCTCGAGGACTACACTCAAACATTTCAAGCACAAACAAATATTTTAATGAAAGAAGACAAGCATGTCAGCAATGTGATATCTCTCGTTGACCCTGACTTCCCTTCATATTATGCACTGGGACCGCATCGAATTGGTGGGTACGAGCAAACATTTATACTAGGTAGGTCGGTCAACTTAAGGATTTGAGATTTGGTTTCGCAAGACGACCGTGTTGTCGGATATTCGGCATCAGGGTTAACTTGGGCAGCTGACAATGTAACTAGATGCAGAGCCCTTCAAGCCTCGCTTTCGTATGTACACATATGGCCCACTTCTTTCCTCTGTTTTTTCTTTCCTTATGGAAGCCCATTCATTCAAGACCTCTACTATCCAACTTCTTTTAGTGCTCAACAGGACGGAATGATGAGCGATTCAGGTCAGTAAAATGATACCCGATCCAAGATAATGTCAGAGTAATATACGCACTTTGTCAGCACTTTGATCATTGCGATCAAGCTCCGCCAACTTGCCTGGGAACGTGCAGGGAGTACCAACGACCTGGTACTGAAACATTCTAGAAGCGGATGCTGCCGTCTGGGACAGCTCGAACTCTGATCAGCTGCGTAAGCGCTTCGAACCCCTTTTTCTAATAAACGGAAACTGCCGTTGGGAAAACTATAATCGCTCCAGCTATTGTTCCAACTAACAATAATCAATTGGGTAAGTCCTTACGGATGCTATACGCGTACACGACGAATTCAGCGGAAAGTCGATGGGTTTCTAGCAATCGAATTCTACACGCACGAGAAGAAAAAGTCATATTTGTGTTGCTTAGGAAACGCCTGGTTGAGACCAACCCAACACAAAATTGAAGTAATTCTAGATGGATTTAGAATTTCAAAATACTTGCTGGAACATGACATGACCGAACCAAGTTCCCCCATCATTCACACCCCTCAAGGTTCATCCAGATCTTATCAAAGCTTATCATGAAGAGCGGGGTTCTCTTACGAGCACGGCGCACAGCAGTACGTGCTTCTGTACGACATCTCGAACATCAGCCTTATGGATCGTCAATAGATGGAGGTTGATTGAGACTGAGGTGCGGTTTATCTCAAGCCATATCACGAGTACATCTTGCGGCTCTTCTCTGTGACACTTGGTAATGCTCCATAAGCGCCATCAAGGAGGGAGATACTCGGCCTCAATAAAAGCCCGCCTTGGCACGTCGCCGCTCGAGATTTGAGAGCAGATATTGATCGATTAGAGTAAGAGAAAGAGGTAAGTAGCTTGGATTGTCTCCATTTTCTTTGCCATAAACACAAAAATTATGACACTCGTTCTACCTGTTGCAATAATCTAAAACATCTCTCTATCATTGATAAATATCGCAACTCTCGCCCGATCCCTTGGCGCCGCTTTTCGTCTGCTTCTCTCTTCTTGCACAGCCCCCATATACGGCGGCCCAGTCCATCTGCCAGAGCAGTCGCAGTCCCAGTGCCCCGCCATCCGTGCCAACTATCGACATCCCAAAACCGAGAACGCACTTGGAGCTGCTTTCTCACGACAAAATCATAACACAGCCCCAGGCAGAAGACCGTCCGTCCAGCTGGAGAGCGCTTGTGGCAAAGCAGTACCAGACCTGACGTAGCCTGCAAACACCTCCAACCACCCTCAACCAGACCCCGCGGCGTGGAAGTAGGTTAATAAGTGGGTTGAAGGTCGAGCCACGACGACCGCCTTGGACGTCTGTCTTGCTGTACCTGCATATTCACGGCCAGTCCTCGCAGTCCTCGATCATTGTTGTCCTTCAAACCGACCGTCTGCCATTTACACGGGCAATTCCAGGCCAGAGGCGGAGTGCGGTCACGAAAGGGTATGTCCCGCAGCCTCGCCTTGCCTGCGCGTGTCTTGGTAATATCCTTATGTATGGACGCTGACCTCGTTGCCTCGTCACAGATTCTCTGATTCCCTCAACATTTTACCACACCCTTATTGCTACGACCGAACGCTGCGAATTGATTGCTTCAACTTGCAGTCCTCGATATAAGAAGAATTTAGCAGGGAGAAGCGCTCAAGATGGGAAAATCGTAAGTGATTGCTTCATTTTCTATTCCTCGACACCGGGTGACTCGACAGGCGCATTCGTTGTCGCCATACTTCTCCTGCCGTGGGACTGCCTCGAAAGTTTGGCAGAGGAATAGACAACGTTGGCTCATGCCGAGCCATGTCTTGTACGCCGAGCGACTGGTCGTCTAAGGAAACCTCAACTACATGATCCCAACCACGTATCATCAGGCCCTTGGGCGAAAATAACGAACATTCGAAGCCCCCTCGGGCCCTCGGGCACTCGTGGACAATCTGCAACAACTTTGGAAAGCAAAACTCGGCAGGATTCACAGGTGCGGAAAATAAGTCGCCGAACACGCGTCACCTAGATATATGCATCAGCACTCCAGGTCGCGACCATTGATCCAACAATTCGAGTCTTCTGGTTAAACTTGTGATTTGAATTTCAAGCTGACTCAATTCTATAGTCAGTCCAAGCTCTCTCAGGAGCAGCTCAGCGAACTGCAGCGATCAACCCACTTTGACAAGAAAGAACTCCAGCAATGGTATAAAGGTGCGCACTAGAGTATACTCTCACTTCATTTGCGACTCAGCTGACACCTTTCAAGGTTTCCTAAAGGACTGCCCATCGGGCATGCTCACCAAAGAAGAATTCCAAAAGATCTATCGGCAATTCTTCCCCTTTGGAGACCCCTCGTCGTTCGCGGATTATGTGTTTAATGTATTCGATTCTGATAAATCTGGCTCAATCGATTTCAAGGAGTTTATCTGCGCGTTAAGTGTCACCAGTCGCGGGAAGATGGAAGATAAACTGGACTGGGCATTTCAGTTATACGACATTGACGGGGACGGAAAGATCAGTTATGATGAGATGTTGGCGATCGTAGAAGCTATTTACAAAATGGTGGGTTTCCGCGATAGCGATTCCATAACTTGGATCAGTTCCGAATTATTTGATATCAGTACTAACTACACAATAGGTCGGCTCAATGGTCAAACTCCCAGCAGACGAAGACACACCCGAAAAACGAGTAAAAAAGATTTTCAGAATGATGGACAAGGACGAGAACGGCAGTTTGGATATGGAAGAATTCAAGGAGGGCAGCAAACGGGACGAGACCATTGTATCTGCGCTCTCCCTGTATGATGGCCTTGTTTGATTTTGTGTCCTTTGGCGTTTGATATTTAAGGCATCTCTTATTTCTTATGAGCGATTGTCATATGCTGGGTGGGGGTGGTTGCAATATGAAGTTAGATGAATGTACGGATGGAAGACGAACGAATATCAGAGTGTTGTTGAAGATTATGCTCGTCAACACTTGTCTTTTGGTGCTTGGTGGATGAGGAAATGATGGGGTAGGGTTATGGGACATGAACGGACTGCTTGCATGAATGAAAAAAAGAAGATTTTGTATTGGACATAGCAATTTTGATACCTATGAATCATTTCTTTTCAGGATTATCTCTTCAAGCTATGCCAGTACTGCGGTAACTAAATTCCTCCGTTTCAACGAGTAATTAAAGTCTAGACTCTAGAGTGAACGATTCACGTTTGACGTTGGGCTCCTCCGGCTGCAAATATAAAGAGGGAGCCGGTGGGGTGCCGATATATGGCTGCACGAACCTCGGCTGACTCAGAATATCTGATAATCCCGTTCCATCAACCTCCATCGTGTTACATAACTTCCAACCTATTCACTAACAGGTAAATATTGCTCGAATCATGTAGGCGTGTCTTCAACTTTCTTTGTTTCCTATACATGTCCATTCCTCTTCAATTATCCATCAACCCTGATGCAATTCCGCAACTTAACAACCTCTTTTCTGTCTGCCGCGAAACTGTTGCAACAACCACTCTTCTCTTCTAATTTCAGCACCATGGCTCGCGCGCCTGTCATCTCTGTTTGCCATGGCGGCGGTCCTATGCCTTTGCTCAATGATCCTGGACACAAAGATCTCATCCAGTCCATGACTACTAAACTTCCCAAGGTCTTGGGTTTAGGAACGGATGCTGCTCCCAAGGCCATTGTCTTGGTTACTGCACATTGGAGCGAGCGAGTCCCTACCATATCCAGCGGCAAGACGCCAAAATTACTCTATGACTATGGCGGATTCCCACCAGAGTCGTACCAAATCAAGTACGACGCCCCCGGAAGTCCAGAGATTGCGAAACTTGTCGCAGATACATTGAGAGGCGCGGGCTTCCAACCAGAACTCAACGAAGAACGTGGTATGTTTTTCGACTCCCGAAGTCTTTCGAATACTGACAACCATCAGGCTGGGACCACGGCGTCTTCGTCCCCATGAAACTAATCAACCCCGCAGCCAACATCCCCATAATCCAACTCGCCGTCCTCGCCTCCATGTCCGCGCCCTCACACTTCGCACTTGGCCGCGCTCTCGCCCCCCTCCGCGACCAGAATATTGCTATCCTCGGCTCCGGCATGCCGTCCTTCCACAACTTGCGTCTCATGTTCTCGGGGGAGATCAGCAAACCGGCGTTTTTGGCTAGGAATAAGGAGTGGAGTGAGAAATTGACGGAGACGATGGGTATTGTAGGGGAGGAGGAGAGAGGGAAAGCGTTGGAGCGATGGAGGGAGTGGACGGGGGCGTGGGAGGCGCATCCGAAGGGGGGTGAGGAACATTTTATGCCGTTGGTTGTTTGTGCGGGGGCGGCGGGAGGGGGGAGGGTGGAGACGATTAAGGATGAGGTGTTGGGGACGGAACAGGTTACTTATTATTGGAAGTAGGGTTGGGGGTGGTGTTCTTTCTGTTATGGTAACCCGAAAGTATTAATTTTCCTTTGAACAATTTCATCCGCTATCTCGCTGATTACAATCCCTCCGGTTTGGATACTTGATCAATAGTGGTAATGTGCCCTGAGATTCGAAGAGTCAGTTATACCACACCTCAGATGCTTCACACCAAGTTCAGCGACTACCCAATAGCCGAGAAGGACGGAAAGGCAAAGGGAACAGTGAGTGGCCCAAATATTGCATCAAAGGTTGCTTAGAACTTAGAATTATTGCTTACCTGTACGACTGGATATCATGTGTCTTTCGATTTATATCGAAATACATCAAGTAAAACCTCAAAGCCTATAAGCCATGAACACAGCAAGCAAGACAGCACCATCGCCTCGGAGAATCTGGTTATGAAAACCTGCAGTAGCCGAGATGTTCACTGCGAATCTGGATTCTGTGGTCTGCTGCTTGTGGGTTAACTGATTATTAATTTTTGTCGTGGGTTTGTGAGTAACACTATGAAGTCTTTGACTAACAGACGGGGTCAGGGAAAGGGATTTCAGGTGGGATTGGTAAAAGTTATGTGTATGAGTGGACTAGGGAGAGGCAGTGGCCGAAGGATTATTTACAAGTGTGAGAAAAGGGTCGGTGTGGGCTATGGGCCAGAGCGCTTGTGTCCTTTTCTGATTTGATCGGTTTTCCAAGTGAGAATGCTGGAGAAGACTGGGTTACGATGGTAGCATGAAGTCATCTCCTTCTTATACCGAATTCTCGAGAGAGAATCACCTTGAAACCTAGATAGGGTGCTTGTATAATGGATGCGGGTGGTCATGATCGAAATTTTGATTGAATTCTTCGAGCCTCTCAACACCACCAGGTTCTAACATCTAGCTACAAATTCCCTCTCAGTTCTCAAAGCCCCCATCCCTTCTCCTCTCATCCACCTTTTCACCTCCCCCCACCTTTCCATCCTCTCCATCCTCTACCCCCTCCCCCTCATCCTCCTCCCCCTCCCATCCCTCATAATCCCTCCACAAATACAACGGCGACCCCGGATCCCTCATCGCATTCTCCCGCTGGATATGGTATACCGGATGGTTCCGTACGAGATTCAACGCTAGTTCGCTTAGTCGTTCGGGATGTAACAGCCACGGCGGCATTTGCTGGAGGGGATCGAAGTTTAGGAGGTTGGGTGGGGGGTGCCGGGTGCGAGAGGGGGGATGGGGAGGGGTGGTGGAAGGGGGGGGAAGGGGGGGAGGGGGTGTGGGATGAGTGGTGGGATGAAGGGTATTGTTGGGGATGTTGGGGATATTGGGAGGGGTGAGAGGGGGGGTATTGGGAGGTTTCGTGGTGGGAGGGGAGGTGTTGAGCTTCTAGGTCGGGGTCGTGGGGACGGGAGAGTGGTATGCCCATTTTGTGAGGTGGTGGGTTGAGGATTGAGAGTCAGGGTTGGTGTGATATTGGTTTTGAACTTCAGGGTTGGAGTGAAGATTTGGATGATCTTAGAATTGGCTGGAAACGGAGTTTTTGATGGCGTGATACTAGGTTGTTTGAGGTTGGTTTTATGTTTGGTGTTTGAGGTGTGTGATTCATGGTGTCGTAGGGTTCGTTGTTGTCGTGCTGATGTGAAGAGATTCCTGGGGTGTGTATCATTCACATCTTGTCAGCAATGTATGATTGAAAATACTGTTGAGATCTTGCCTGAGAGAATAACTGATACCTTGGTCCCTCATGATTCCTCTCATTTGATCGCACTTATTGCTTTTCCGGCAGAAGGAGGTGAATGAACCTGCGCCATTGTTTGTGGTGTTCCTTCGAGGCTAGGTAATCCAGACGAGGAAATAGAAGACTCGACACATCCTCGAGCTTCAACCTTTGAACTTGGAAGTTCTAAGACTCCACTCCTGGAACATCAATGTCTCATGCTCGTATATTTCGGAGATTTCGGACTTTTATCTTCGCCAAAGAGTGTAGTACTTTCACTTTCACTCGGGCATAAGATACCAGTGTTTCCCGAAATATGGTCCTGTTAGTTCGGCAATGTTAGTGATGTTGCAATAGATACTGTCGACGCCGTTGGCTTGTGATACATCAGCTTGAGCTTTCAAGATATAGCAATTGATTTTGCACTTCCAAACCCCTAGGTAGTTATCCTGTCGCAGAAGAGAATGCTCGATAGTTTATTAGGCATCGAACTTCCAAAGACTCCATTTGAAGTCCACGAAACAATGTGCTCCTACTCACTTGTTTGGAAGTCCTTCGGTGTCTGTCTCTGCCAAAGGGTGTAGCATTTTCGCTTTCACTCAAGCACGAGAGTCAGTCATTTCCAAAATAACGTCTTGTTCGTTCAGCAATGGTAGCAATAGTGCAATTCAAGCTATCCATTACGCTTCCAACAGCAAAGCAGTTTGCTACTTTCAAGTCCCTGAAAGATTTGTTGACCTGTCGTCCACTATCGGATTTCGCTTAACCCTACAAGTATTGAAGAGAATTTTTCATGTTGCAAAGGGCGACTCGGTCCTATTGAACACGGTGTGTAATCGTAAAGGTAGCCTATAAATGTTTGGAATCAACTCTCGGAGCGTAACATATACCATGTGGAGGAACCTTGCCTGCGTTGTAACCGGAGGACTGCTCCAGCTCTGTCTGGGTAATTACCGAACCCTGTCTGCAATTGTCCGAGCTGGATGCTGAGTCATCAACTGCATTTCTTCGCCCTTTTAACCATTCCTCATCGGATTTAGTCTTGTATTACAGTAATAAACTCCATTTTTGTTTGTCCTTCTCCGGTGTCTCCTTTTCATTCGGTTGTCACCATGCCATCAACATCAACATCAGCTCTTCGAGGCTTCCCCGACGACAGTTAGCTCGGAAGACCTGTCATACATTGGCATCACTCATACATCGTAGCTTCATGCTCCTCCTCGTATTCTACTGTGGTTTTCCAAATAGACGATGACCGCGCCTCACCCAAGCAGATGCAGTTCATTTAACCTTTGTTCCTGGTCAGACCAGACGCCACTTCCGATTTCATCAGCACTCCACGAGATCTAACCCCAGATTATCGTCAGCTGCCGACCACTCAGATCATCCTTGCATCTAAAAGCTGGCAGCATTCGAGTGGTCGCCTTAGAGAATTCGTCATTCTCTCGAAGCTCAGCATATTCTCACAAACTGATTTCGTCTTGATTCGAGTCCATCAAGGCTTTGATATCTATCCAACTGTCGCTTCTTTATGTCTTCACATTGAGCATCTTCTTTGCAGCCAAAACTACAGCAGCATTTTCTATGGGTACTCGGTCAAGCACTATGTGCTCAAACTTTCTCCAACGGTAGCGAGAAACCGTTTGAACAACATTCGGCGAGTGCAGCGCATCACTTGGCAATGCACCCGTTCGGATCTTGCAGCAACGTTGTGGTAGCTATTAGTACTTTGTACTACCAAGACATTTTCTTTATGCTGTTAGCTTCTTTTCTTCTGACTATGGGGATAATTTACTACGGCTGTCGAGGTTCTACTTCTCTTGTGGCTTTCCCCTTTTCAGTGTAACACGCATGATTGTACGAATTACCAAACGTCTTCCGCACGTTTGGTTGCCTTCAGCCTAAGTAATTGCTGTACATATTTCCATATGAGTTGTGCAGAAATTTCCAAAAATGTGTAATGAATATTGAATATGAGCAGCTACTCAAAACTCGGACCAACAGAGCGGATCGATACATATCCCCGGTTCTTTCGCTTCAGTTCGTATACACTATCGGACCTTTGGGAATCATGAGTTGCACATCAACAAGGCTGAAGAATCTGTGCCCTCAGTTTTTGCCTTTTAGGAAGCTTGGCAACTCATCAGTTTTCTTCGAACGCGTTCCAATACAGCTAAGCGTCGGTCTTATCCCACTAGACATTACCCAAGTTGATCGTGGTTCGGTCCACATCACAGCTGAGACGAGTCTCGAGGACCACGATATCGCACGTATGGCCACCAGGAGAGTTCATAAACAGTTTTCTTCTCTTCCGCCGGTTAAATATAGCCTTCGGGAATTCCATCTCTGACCGCCATGGACAACGAGCCAATACTGGTCATCCACCTTACGAGCTTTACCCTCATTACTGTCCTAGAGTGCTTGTTATTGCCTAGCTCTCAGCCTCGACACGCCTTCGCGAGGCGCTCCGATTCATCACATTAATGTAGTAACAACATCCGCTCGGAAGCATACCTAAACAGAATGGAAAGCCGTGTACCAGACCATCCAAATTGTATGTGAGCTCATGAGCCTATGATATTGCTAATCGTCACAATTGGCGTCTACTCTACGCCGAATCGACACGGGAGCGGGCATGAAATGGCTGAAACTACTCTACTCAGCTGGATGTAGAGACAGTATGCTGATGAGATTCTGAAGGCTGGGAACAGGAAAGGTGAAAAGTGGGCTGCCTAGCAATCAAGCGGGTGGCATTTGAATATATAAGGACGATCATTCCCGTCTTTGGAAATTCTTCTTAGCCCAACGACCGCGTTTCATCAAATAAAGCCTAGCTCAATCTCGAACGCCAAAATGAAGTCAAACTCGCCAAACCTTCTTGTCCTGTTGAGCTTCCTCACTTCGCTTGAGGCTCAATTCATCCCGGAAGCTGATGCACGTCTCCTTGCGTGGCGAGCATACGGTACTTTCGTCCAGCAACAGTTGACGGCAGGAGTCCCTCTTTCACCTGGAAAGGACTTCATTTATGTTACGCCACCTAATTTGGCTGCCGTTCGAGGAGGAACACCATGCCCAGACTCAGTCACGAACTTTGATCTGTTCTCCTTAGCTGATGGCTTGCAAAACGTCAATGAGCCATTGCTCGATAATGCTGGGGCTTCATATGTCGACAGTTTGTATACGTCAGTATAGTCTATCTCTCACTTCAAAAGTCGAATGACTAAACTTCACAGATATCTTCAAAGTGTGAACTTGGGGACTGCTCCGCCCACAACCGCGCAACTCACCCAAATACAGACCTTGACGGACGCTTTGGCAGTTGCTCAGGATAAATTCGACACTCAAAGCAATATTGCTTACGGAAAGTACTTGGTAAGTCCGTAAATACATCTTGATACGCGTCACTGTGTTATTGAATACTTTGTGGGGAAATATCAATTCAAAACTGCGATATGGCCAGAGCGGTTAAATTACTGAATTGAATGTGTGACGATTCCTGAATTTCACTTTGTCACTCAAAAATATTTTCTTTCTTCATGTGAGCGCTACTTAGCAGGTAACTAACTCCTTCATCAAGGCCGATGTTCGCGCACAAGCACTCCATCAATCATTCGGCGCTTGGGTCACTGCTAAGGATCCGCTGTACACCTCATTACAAAGACAGAGAAACACTGCCAATACAGCTCTGCAAAACTATGAAGCTTCAGTTTATGGTGCTCAATTCTCCACTCTTTCATCTCAAAGAGACAAGATCGTCAACAATGCTGGCGAGGAGCTTTCTTCAGTACCAGGGTAAGTTGGCTCTAATTTTAGTGCATACAAATGTCTAACCCCATTATTTAGGTACAACATGGGGGTTTATGGTGCGGCAGGCACTTATAACGTCAAGATCAGCCCATTCCAGGCCAATCAAATCACTGATGGACTTATCTATAAGCCAGCATATTCTTTGTCAGGAGGTATGTACATCCATTCCAGCACCCTTTTGTCCAAACTCCATCCAGACTCAGATCCCTGAGACAAATTTCAAGTGTCAAATATGACCGAATTACACTCAGCATATCGCCATGAAATCCCAAACAAGTATCCTAATGTTAACATGACTGTACCAGGTTTTGAAGAAGTATGTGATGCTTGGATCAATTACACCGGCCCGGTGAACACCGTCTACAATTGGAATATGAACAATGTTAATGGAAAGGATTGGTCAAGTCTAGGTAAGATTGCCTGGCATCTGAAGAACTGAGCCCCGAGATCACCAGCTAACGGGTTGACTACAGGACATACAACATCCGTCTCAAACAGTAAGTCTACCATGCTTTGCTTTCCACCCTTTTGCTTATTCATTACTTCGCTCTCCCCTTTTAGCCTGTCATCTACCTTCTATTCTCCCCGATCCCCCAATGTTGAGTCACAAGCCTACATTGGCGGATGGGGTGCCCTTTACGCGTGTGACACTTCTCACTCGTCTCCATGAAGATCCTGTTGCGACGAGATTTCAGCCCGTAGCCACGCCTGTCTCTGTTGCTGTCGAGACGGGCGGGGCATTACTAGCAGAAGCTACGCTGAAACCTCGTCCTGTTGGCAGCGATTTACTAAGTCATGTCCATCCGCGTCAGGTTTTGTTGCCGTCTCCTACGAGAGTCACGGAGCCTACCAAAATATGTCAAAGACAGACACAATCAGAAAACCCAGATAACGTTGAACTTGGTACTGATTATGTCCGTGTAGTTGGAGCAAGCGTCTTCTGGGGCCTCATCAGCGCCAACAAAGGAAGCACGACCGACACTACTGTCTTCAACCAGGTATATTCCCCCCATGCATAAACCTTCAAATAGCTACTAATTCATGAGATAGTGGACAGAGAGATTCAGTACCTCGGTCTCGCTCAAGCTCACCATGAAAGGCCTTCAAGTCTTCAACGTTGGGGCTGGTTTCTGGGATGTTGGGGGTGTCCGAACCACCTATCCAAACCTACTTCCACCACCGCTTGGCAAGAATACTCTGGCAGGAAAAGTCCGTCTTCAACGTCTCCTCATTGGCACTGAAGTTGGCCTCACTATCACCGTCAGCGATACTGGAACCTATAACAGCATCTACAGCTTCATTCAAGATGCAAAGACCTCCGTCGGTGCTGGTGGCGGCTTCAGCATCTTTGGTATCCGTTTCGGAGCTGGTGGTGGTAAGACTACCACAACTCACCGCGAGGTCAAGGATGTTTCCTTTGTGACTCTGCAAGAAGGTGGACAAGTGATCATCGCTCCTTCTCCCAAGGTTTGTATTCCGTACTGCGACCGTCTAGTATGTGACTAACTTCCTTAGGGCGTTCCCGTTCAACTCGGTGCCCTAGGAAAAGCACTTTAGATGTTCCGTCAGAAAATAAACTAGATGGAACTCAGAAGCAGTTGTCAAGAAAAAGGTACTCTATACAGTGGTGTTTGAAATAGATTGTGGTGCGAAAACCAGGACAGGATTTCTTATGTGGTTTGGGATTTTACCTGTCCAAGAACTTAGCTCGTCAGCAATACACCTCAGGTTCCTGACAAGAAAAAGGGGGCGTGTTTGCCACTTCGCTTAATTGCCAGCACGTGACATCGGAGGTATCTCCCTTATGCACCTCTGACGTCCGCGAGAAACAAGCCGTCATACGAAATCGATCATCATGGATGCAATTTGATAAAACACCGTGACAAACAAACGGCGGGGTCGTAACTTTCGAGAACGCGGCTGGAGCATCATCTTGCGCCATTTCGATTTGGCTAGCCCTTGTTCAGAATCCACCGCATCATGTAAGTGCGAGATGTAAGCTGGATATGGTACTAATCCAGAGTAAATCCACCATCCTTTCGAATCGCGTCTTCTCTCATCCATCTTCCATTTTCTCATTTGCTCGGAAGCATTCTATTATGTACCTCAGAACACCAGTCTCTGCGTGCCTGCGTCCAGTGACGTCACGGTCGCTATTCTCTATTACTTCAAGGAGTTTCCTCTCCGTTGCTGCTCAGTCAAAACCTCATATGCCCTCGACTTCTTCAACTTCCATAAACCGTTTACAACAACATCAGAGACACTTCACAACTACACCTTCAGCAAACATGTCAGAATCAAACCAGCACTTTCTCCTCGAGAATGTCTTCAGTGTGAAGGGCAAGGTAAGCGTTTATCGTTTCCCATAATGGATGTTCTGTTAACATGATTAGGTTGCCCTTGTCACAGGAGGTGGTTCTGGAATTGGTCTTATGGCTACACAGGCGCTGGTAAATTACATACCTCACTCTCTCCTCGTTCCGACTAACCAAAATAGGCCGTCAATGGGGCTAAAGTCTATATCGTCGGACGTACACAAGACAAGCTCGATGCCGCCATTTCCGCACACGGCAAGGACATCGCGGGCCAGATCATTGGTATCACCGCAGACATTAGCTCAAAAGACGAAATTGCTCGTCTTGTAAAGGAGATCGAGTCGAAAGAAGACCACCTAGATATCCTGATCAACAACGCTGGTATCTCGGGAAACACACAGCAAACCGAGAGCAAGTCTGCGGAGGAGATGAAGAAGAACCTCTTCGATGACGAAAGCAGCACATTGGACGACTGGAACAACACATACAGAACAAACGTCCCACCATTGTTCTTCGTCAGTGCAGCATTCCTACCAATGCTCGCGAAAGCTACCGAGAAACAATACGGCTGGTCCGGAACCATCATCAACATCACCTCCATCTCCGGCATCGTCCAGAGCTCCCAACACCACTTCGGCTACAATGCATCCAAGGCAGCAGCCATCCACCTCACCAAGATGCTAGCATATGAAATCGCTACGAACGAGATCAAGATTCGTGTCAACAGTATTGCTCCAGGAGTGTTCCCTAGCGAGATGACTGCGAATGAGAGTGGACCTGATCAGAAGAGTGAGATCGAGAAGGAGAAGTATGCGAAGGTGCCAGCGAAAAGACCAGGTCATGATAGGGATATGGCTGGTGCGGTACTCTTTGCGGCGACCAATCAGTACTTGAATGGACAGACCGTTGCTGTGGATGGCGGTTATATCCTCTCTGTTGGTGCTTAATAAAAATATAAAGGAGGCGAGATGGGAAAACCCGGGGCTCTTTCTAGTGCACATTTTATTTATTTAGCTAGGGAACGGGAAAATTCATGAATTAATGATCATAGATTCATCTGCTGAAATTAAAAGACTTGTCTACCCTGATATGACGCCCAGTATGTAGCTTATACTAGATTGAATACAGGCAAGGCTTAGAGGCACAATGCAGTATTTGACAGCCGGCGCTTCATAGGGAAAGATGGCTGTTCATTATATCGTTTATTGTAGTAAAGAGTGATCCGAAAGAGTGTAATACTCCGTGACACTTTACAGTCTTTCAATAACTCAACGTTCTGGAGGTCTAGAAAGACTCGATGAGTCGAGAACTGGGTTAATTTTAGCTTTGTTCGGAATAACTAGGATATTAACGGGTAGAATAAAAGCGCTATGAAAGATAAATAGAAACCTTGGCCAAACTAGCCAGAGTTTGAATAGGACTAATAGCATCTTTTCAGAATATTTATATACACATAGTTACGATTGAACATAATAAGGGACACTGTAATAACCATGTCTAGCGTATTCTCCTCTTTTTAATATTGCCACCCGAAAATGTTACGTTGTCTTAGACCTCTAGGATTTATTATGGGCTTCGCCTGTGACCCTCCTGATTGACCAGTGTTCTGTTTCGAGGCGGTAAACGCCTCTATCCGCTCCTTAGCAGTGAGAATCTTCTTGGTTTTTGGGTCCACCTTTTTAATAAACTTTTCAAGAATAAGCTCTCCAAGCGTATCAATTGCCATAGGTACCGGCAACTTGTTCATCACAAACCAACCGTCGAGTAGATAGGCCCAGTTGTTGGCATTTTGTGCCACGTGCCATTCAACTGCATTGTCCCATCCATACGCCCGAAGCCGCAAAGCAGGAGTCACGGTCCCGCCTGGAGATGTCTGCGCGCTCTTTGCACCCGGTAGGTCATCAAGAGGTTCGATATGTGCTCCAGCTGTTCCTCCAGGACTTGTTGGAACTTGTGCCTCCCACCAACCAGTGTGTGTCAGCTGTAGAAAGACAGTTTAGCCATATCACTTAGGGAAGATTTCTGCTGGTCTTTCAAAAGACATAGAGAATACAAGGTGACTCCACTTACTTCGTGGAAAAGAGTGTGCTCCAGCCAAATGCCATCATGCATAGAAATATGCTCCTGAGGATTTCCTCTCAAACCCTTTTTCTGAGGTGTGACCGGTTTGACCTGTGGCCATGGATAGTCAGGAAGAAGCTGGTTCTGTATGGCGAGTTGTCCATAATAGCGCTTTTGCTCAAAATTGTTGATGCCTCCTTTGGCCAGGAGGACTCGAAGCCACTGTGGACAGAGCTGCATATTGTTACGAAGATTAGGCCACATAGCGGCCGCAGCGGCCGAACGTCCCGCCGTGAAAGCCTTTGTTTCAAAGTCCATAATTTGTGGATCTTCTATACAGTCGTCGTAGAAGTCTTCGTCCAAAAGATCCTCTTCCCCATTAATTGCATGCTTATACTCTTTTGTTGCTACATCGAGTTTTCCTGCGAATCTGCTAACATCACAATAAACAATCTAAAGAAATTAAAGATGTGTAAGTCAGGGCAACTCTGTGGATAGACTGGATTGTAGAAAATGATACGAACAGTTTCTGTGTCGGCTATATTCGCTGGCCATGGCTTATCCGGATCGGAGTTGGGAAATCTTGCAACTTGGCCAAAATGCCGCAGTAGAGCTTCGGCACCCGCTACAAGGGAAACTTGGTCAGTGAGGGCCTATAGTTAAACAATATCATCAAGATCTCGAAATACCTGTACCGTCTCTCTTCACAACTTTCAAACCAGCATGATCCAGCTTAGTCGATCCCTCGCCTTGAAAGAGATTCATAAAGTGGAGAGCAAAGTGTGGACTCATAGAAGTAGCAGAGCCAGTTACTGTTTTCAAGGCTAAGGTCTTCAGGTCTTTCTCTGACGGAAATGGTTTTTTCAGATCAGCGACCATACCAACAAGGTTTTTACGCACGTTCTCAAATGCTTGCTCTATCAGGTTGATAGTATTGCCGCCCTTCGTGATTTGATATTTGGCTACGTGGAAGAGTTATTAGAGTAGATCGGATGCAGAAAAAGATTGACATGGAAGAGACCCACCGTTGTAGCAAGACTGATCTAGAAGAAGAGCGTTGGCGAGATTTAATCCTAGCAGAATGCACCCAAGCTCAGCGATGTGCCACATTGCGTGTATACGCTTGAGTTTCGAATGAAACTAAAAGAGAAATAAAGAGTAGTGGGATGGGGAAAGAAAAACAAGAGAGGGAGGGAGGGGGAAATAGTGACAAAAATAGATAGATTGAAATGAGAAGTAAATGTTGCGTAGAGCTGAGACTTTGATAGAAGACGGATGGGTTGATGGTTTTGTGGATAAGTAGATATGAGGAGCTATTAAATAGAGACGAGCCCGACTTTAATAGCAATCAGTAAGAATACTCGTTGGGTTTCGAGGGACGCTCCTCTAGTCACCGGTCCCTTAGTTGGAATGCTAGTGACGTACACAGATCCATTGAACATCCAGGATTCTCATTCGCAATGGCCTATAATATTTAAAGATTTATCAACCGGCCTGGCGCCACCAACTCGCCTCGGCCGACTAGGGAACTAATGAGGAGATGATGCGCCTACCAAACATGAATAGATATAGATAATTCGTAGCCTATTCCTTCCAGCTCCTGAAGTTGCCCAAGAAGAATTCCATGAGGAACTAGAGGCACGAAAGAAGATCATCTGGTGTAAATGTCTGCATGGACTTTACGCAGTCGTGTATTGTTGGTTTCCAACATACTATTTTGGGCTTCGTTGGAGAATCCCACCGCAGCATTGCCCAACATGATCTCGTTCCCGAGCTGGAATCTTTTCTCGGTGTTAGACATAATGTTTCCTTATTAGAAAATATCATATAATCTAGGTCTAGGATGTCAGTACTAGCTGGCTGCTGATGTACTGGCTATTTACCACTACTGTGTACCTAGCAAAGGACATATTATACGACAAATGGCACTCATAAGCTATAGAAACCTCGATTTTTGTCGTGATCTTGACTGGAATCAAGGAGAAATAGACGGGAAGGCTCAGTCTAGTAGTATTACCTACAATATGATGGCCGATGGTGGATGACAGTCTTCCGGTACGCTCTAGAATCACCGCCTCAGCGTGTCGCAAATCTGCTGTTGGGTCACCTGACCAAATATCCAACAGAAAATTGGGGCTGTCTCTACACCGTAACGTCGTCCTGCATTAGCCCCACTTCATCCTCCATCTCCCTTCCTCCAGGTTGCTTTGGCACGCATGGTCAAGTGTTTGCTCATTATTTAATGTCCAACTGACCCTCCCTTACTTGTCGCTCATCTATATAAACATTTGGGTCTTCCCCAGAACGGATACGCAATGACATCGAGAACATCAGTATCACTATCAACAACACCAGCAACTCCCAATTCACCCCCACCTAATACCAAGAGCAGCATATTGTCACCCTCAGATCCGTCGTCAGTACTCGCGTTAATCTTGTCTACTTCGTCTTTTTCCTGCTTGCGATTCCTTGCCCTTGCAATTCTCTCTTATCTTATTCTCTTATTCCTGGCCCACCGTCATGCGATTCAATCACCTCTCCCTCTTTTTAGCTGTGTTAGCATCTGTGGTAACCGCCGCTAGCCCCTCCCAAAAAGGAAACCCCCCGCTGGCACCCCTCAATACAAATACTGGAGATTCCGATGACTCAGGCAGTATTGGAAATTCTTCCCCAGCTAGTAGTCTCAATAGTGATGCGGATGTTATCAAGTATTACAAAACACTTTCAAAGGAGCAAAAGGCAATTGCGCTTAGCGCGATGAAGAAATCACTTAAAAAGGTCTGTTCCTCCCCCTCCTTGCGCAACATTTCCTCATTTGTCCTCTGTGATTCTATACATTTTCTATACTGATAAAAGGTTTATCGACATATAGCCGAACAGGGAGCCAAGTAATATTAAAAACATGGACGCCGTACATCAAATCATTAAAGAAGGAGGTGGCGTACCGGAGTCTGAGCCAGGGCAAGTTCAAAAGACTTCTGACAAAGATAAAGGTGCAGGCGTTTCTCCACAAAGTGGCAAGAAAGATGGAAGTGTTTCTCCAAAGAGCAACAAGAAAGATGGAAACGTTTCTCCACAAGATGGTAAGAAAGGTGCAGGTGGATCTTCAAAGGGTGACAAGGAAGATTGATGAACACACGACATGTAAACTGCCATTTTTCAAACATCGGTTTCATTAGAGTTAGGGAGGAATACTGATAGAAATTCATGACATGCATTTGGTCGTTTTCTAGAACATTTGCTAGAAACATATTTGGCGTATATTTTTTTCTCTCTAAAAGCATCGTTAAAGAGACTATTAATAGTCGGTGGGTCCTTCTCTTGCGCCCCCGGCTTAGAGTCGGGCAAAGCAAGTGACCCAGTTCAAATAGGTACAAAGTCACGATTTTTTACAAATAAACTTTCGACCTCGAAATTAATCGTCTTTTCTAAAAAATTTAAAATCCGGGTTTTTGTCGTATACCAAAAGCAGTAATTTTACACCTATTTGGGCTGGGACACTTGCTTTTCCCGAATTTTGTTTTCAAAGCCACATTCGTCCCTATAAACAGCATTATATTCCCTATACTCTTTCCCTGTTTCGAGTAAAAACTCATCTTCAGTTCTTTCACTGCAAAATATCTCAGTATATAGACCAGGCATTTTTACTCTCACAGCAAACTACTTCGAAAAAAGTCATATGTATAATGGTACTTGGGAAACATTAGAAGCTCAGCTTACACCAGGTCATGGTAGGACAGGCCAGAAGGAGGAATGTAATGGCAAATATAGGCAAAATAATAGACAAAATTCATAGTATCATGACGTTGACTCGCAATTATACTTGCGTCGTAGCCGCACGTATTGTTATCGTTAAGTGGGTCTTTAAGATATCCAGTACTTTCGTTACGTTGCTGACAACCTGTGAAGATCGAGAGTGTTGAAGCTTTTGGTTGAATTTCAATTCTATATTACCTTCGCTTCGAAGTTGAGTCAGGTTCTAGAACATTCAATCATTATTACACACATTCTCATGCAATCATTACCAGCAATTTTCTCCCCTCTCTTACCCTAAAACGCAATCACACCAACAAGACCTCTTAAGTCCCACGCCCATCTAAAGGCTCTTCCCTACATCATAACTATCCCCATTCCTAATTCCCAGCGAGCCTCTCAACCTATCCTCCGCCTCAACAACCTTCTTCGGCAACGTCGTTCCAATGCCGAAAAACACGAAAAATGCCCACTTCCATCGGAACGGGTTAATTGCGATACAAAACGTAAACCACCAGATCAATTCCAGGTAGGTGAAGAAATCAAACGCACCGGTCGGTGCAAACTTCTTGAGGAATCGAGTCATGTCGATCCAGCGTTCCATCCAGAAGGGACGGGGGCGTGTCAAGGGGTCGGAGAGGAACATGAGGAGGATGCGGGTGTAGATTCCGATGTGCCAGTTGCCGACTGTGCCGATGGCGTTTACGTAGGTGCTAGGAATTGTTAGTAGACTTGATTAACGAGAGGAAAGGGACTTTACCAATTGTTGCAGCAGATACTTGGGTGGTTTGGAGGGAAGGTCTGGAGATACCAGTTTGGTGGTGTATATGGATCTTTGAAATTGTCTTCGGGAAGGAAGTTAAGTGATGGTCTCTCATAACCGGTAGCCATAACGACGATGTCGCCTCTAATCAGCGTTTCTCTTCCTGGGCCACCAGGTGGTACTCCTTTCGCACGTTTGTTGAATCTGATCCCTTCTTCTGAAAACCCCCTGATATCTCCTCGTAGCCACTCTGCTTTTCCAGATCGAATTTTATCCATGACATCGGAATTTACCATTGGTGTGCCAGTGAAGAGACCTTTGTCTGTTGGCGCGAGATCTTCGAGATCACGGTAGAAGAACTTCCGTAGAAGGAGTTCTGGGATCCAGGAAAATATCGTCTCTCCACCAAAGATGTTGAATGATAGTAGACCATCGATGATAGGATTTCTTGGAATGATCCATTTATCGCTTCTAGCAAGAATATAAACCTTGTCCGCTTCCTCGTGAGTAGCGAATTCCAGTGCTTCGACAGCGCTTGCACCACCTCCAACAATGATCATAGTCTTGCCTTTTGCCTGCTTACCAGTAAGATTACTCGAGTGGTAGATTTCCCCCTTGAATTTTTCTTGCGCTGGAAGATGTGGCATCTTAGCATCTCCACAAGTTCCTACGGCGGCAATGATACCCTCGAATCGTCCTTCCGCAGTATTGTTGATAATCCAGCGACCCTTCTCATCTTGATAAACCTTCTCGACTTTCGTGTTGAATTTGGTCTTAGATTCCAGACCATATCGCTTCCATAGTTGAGTAATTTGAGAAACAATTTGTTGACGGTTTGGGTAGCCACCACTCCATCTCACGGAGGGATGGAATCGGTACATAACTGAATGGATCTGAAGACCGCTTGTGTTGTTGACTTTCTAAGACATAGTTAGCTATAAAATTTCGATCAGAATAAGATATGTGGTCTTACGCTCCAAATTCCGCCTAGATGTTCCTTAGGACCAGCCTCAAATATCTGAACATCGAATCCATGGCCAACACAATGAGCAGCGGCAGAGACACCGGTTAAACCCGCACCGATAATTGCAATCTTTGGACGGCCAAGCTCATTGTTTACTGGTGGTGGAGTTGGCGAGAGCAATTTGTCAATTAAGAATTGCCATATCTGATACAAAAATAGAAGCGGATGGTATAAAGGGTTCACCATCCTGCTGATTGCTCAATTGAATTGACTAAAACGGTTGTTATAATTCAGCCAGAAATAAATGGCAATACAAAATGCGAACAGTAGAAGAAATAATAAGAAATACAACCTATGTTCCTTAGTGAAACGCTGTGTCGGAAGATGCGGTTGGCCATGACGTAAAGTAGTAAACGGTTCGTGCCGGACCCCACCATGCATGTGAAAATGGACCCCCTTCCTGCCCCTTTTCAAGGGCCCAGAGAGTCAGAAGCGAGGATGCCAAAAACAAAGAAGCAATCATCATATACGTATTGGCTCGAGAGATTACTTTATCTTTCCAATTAAATCGTTACACTATGGCCTAAGCTTGGAAAATCCTAAGCGAATTCCAAAACTTTACGTTCGATGAAAACATAATCTTACAATCCTAGCTCAATACGTGTTATTCGATGAGACTCAAGATTTGACTTCGTAAGAAGCAAATAGAGTTATGAATATCGTCGCAAAACAACATCGATTGATTTCTCCATGTATAGCGAGACCAGGCATATGCCTGTGTCTACCAAGTTCGCCAGTTGGAGTTGCCTATGATTTAAGTTTTCCTCCTCTTTAGTCTTTTGCTTTAACGCTGCACGTGGATATGCATCGATTTTTCCGGCTTTTGACCTGCCTCATGAGGGTGCTGATGTACTCTAGGCGCCTGTTGAACTTTACATTCCAACTCGTCGTCATGAACGAGGCTTTCCACGCACATTTCCACTTGACCATCGTCTATCCGTCCAGCGATAATAATTCCACCACAGGCGGGATATGTGAGCGGGAGATCTAAACCCACGCATGTATATCTGCAGGTTCGAAATAAGTCGGTGGCAGGGTCTATGTGACTACGCCACGAACTCAGAATCACCGGGGTTCAATACGTGATGCTGGCTCAATGTATCTTGGCTAACGTCCCAAAGACGGATAACACCCGCAGCTCTTACGTAGGGGCTGCGTCCGTTTGGGGTAATACGACCTCTGCAAGGAGATTAGATGAATGTTGTCACTTGCTGTTCCGGTTGCCTCGACGAGAGCCCGCAACGTGCGTCGTGTATGACACTTATGTGAGTATACATATGTCTCGATCGAAAGAGATTCCTCAACAGGGAATGCCCTCCCGCTGAAGCACTTCAAAGCTGACTGACATGAGACAAGACCCAGCCATACTCTTCGATGGTCTGATGTGCTCGTTTGTCGGCCCAGCCCATGAATGGGTTCTCCCCACACTCAACTCCAGTTGGGCTTTCATCAATATTGGGCCATAGCGAGCTTTCTGAGCTTTTGGCTGCATTGGTTGTGGAGGTTGAAGATTGCTCGCTTACAAGCACGTTCGAATTGGTGGGCTTTGAAGAGTGAATTGTGTGCAACAGAGCAGTCGCAGACAAGATTGGTGTATCCTCAATTGGATTTGACAGATAAGATTGAAGGGAGGTGTCGCTACCGAGCGGGCTATCAGTCCAAGATGCAGAACCAGCAGTAGTAATGGACGAGCTGAGGTCCAGCAGCGAGCTGTTGTCCTCCGCTGCAAGCCAAGGGAGGTCTTCCATGGCACTGAAATCAAAGTTTGCACCCATTAAATCAATTGATGGTTCACTGGCTCCCATCAAGGCCCCTTGGGAAACATCAGTGATATCAGGCACCTTCTGTTGACCAGAGATTCTTGAATAAAGCTTGTTCTGGGGGCATGTCTGTGGGTCGCACTACGTTGATGATTAGCTATGCGTTCAATGATGTTTTTTTGAACCCTTTCAGAACGAAATCGCAGCCTCCTGGAATCGAAAATTACATGTATAGGAAGACTCTCATGTGCAAAGGTGGAAATGGAAATGCCAAGGATGAATGGGTACTTACAGTCGATTTTTGAGAGCGATGCTTATCGCAAGCATTTCCTCGATTCTCCGCGACTTTTCTCCGTTTGACAGGATCATACGGCTGTCTCTTCTTTTTCTCAATTGCCTCGCCATTACACAGCTGCCATGTTGACATAGTGCCACCGACCTCGAAATTAGGCTCCGGAGCCAAACTAGGTGTCGAACATCTCGACGATGCTCTTGACCTCGAAGTTGCTCGAGACGTAAGTGATGGGGTTCTTGACGACCCTCTGGATCTTTGTGGTGCAAGAGCCACTTTCCAGCTCTTCAAGAACGCGCCAGCGGTAGGCAACGGGGCAATCTCATCTCCCTTCCTCACCACCAAACTTGCCTGCAAATTGTTTTCTGGTAATTCGCAGACGAAATTGCCACTTCCTCTTTTCTCGGAGTCAAAAAATCTCTGAAGTGCTGCTTGCATCAACTGCAACTCAGTCTCAAGGGTTGGGAAGCTGTATACAAGTGCGTCTTTTAGAGCGCGCGTTCCTCTCTTCGGATCAAATTGCGGGATTCCATGTTTGTCTCGGAAAATGCGGTAAGAAGGAGTTGATATCACCTCGTCTTCCATTACGTTTATCAAGTAAAAGATGAATTGGCCCAAGTGTGGTTGAAGACATTGAAGACGGTTGTCAAATACAGATGCGGATTGCAGTACGAGAGAGGGCGCAGCTTCAACGTCTTGGCAAACGGCGACCGTTTTGGGAAATCAGCCCTCGGCTACTACTGGCCGACAGTTCCTAATACGTAGGCCAATGAGTTTCCCCAATAGAGCTGACAGGTCCGATAATGAAAACCTTAGCTACATAGACGAGAGTGGGTAATTCTCGTTAAGTTGATTTGGTTCCCGAATTGGTCAATCTGATAAGCCTTTACGTTATCTTGCCCGCCAGCAGTCCTGGCATCACTGAAATCAACTACAATCTTACAGAATTACAACAGTATTCACACCCCTACAGCTGGAAAGTGTGGGCAGAGGGAATAACAAAAATGGTCACACGTACGCGATCATCAGTCAAATATGAAACCGAGAATTGTTGTTGGTCATCGCTGACCTCATTGGCAAAATCAAATATATACCAAGAAGTCGTTCTATTTTCAACACCCAGTAAGCCACAATGCGCCTCCTCGCTCCTCTGTGCGTACACAGAAATGCAGAATCTTCGAAGTATCTATAATACACTCGCTCTCGGCTCGGCTTTTACACTCTTCCAAGGTAAATTATCCATTCAATCAATTTTGATTGACCCATAAATCTTTTGTACAAACAACCAGCTGGCAAAGAACCCAATGGAACCTATAACGAACGTTAGCTGACGCTTGACAAAGGGGGCGGAGGAAATAAAGTTAGCTTACCGGTGAGGATAAAGAATAAGAAAGAAATCAAAGCGCTGTATCCGATATACAGAACGCTTCCAGCTAGACCACCCAGTTGTAATTTTGTGATCCAATACATAAGAGCATTGGCAAAAACATAGAATGCAGATGCTCCAGCCGTCATGAATGCTCTCCAGTGCCAATGGTAGTTTTCGCTACAGAGCAGAAAGTAAACCATCAAAACCGTTACGGCTGCACAGGTGATGATCATCAGGCCATAGCATAGGAAGAGGAACCCGAACATGTAGTAGACCTTGCTAAACCATATAGAAGACATGATGAAGTAAAGTTCGACAAAGATTGCACCGAATGGCAATATACCCACCAGAAGCATAGAGGGGATAGGGCGCATATACGTTGTGCTAGGTGGGATTTGGCGTGGAATTTGGTTGGTTCGGACTGGAGGTTGAATGGCAGGCTGGCGGAAACCTACCCAACTACCCGCAAAGGATAAGGGTACGGAAATGATGAACCATATGCTGACAATAACGAGCATAGTAGTGAATGGGACAGCGCCAGAACTTTGCTTTGCCCACAAGAAGAGGTTCAAAAGGAAAAAGGTTGCGAAGACGATTCCAGGAACCATAAGTGGAGTCAAGGCGATATTGAGCTTCCAACTTTCACCACCGAAAGACTTGTAAACGCGGGAAGAAACATAGCCCCCAATGAAACCCAGTACGGTATAAAGAAGGACCATGATGGTGCCTAGGGAACCGCGGTTCGACGGTGAAAGGAAGCCGAGAAGCGCAAAAGCGATCGTAAATCCAGTCATCACGAACAGCTGTGCACCATTTCCGAGGAATACACTCAAGATAAGTGGTGAACTTGGCGTACGAAATACATCCCCATGCACAAGTTTCCATCCCGAATCTTCTTGCACACCGTCTTCAACTGCCGCCGAGGTCCCTGAAAGGTCATCGAGGTTGATCGAATCGAGACGGTTGTATCTCTGGATATCTTTTCTCAGGGTCCGAAGGAGTACAGAGACGACGGTAATAACAAGCACGATAACAATGACGGCCGAGTTAATAAGAGAGAACCAGTGGATTTTGGGGTCGAAAACGTGGAGATACTTGTCCCATCGTGTAGCCCAAGCAGTCGGAGATTCCCTCCAATACACACTGTATGTAAAGTCTACATTGGTCTCCTCAGTTTCCGACAGGGTGATTGGCACTCCTCTATTGTTGCTGTCAACCCTGCCACAATGAGCGGGGGTGTTGCCGTCCGCATGCTTCAGTCTCGAGTCTGGCTGGACTATGACACCGACGACTCTATATTCTCCTGCGGATGTTTCGTGGTAATCGATTAATATGTCGTAATGGTTGTTCAGATGCATTTCTTTCTGGTCGGCACTCCCAAGCGCAAAGCCTTGACTATAAAACTTTGTCTGCGTAACATCATCCTCAATCAACTGGCCAGCGGGTAGTCCATCCACCAACCAATTCAGCGCAAAGCCCTGGGCTATTCGTCGATTTACAAAATGCGCGGAGCTCTCGTCGTAAACTACATCACTACAAAGCGTTCTGCAGGTCTCATTCTGTGCCATCTTCAGCTCAAACGGCGACGTCCTAATACGATCGCCAAAGAGTATACTCCCCAAGCTCTCTGATACATCTTTGGGTGCCGGTTCCGGCCTGCAGAAATGAAAGGCTGGATGATAGTAATCGAAGGATACCACGGAGCGAAGCGTTCCGTCTTCTTGCGAGCCGACTGGAGTCAATCGATTGACATTTAATGGCACAAGGTCGCCGACTTTGTATGAGGTTGGCGCAACCCCAGGGAGGTAGAAAGCGGTTGATAGCTGCGGGAGCGCAAGAAAGGACGCTATAAACGCCGCGGAGGGCGTCATGTTTCTGGAGCGCATGGCAGTTTTGTCTACAATAAAAAAGGTATGTTAGTCGAGATGTGCAGATACTGGTGTGCTTCAATTATGTTGCTGTTTGTTCACAGGGGGATATAAACAGGAAATTGAGGAGCTTACGACTAGCAAACAGGCGCCAGCCTCAGAGGGCACCGAAGGGAATGAGAAAGAGTTTTTCAGTACCAGCGCATGCGTGTAAATAGGAGAGAATTCGAGTTTGACGCGCGTTGAATTTGATGGGCTTGTTGTTGTGAAATTAATTGTCGTAATCAGGGGCCGCCATTGTTTGCTGTATTCGATGCCAAATATCTGGCACCTTTCAGCAAGGCTTGTCGGATTAAGATTTCTCCGCCTCAGCTGCTCCAGCTGGCCCGGAGCTGACTGGGGTTGGTTCAAGGGTCCGTCCCGCAGCCCGCTGAAATTTATTTTTATTTTTTGCGCCCGCACCAACTTGCAAACATTGGTCTGCACTCAAACACCAAGTATGGCAGTTCAGTCCAGCTTTCCAGCTTTGCTGGAATCACTCACACAAGCCTTGGTCTCTGCTACGGAATCGATAGAGAGGACAGCGTCGCCAATTCCCGTAAAAGATGGCATTTCACTGCTGGATGTGAAAAACGAGCTGTTCCTATCCTACCTACAAAATCTGGTGTTTCTCATCGTGCTCAAACTGCGCAATCGCAAAACGACCAATTCTTCTTCTTCAGACGAAGAGACGGAAGACTTGGACAACTCGGTGGTCAAGAAGTTGGTCGAGTTGCAGGTGTACTTGGAAAAAGGTGTGCGGCCGCTCGAGGGGCGATTGAAATATCAAATCGATAAGGTTTTACGTGCAGCGGACGATGCGAAGCGGGCCGAAGATGTCGCTGGGAAGGCAAAACTCAATGTCAAGCAAGTAAAAAAGATTGTTCGGGAAGATGACTCCGAGGACGCTTCATCAGATGACAGCGACGCTGCGTCCACAAATGGCGCACCATTACTCGACGCAAACGATATTGACGACCTACAATATAGACCAAACCCAACGTCTCTCATGCGACCAACCAATGCGACGGAAGAAGATACTGGCAAATCAGAAAATGATGGTGTTTACAAACCTCCTCGCATACAGGCTACTTCCATGCCAACCACAACCACCCGTGAAAAGGCAGAGAGAAGGCCGAACAAATCAGCAACCTTGGACGAATTCGTCAGTACAGAATTATCTGCAGCGCCATTAGCAGAACCAAGTATTGGATCTACCATCACAGGTGGCGGCCGAAGAAGCAAGAGTGAACGGGAAAAGAAGGAAGAGGCTGAGAGGAAGGAGTACGAGGAAAGGAATTATGTTCGCCTACCTAAAGAAAGTAAGAAGGAACGTGCGAAGAAGCAAAAAGGAAGGGATGCTGGTTACGGTGGTGAGGAATGGAGGGGTCTGGGAGAAGGGATTGACAGAATTGAACGACTCACTCAAAGGAAAGCAGGTGAGGGAAGAAGTGTGTTGGATAAAAGTCGGAAGCGACCTACTGAGGATGGTCCCAAGAGCAGCGGTGCAGACGTTGGACAAGGATTCCAGAAACGGCTCAAGACTCTTGATGGAGGGAGAAGGGATAGAGGAAGAAAATCGCAAGGATAAATGTTACAATTCGATCCGGTTTAAATATATAAGATTCATCATCTACAATGTCTGTATGAAAATACAATGGTTAGACTAAAGAAGTTGAGACTAAGCTCTTAAAGCCCAAGTGCTGTTCGCATCTCCAATATCGATTCCCAGACAGTATTGCCTTGACCATCCCATACTTAATATATCAACAGTCCCGACTGTCCCGTGAACAATGCGAAGATATGTTGAGTACTTTATAATACATTCCCACTCTTTCAAACGCCCAATCAAGTACATCACTTAGCTACTGCCTTACACAGTTGGCACTTCGTTTTCTTAGTATAAAACGACCCCCATATTTTGAATCTTGAACAGGATGTCGATCTGATTCTATGGGACAGTATGTTCCAGACAGAAGTGAGATAATGATACTGTGCACACCCACTCTTGATTTCCCGTAGCTTATAGTTTTCTGGAACTTTTTCTCAAATAACATTCTAGCGAGTCATTTTGTTTTCCCTATCTATGCCTAAGAGGTGAGTTATGAAGCGTACGATAGCAGGACAATGCCAACAAAAGATGCGAAAGCTACCCCCAAAACATATGAAGGATAGTTTGACTCCGTATTTGTAGTTAATTTGAGATTGGAAAGCATCAACAATATGTCAGAACATTCAGCCACGGTATACTGTTAATCATCTAAAAAGGATTTCTATAGAAATTGCCTTTGGTATGGGATATCTCGGTACTGCATTCAACGCGTGTATTCACGGCCATACGCGCTTTCACGCCATCTCGCTTCGCTCGACGACGCGAACTTGCGTATCAAAAAAGGCAAAAAAAAGATCTAGAGCCCCAAAAAAGGCTCACTTCACCTAAATCTAACGTGAAGATTGTCCTGCGCAAAAATTTGAAACAAAAGAAAGTTGACTCCCTCCGGATATTATCCTGTTGACTTTATACACCTATCCCCCAGAGCTCTTGTCTTGCGACTGTCATGTTGAATCGTATAACCAGGCTGAACATATGGCGTCGCCAGGCGTCACCCTGGAAAGCTGCTCCATCGATCCGTAGAGATATCTGGTTGGTGGAAGTAAGTTGCATAATTGAATATTTAAAAGCAAAGGACCATATTCCTCTCCCGCGAAAATTCCGGGGCTTGCCGAGGCGACAGTGTATGCTGGTGGGGGACGATAACCTTGAAGACATTCACCTGGATAGTTTCGACAGGGTGTATAATGTGTTCTGGGCGCACTTCTTTGATAAAGCGGATTGGATGTCGGAGATCCTGGTATCGCGATTCGCACACAGACTGCATGACTGAATGAAAGCTGAGATAACTCTTGTTTCGATAGATTGGATAGTTTTGAAGAGGAGTGACCTAAATTTTGATTGATAGCTTGATGATCGAAGTAAATGAGGGACAACAACTGGGGGATATACTGAACAGTACACTTTTACTCAGCTTTGATATCTTTGGTAGAGATAGAGATTTAGATCTAGCACTGTCAATATGGGAAAGGTAAGAGGTCCATAATCAGCCTGGTTTGGTTGAAGACAAATAATAGATAGGAAGGATTCTGACAATGGTCGAAAGATGAAAGGTACAAGCCTTCGGAAGGTCGCTATGAATAATAACACCTAAGTGATTCACTTTCGATGAGAACAGCAGTCTATTCTCTTTGTCGCACAGTCTTCTGGCACTCAAAGGAGGAAGTGGTCGCTCGCTTAGCATTGTCCAGCAACCTGGAACATCGATTTGCGAGGTCTGAAAGCTCCATAGCGAGAAGGAACCTGTATCGAGCAGGTATTGAGGCCACAGGGGTTTTAGTAGCGACAATTCCGAGGCTTTTAACGGGCGTATTTGGGTAATGAGATGGTTGCCGGTCAAGGATAGTCTGCCTCTAATTCCAGCGCTCAGGGCCGAAAGATGATGTATTGGCGGCTTGACAGTAGAGTACAAGCCCATCAGAAAGAATAAGGTATCTTCAGCATCGAGAGGTAGTTTGTTGGTATTATTGCGTGGTTGTGAGTGTCCTGGTGGATGGATTGAAATCTCTTCTCATGAAGTGAGGTTAGAAAATACTGAGGAGGCTCTGCGGCAAGTGGATCTTCGTAAATGCAAGCTTTGTCATTCTTCACATGTCAAATGCCCCGGTTTAATCCGTGCCACCAAATGATTATATCATGTTGGATCCACACTTTAAACAATGTTTATATGTTTCAAACTGTTAATAAGTCTCAGTTATTTTAGTTTTCTCTCGTCTAGCGTGATGAGCAAAATAATTTACCAACCTTTTCATTCTTTAGGTAGCGAGGTTTCGAAGCACAAACGACATATAGGTATGGTCATCATAAGTAATGAGTATTTCAAGTCGGTTTCAAGTGCTGGATGATAAAATTGTAATTTATATGGAGTCGTAATTCTTGAGTACTATGACAGCTTTCTATCCGTGTTCCGAAAATGCTTGGTATACCAGAAAAACTCTTAATTTGTAACACTTCCACCTGTTCGAATCGTACGCAAACACTCTCGTGGCCCTTTCATCCGAACGTTTTGTTCATAAACTGATGAGCTAATTCAACACCAAGGAAAGTTGCCGCATTTGCAGGTACAGCTCTCGCAAGGGCTGGTCCAAATCCAGGAAAGAAAGCTTTGAATCCTCCATTCTTATATAACCCATTTATAACCCCTGAGACAGTTGGCTTTCCATCCATAGTTTGCAATCTGCTCTTCACTGTATCAATTGGGAAAACTGGTATCCACATCGCGACTCCCGCAGCAGCTCCCGCGCAAGTGATTGCCACCAAACTTAGATCTCCGCTCGCCTTCCCAGTGGTTGGGTCGACTGGTGTCAGCCTTCTCTTGATATATTCGTATGTCGCGAAATATGCTGCGGAACCTGGACCATCTCTTGCCAGAGTCGCAAATGAGCCTCTAAAGACTGATCGTACTCCTCCCTCTTTATACAATTGACGTACAACGTCAACACCGCCACTATATTTTGGCTTCTCTCCCGGTGCCAGCTGTTTCTGACCCTGTATTTGAAGGAGGACCTTCACTCGTTCGAATGGTGCTGTGATAAGGGTCATGGGTATCGCAGAGAAGAATCCAGCGGCGGAGACCTGTGCGACTGAAAGTTGATCATTTCTGACGGTGGAAAATCTGCGTACGAGCCCTTTACCAACATCATATCCCCAGAATGATACCGCGACTGTATCCAAATTTTAGTTAATTGATCCCATGGGCCAAGGGGATATAGCAATCTTACACATAGGAGTTACGCCTACTAAAGGCGCACTCACGCCAGCATATAAACCTCTTCTTAATCCATCTCTCGCGATAGCCTTCTTTACCACGTCAAAAGCTCCGTTGTAGACCCCCCGCTCAGCCGTTTGCAGTCGAACCTTGACAAGATCAAATGGGTGCCCAACGATTACAGCGCATACACCTCCAAAGCCCCCCGCAGCCAGACTCCTCAGGCCCTGCAGAGACTTCTGCGCGGCGACCTTCGCATCTTCTTTCAACTCAGCTTGCGATTCCGGAACTTGTGGGAGCTTGTCTGCAACCGCTGCAGGCAGCGTGTCGAGCTTCTGATTGATTTTAGCACCGGTCGAGGAGCTGGAGGACGACATGACGAGCACTGCAAGCTCAGAAAACACACACAGAGAAAGGTTGGGGGTGAAGAAGGATTTGTTTTCAAGGGAATCGGTTTCGGCGCGTGGGTGCTGGTGGATATTCAGCCGTTTCGCACAAAAGGATTGCCGAGGTGTTTTCAGAGGGAGCTTCCCCAGAATTCCCCTTGAGCGAGAGCCGAACCTTGGCTTCAACCTTCAAGCCGACCACGACGAACTTCTAAGAAACGCATGAATAATATCAACAACACTGAATATTATCGTTTGATGCACTCCAAATATTTCTCCGAGATGCGTGTGGACCTTCTATTCATTGGTCGATCTCTATAAGATACCCTGAAGAGAGCCGAGAACCGCAGCTACGGCGATCATCGTTTCTGAACGCATTAATGTTCGGTTTGGTACAGAATTTGGTAGAGTTTGGGAGAGGTGCTCGCACCTCGAGATGTTTTTTCGTGGAGAGGCTGTGTCAACTCTATAGCTCTATATCTCCAAATTCTGATCAACATTCAATTATAGGTATCCATGGCCATCCAGCGTCTCATCTGAGCCGTATTTGGCGATGGGAATCAGGAACCGCTAATCATTGGCTACATACCTACCCAGGTACCTATTTCTTGAGTTAAGTGACTCGGTCTAGAATCGTTTCTACGTAGGTAAACGTCAGGCTCTTCCCCATCGATGCATAGAAGCAAAGGGAACGCTAAATTTACTCCAGTACAGGTGTACAGTTCGTATACTATATGTCTGTCTAATTTAGGAAAAGGAAACTTTCAATTAGCAGGTGAGACAATTTCTTTGCGTTCCAAGTGTGTATTCTAGGGTGGCTAACGTCTGTCTAGTTGATTGTAGAAAATAATATCACGGGACTATAATTTAAGCTAGTGCTTCCTTCTCGTAAGATATTGCATTTTCGAATGCTGCAGTAATACCATCATACAACTTGTTCGTTTCTGTAAGCGAGCTATTTGTTCCGGTCCAAATGTTTCCGTCTTCATGTATTGGAAACAAAATCCGACGGAACTCTTCAGCGAGTGGTCTCAGGGAATAAAATTCAGGAGGAAATTCAGCTAAGATGATGCTGGCAAAGTGGTTCTTGTCCATGTCATGAGACTTGAGTTTTGCTGAATCTTCCCAACTGCCTTGATTCCATTCTCGAAGCCGGCTTGTTGGTGGTGGCAGCTCTTTGCGATTCGAGATTACTATGCGCAGAAAAACGTAAAGAAAGGACTCCAAATCATGTCGATACCTGTGTGGTCTGCATTTTAAAATCCCAATAGACATGAAAGCTCGAGTGCCTACCACTTCATTCGGTGTCCTTGGTCCAACCATTAAATTCATTGCCACATCAAGATCTATCAATAATCCTTTCGGGTCCCCCTCTTGTTGAGGTTCCGCGATGATGATATTACTCGCAGCCACATCTTGATGCAAAATTTTGGCGTCTTGCAAGAGTGACCTGTGGGCTTTGACAGCGTCTCGAAGGACTTCAAGCAATTCCAGGCGGTTCTTGAACGTTTCGAGAGGTCGACCCGCAGGAGAAGTAACTATGCAGGTAAAAAATCGATTCTCGAACGGCTTCGTTGTCTCTTCTGTTTGATTGATGATACCACCGGGAACTGATCCCTCCGTGACGTTCTGGCTTGACCGTAGCTTTCGATATGTTCCAATCTGCCTGCCCTGGCGGAGGCTTGCTGTCTGATCTATGGATCGATCGTAGTCAATTGAGACAACTCCCCACACACTATTTTGTTTAGCAAGCCATAGAAACTCCTCCTCGGGCCGCTTACTCGTCGGACGCCACTTGAACTTGACAACATAGTCCCACTGCTTCGATTCGGTTCTTTTCGCGCGGTAACAGGTGGTCCCCTCACCGACAATATCCTGTGAACTGGCGATTGGTTGATCTTCCAAATACAGATTCTGAACTGAGGACTGTAAGGAAATGTTGATTGTTATATATCTACCCACCGCATCCACTTTGAGAATATCACTTATTCCTAGATCTTTCTCCGTCATAAAGCAGAAACTAAGAACAAGGGCAGAGAAGCGCGAGAAATGATCCTGCCAGTTGAATCCATCACCACAGTATATCCCGGATCGATCAAACGTCCACAGCTCAACCAACGATCTCCGTATATACAAGGCATGCAGGTACAGGCGAGTGGGCTGGCTTGCAAAGACTTGTTGCGCATGTCTGCACAGCAACAAAAGACCGTCCCGATACTTAGTCAACCCATCAAGACACATGTGACCTACAGCATTAATATTACACCAATCAGTTTCGGCAGTCGCATTGAGCGATTGTGAGCGAGTGAGAAGTAGAGACACGCCGATATCAAAGTGGCTGGTGTACCACGAGTTGAGTGGACAAGAGAGTCGGCTGTAGGGAAAACTTGAGAACCATCGAGGTAGCTCGTGAGGAGAAGGTGCCCTCGAACACAGATTGAGATCCTCAACTGCCCTGGCCGAACTTTCAGTCACTGCGGTTCGAAAGAAGCTGGCGTTGCGGGCAGGAGTCTCCGGGCCATGGATGAATTCCTCCACGTTCTGAAGAATATCATCTAGTTCTTGAGTCATGGTTCTAGCAACAATGGTGCAGATAAGAAGACGGCCTAAAATACGGTGTTTTGATCTTCGCAGTCTTTGACAGGGACCTCAAAGAGGTGCGAGTTTACAAACTGTTAGACACGTTGACCCATGTTCCGATGGCTGATCGAGAAAGTTTCGACTGCCGACAAGAATGAGGTGTTCTGCCCAGGTGCAAGCGGTCACCTCAACCGTGGTTTTGAGGTGGTTGGTTGTGTCGTTGTGTCAGGCCGTTTTTCTATAGCCGAAGTTTACCCGTCCCCGAAACACAGTCCGGTGCGGTCCGGACCTGACTGACACATGGCGGCCAGCGTTAGACAGCGATACTAGCGCACCCTTGCCAACGGTCTTCCAGCACTTTATATGATTGCAATTCTTATTTCCCTCTCTCACGATTCCAGGCCTGCCCTTGAGAATAAGATGATTCGGGCAGCAGTATCCATCGTCACACTATCATATGTCATCTAAGAATATCTCCACCGCGTTACAAGTTCCCCCCACGAGTCGGGTCGCATTGGGTAAAATGTGGTATTATACCTAAGGATGGGTGGGTGGTGGCCAGCGAAGCTACCATGGTACGCACCACGATGCAGAGAACGAGGCGAGCCAGCTGCACGTTGAGAATAGCATCAAATGAAATCCGACCACCACCACTCTTCCTCCCACCGCTCCAAACGGCTGCAAGTGCGGATAATATTCCCGCCATACTTGCGCTCCAGAAACAGCGGGAGCGAACCAGGGCGGATCCTGAACAACGCATACGCTGTTGTTCGGTGATCAATCACGCATGAAAAACGAAAAACCTAGCGAACCTATACTATATCCACGCTTTTATAGGTTGCGCCAATCGACCTGGTTCGCAAGGCACGGTGAGTCTGCAAGAAGCATCAATAGTCGTAAGAAAAGCTCTTCTGTTCCTTCTTCTCACATCGACTGTCTTTTCAATGATTTCTGTCCCGCATCACCATGTCGCCTAACTCTCGTCCCCCTTTAACCTCGCGCATCAGAGCCAGCTTCGAAGGAAAACGTACCAAGTCCGAGGTGACCAGCCCAACCACGAATGGCTTTGTCTCACAGGATCCAGAGGCGTTTCGAAACGCTATCGATGCTGCCATCAACAGCGAGTCCTTCCAGAATGCCATTGCTGCGAACTTGGCCCGAATAATAAAGCCTTCCATCAAGGATGCGCTCGATACTCTGCAACCGCTGGTCGAATCCGTCTATTCCCACGAGGTGCTTCTGCGAAAGACAAACAAAAGCGTGGAAAACATACTCTTGCGTATTGATACACATAACACTCGAAATGGCGGAGAAATCACCCCTCGAACTCCACGAAGTCCGAGCAGCCCGACTGGGTCGGGAGATTCGTCAGGTCTCCAAGATATCGAGCAGTTTAAATCGTCGCTGGAGAAGAACAACAAGCGGATGGTGACTGGTATGGCTGAGCTTTCGCATGCGGTGGAAAATAACAACAAGAAAATACAAGACGTAGTGGAAGGAATTGGCAGTTTGCAGTCTACTTTAGCGCCCACCAAAGACAACCTCGAATCCCTGAAGTCGCATTCTGAGCAGTCGGTCACCACTACAGCTGTCGTACAGGCTCAGTTGGATCAATTGAAGTCTGATCTGGGACTGGTCATCGAAGCTGTTGGGTCAGATCTTGGCAAAAATGTTCACTATCTCAATCAACAAGTTGCAGACCATCATACTGTCGATGCCAGTCATATAACCAAGCTCAACGACATATCCACAGATATAATAGCTATCAAGAGCCAATCAGACATGCGTGACAAGCTGGAAACCCTTTCAGCGGGGTTCACTTCATTAAAATCTGCCATTGAGAATGGTCTGACCACAAGTAACGATAATCTTGTAGCTCTCGGATCTCAAATCAAAAGCATATCAGATGCCGTGGGAACTCACGGGGGCGTCCTTTTTGAGATCAAAGCCCAGAGCGGAATGCCAGAGCTCTTAGCTGCGGTTCAGCAATCCAACGAAACACATGCATCTCATGCTAGCTTGCTAGGCGAGATCAAAGAAGCTTCCTTACGATCGGCTTCGGAGCCAGCCATAACTTCTTCTGGTGGAAACTCCGAGGAACTGGCTGCCTTACAAGCATTGAGGTCTGATCTCGCTGCCCTCGGAGGGAGTATTGAAGTTGGCCTTTCGTCACACAGTCAGGATCTCAGCGGTGTAGGCTCCAAAGTCGACAGCTTACTGTCGGTCGTTGAGACATTTCGTAGTGCAGACCGGAGTGCTGATATACTTGCTGCTGTTCAGCAATCAAACCAACACCATACTTCACATGCGGAGGCTCTCGTAGATCTCAAATCAAGAGCAGCTGACAGTCCAGCTTCAAATGTGCCTACTTATGACATTGATTTTGCAGCCTTGGAAGCTCAGGGCGCAGAGATATTGGCTGGAGTAGAGAAGTCGAATGAAAACCACATCTCCACCGCCAAAGCTTTAGAGGAGATCATCTCCACCAGTGCTGCGGCGTCCGCTGCGCCAAATCCCTACGAGAATCATTTCGCAGATTTAAAAGCAGGCATCACTTCTGTTCAGGGTGCATTGGCCTCCCAGTCCGGCAGTCTAGAAGAGATAAAGATGGCCAGTCTCTCTACCAGTCGGGAAATCGTTCCTGTCGAAGCGAGTGGTCAGACTCCCGGAGACCTTCAGATAGAAATTGGCACTGTCATCGATAAGCTCGACAAACAGGCGGAGCTTCTGAACGAATTAAAGGACGACGTGAGTGCTGAGATACTCACTGCGTTGCATGATGTTGGCCAGGCTCAAGCAAGTCACAGTACACTTCTGGCGGAGATAAGAGAAGCCGATGTTAGCGACGAGATCCTTACCGCTCTTCATTCATCAATGGACGCTCATTCCAGCCATAGTGCAGATTTGGAGGAACTCAAGACGAACATAATCAATCCTGTTGATGAGACGAAAGATAATAGTTCAGAAGTACTAGGAGCTCAAGTTTCCGCTCTTGCTCTTTCTTTGGATGAACACAAGGTTATTCTGACAGATATCAAGGATGCTACGCATGCCTCGAATGGATCTCACGCAGCTCATGCCATAGTACTGGAGGAGCTGAAGGCTGATCAATCACGCGATGTGAATAATGCTGACAGTCTGCCCAGCCAAGATGATGCAGCCATTGTGACACATCTAACTTCGATCATGAATACACTCGAAGCTCAAAATCTATCATTAGCAAAAATTGAAGAGCTGAACGCAAGTACGGATGTTCTCACAGCTGTCACAGAAAGTCGCAAGACCATCATTTCGACCCATGATCTATTAGATTCTCATACCACACTCCTCGAAACAATACGTAACGGCCAAGCTCACGAAATTATCTTAAGCAATGTGTCGGAATTGAGAGCTGTGGCAGATTCTTCGAAGTCCGGTATAGATTCACAAGCGGCTTTAGTCAGAGAATTGCAGGATGAGATGAAGAACTCCCACTCCGCTCTTGCAACTTCCATCAGCGCATTGGCCTTTGGAGAGTCATCTAGTCCAGCTGCTGCACATAGCAACAATGACAGGACGACGGAGGTTCTCGAAGAAGTGAAGGCTGTGCGAACTCTGGTTGAGACTTCATCGGCCTCGATCGATACTACAAAGGACATTGTGACCACGATTGCGTCTCAGATAGAGATCAACCATACTACAGTCACAACTAGTGTAACAACTCTGAGCGATGAATTAAAGGCAGAAATGGATGCGACTGGGACACAGCTTTCTGACAGCGTCGCTGCTCTAAGCGGCGACCTCCGAGCAATCGACATAAGCATTGTGAATGGTAGTCTCGCGCAATGCTCTAGTGAGATCAAAGACTTGACTAGAGAAATCGGGGCTCTCAATGAAAACGCCCAAACAACTGGTCATGATGTGGAAGCTCTCAGATCCGGCGTTCACTTCAATGAAATGGGAATTGAACAGTTGAAGGAGCACGCTGCCTCCAGTGTGAGTGGTGCCACCTTGTCCGAGGGCGCTTGGTTTAAGAAATCCTCACCTACTCAGTCTTCAGCAATGGAAGATAAATCATACAACTTTTTGTCCCCAGTGCCCGAGGAACAAAGTCCAGCAAGAGAAGAGGCTCCTGAAATTATATCTGAGAACGCCGAAAGTGCTCCGAAAGCCGAATCGACAATTACCGAAACTATACCTGGTCCCATCGACAGAGTGTCCTCTGAATTCGACGAAGCCCCGACTGCAGAATCTGCAACTGAGCTTCCAGCTAGTACCAAGGAGAACAATACATCGGTAGAACCTTCTCCTGTCCCTGAGATCGACGAAGATGCGACGAAGGGAGAAAGAGATGTAATCGAGGATGATCAAGACATTCAAAGCGTCCAAAGCGTCCAACACTTACCGGTTGACGTGGTCGAAAACGAGGAAGCGCTACAGGCGACGGATGATAATGAAAACCACGCCGACGTTCCTGGTCACCAAGCTCATTCGATCGACATGAATTCGCAAGCCGAAATAGAAGCAGCTGTCGAGACCCAGATGGAAGTCGAGGAAAAGTTACCTTCGGCCCAGCCCATTTCTGATGAAGACGACCCTTTTGAAGAAACGCCTGTAGATGATATTAAAGACACAGCAGATACTTCAGACACGCCAAAATCCCCAGTCTCTTCTATTTCAGGCGACATCGGAAACGAGCCTGTGTTGGGATCAAAAACTGACCAAGTGCCACTAGACGCAACTGAAGAGGAATCCGAGTTGCCTGGGCAGCCGCTTTCATCAGAAACGATCACTATAGCCGACGCCAATCCATCACAAGACGAAACACCTGCGGATGAGCCTCCGATGACTGATACGATGGCCGGCGAAGACACCGTGCGCCCTGGGTCTCCTGTATCGTTACAGCCTAATGTACCAGATGCAGATGAAGCTGAATCTTTTGATGTTGCTTCTCCGAACTCGCCTTCCTCCCCAACGGAAGCTGGTTTCGAATCGGCATCTGCGTCGACAAGTGCATTCGCATCGCCAAGCGGCCCTCTGTCTCCCCTCTCGCCGACAGGCAAGAAGGGGAAGAAGGGAAAGAAAGAGAAGAAAGAGAAGGCGCCGAAGAAAAAGAAGGAGAAGGTGCCATTTACGATGGATGGAGACGAGCCTGATGAATAGTACGCCCGTTTCCTTGCTAGTCGACATATTGGTAGTATGGGTGGCATGAGAATCTCATCCTGATTATGGAAATCACGGCGTATAGTGGGCGTCTAACCGAAAGTTGGGCCAGGAATAGGACACTGCTAAAACCGCAGAAATTCTTTATTTTTTTTCTTGGGACATGTTCTGTATCCAGAATTTTCTTGGTCATTATCACCGTCGACACCCACTCGGTTTTCTTTAGTCCGTATTTATCATATCAGACTCGACGTTCTGATTTCTTATTGGTGTATACCGATTTGCAGCCTTTTTGTTTCTTTTCTTGAATATACCATGCCTTGAGACATATCTCGGGAATCATTTAGGGGGAGCAAAAGATGATGCCAGGATGGCATCGCATAACAACAGACTGCTTCTAGTGTTTCCATTTCCTTTTTGAGGTGTTAGGCTTGTATTCGCTTCTTCGTCGTTATCTCTGATATATATTTTTTGGTTGGAATGATTCGTTTGTAGTTGGCAGTACAGGGTTAGAGATGGGACCGTGAAGGGGCCGGGGAGTAGTAAATACAACTTTTATCAAAGAACTCAACTTCTGTCTTAGTGAAATGGCTACAGGCCGCTTGAGAACAATGCAGTATCATCACTGTGTCAGAAATAAGATCCTTTCGCTATGAGTGTATATTACGATACGACAAATGCTGGGTCTACCTCCTGCTGTTTGTTTAGCAAACAATTGATTTAGGGCTCCGCTAAATCTAAATCGCCTTTTTGATAAATCTCAATCGTTATATGATATACCGAATAAAGCTCTAATAGTAAGGTACAATTCTATTAGAATTCTATCGTCTATAATATATTTACTATATATAGTAGTTATTAAGTATCTAGGTAGTAGCGCCAATTAGGTACCGTAAAAAAAGAGTAGATATACAGAATATCTTAGTTTACTCGAAAACATTTATTTATTGTTAACTTTAAAACTCTACGTTACAGTTATTAGAGATTAAGAGTATTTGTATAAATAGTTAACTTTAATATTCTATAATAAAACTTTAAGAAAAGAGAGACAAATAATAAGAGAGTACTAAAAAATTATACAACGATTGAGATTTATTAAAAAGGCGATTTAGATTTAGTAGAACCCTTGATTTATCACTAGTTATTTATACACCGGCTTGGACAGCGTGTCTTTGGAGCCACCTGTTCAAAGCATTTCTCTGGCTTTTCCTACTGTGAGTGGTCTTGGTTGGACGAACGCTTTATCGAGTGAAACCGAATTACCAAATTCTTTCATACGATTCATATTTCTGCCTCTCTGTCGATTACATTTGCCCTCGGCTTTCACGCTGTGCAGAATGCCACAGCGAGTTTGGTGAGTAGAATACTAGAAGCTTTTAATCTCACTGGCTCCAGATAAAGCTTCTGCGATGGTTCACTTCCTCCAGAAAGGCAAAAGAACTTACGGTTTTATAAGACTACCAAGTTGAGCTACTTGTGATACCATTTCACCCCCATTCATCATATCCACACATGGGAAATGCTACTAGAAGAAATTAAATCATTTAAATCGTAATTCGTATATGCTAATGCTCGCTATCAAACAGTACTGCCTTTATTTACAACCTTCCCATTATTCTTGCCCTTAAGTCTTCCCCAAAGTGACGCTTGCGGTTTCCCAACATCGTTATGCAGAGCATCATTTGGTCTTGTACGTTGGTTGATCTCGCTCTCTGGCAAAGGCATTTTGACATCAGTAAGCTCTTGATTGCCCACGCTTATCCCTTGCGGTATCGGAGCTTTGACATCAGTAAGTCTTTCATCTCCGGTTTTCGTTCTCTCCGGCGGTCGTGGTCTTGTTTCTAAATTAGTTGCGAACGCGAACGATATCGCGCGTCTGGGACTCGGTGTCCTTGGTTGGCGGGGTTCCAAACCAGGGGAAGTGACGAACTGGCCACTCCGCTGTATCATGCCTTCCCTTGCACTCATACTTCTGCCTGTGCCTTCAATCTTGTTTGGTCGTCCCTTCCGTTTTACAATATCTGGCTCAGCTTCGGATTCGGAGGTCAGACTCTCGCTTCGCTCGATCCGTCTTGTACGTCTCTTCCAGTGCAAGTACGATGACACGGTCTTGGCCGTGTTGCGCCAGAATCTCATCCCAGCATACGTATTCATGGATCCAACGAGAAGGAAACATGGTAGGCAGACTGAGGCGAGAACCACGCCGAAAGGCCAAAAGTGAGGTTCTGTCGACATATTCGTCATTCCAAATACCGACGTTACGAAGGTTAGCGGCAGAAAGAAGATGTTGACCAGAGTCAGGAGACGAATATTGATTCCTTGGTTCACTGTTATCTCAGCCATTTCTACACTTTTACGGCTTTCAAGCACGCTCGTTCCGGAGAATAGGTTGTCTCGAAGATCACGAATTTCTTTACGCATTACATCGTTTTCAGAGATGAGATTCTTGAGACGTTTTATCTCAACCGTAAAGTCCTTACGGAGAGATGCCATACGCTTCTTAAAATAAATGTTTCGAGCGGAAGTGTCGTCAGAGAGAGGCCAGAGGGTCGGATGTTGACCAGACCAGACGGAATCGGTAAATGTATCTTCGTATGCATCGATGATCGCTTTGATGGATTGATTCATGGTTCCGAGGGTCTGGAAAGCCCAAAAATAGCGCCTCGAATAAGTGAAAGCCGCATCTTCGAAGAGTAACCGATCCCTTAGATCGCCATTAAACATAAAGTCTGCCTGGTTTTAGGTCAGTATGTATAATCACAAGAAGAAGGAAGAAGTGTTGATTACGGGTGGGGTGATAAGTTTTCCAATCCGCTGACAGATCTCGTCGAACCTCTTTTCAGCGTCCTTAATCTCTACCAATAATGTATGCAAGAATGCCTCAGGGCCGTTAACATAATGTTTCGTGGCATCATGACTTCCGGTGTTACTTTTCCAATCCGGGTAGCATTCGATATTCAATACGTGCCACGGACTCCATGGGCTATATACATAGCCATATTGCGTCTTGGCTCTTCTTGCACTATTTCGGAGTTTCTTGATTGGGTCCCCAACCAGCGCAAGAGCAACTATCGAGGAACAACGTGTGATTGCGATGTGCCCATCCGGACGGTCCTTTTCGCGGTCAGACTGTTGCCATGACATTGGTTTGCAATCATCACCTATTATGGTGAAGAATTCAAAGGAAAAGATAAATGACTTTTGTTTAATGGGATCCTTATGGTAAGCACGCTTCATCATGTATGCCTTGGTTGACTGTTAGTCTGTGTCGGGATTTAGAAAGAGAGAAGATAAATCGGCTTTACAGTAGTAGTTTCTTGCAAGACTAGGTGCTTGAATATCTCATCCATATCGAACACATTACTCATCGCCAAATGAACGGCTCCGAAAACGATTGGTGATGGCTCTCGAAGGATCCTAGTTAGATTAGCACTAAAAGCATTTCCATAGTTCGGAGACCTACGTGATTCTACCAACAGCTTTTCTCAGCCTCGAGTCGTCCATGTTGATATCCTGTTGCTGTTAGCTGAGCAGCTTCGAGCGTTGGTCACGTGCCGTACCTTTATCAAACGCCAGACAATCTGGTCCTTCGGGACGTCTTTGAAAGCAGCATTTGGGCCATGAAGAGGTAAAGGCGTCCCGTCATTTCCAACATCAAACACTTGGTACAGAGAATAATGGGCGCCTTCCTCTCCCGGTCTCTGGCCTGGTGGGAAGAGCGTTGAGCCTGCAACAGCTCCATGCTTCAAGCGGCCAGTCCTCGTGAAACAACTCTTCAGTATGGCGGTCGAGTACTCGTCCCAGGGATATGATACCATGTGCGTTCGTAACTCTTCATCACTCAGGGAGGATTTTGCAAGGGGATCCTGCACGAACAGAGCCTCGTCGTCTTCCGAATCCGACGATGCATCTCCTGAAATGAAAGACGTCTTCTGCGACGGATTGATCGAGATGCCATCCCCATTGCTCACGGAGAGACGGGGCAATCTATGGGCTCGTGGCGACGACGGTGCTAAGGTGGGTGAACCAAGCAAGGTTGACGTCGGCGCAAGCGACGGAATTGAACCTGCGGTGACAGCCTGGCGTAGGGCGTCATGAAGTTGTTCGAGGGTAGTCAGATATGCGTCTCGCTCGGCGTTCAACTTTTTGAGTAACTCGGCTGTCTCCATTGTGTGACATTTTCAACCAACGTTGTACAGGGAAGAAGTGAGGATCCATCGCAACGAAATTGAGTTCGTTGATGAAGTGGAAATGATTGTAAAAGTGGAAACCTGCTTGGCAGTGTGGAGGTAAGTAAGCTCAAGCAAATGTTTGGGGGCGTGGCAAGGTGCAAGGCTCCCGGGGATAAAGCCTTCTTGGTCATAGCATCAGGTTACTCGCCACGATGATCAAGATTCATTTGAATTTGACTTTGATTAGTCGCTTTGTAATATTCAACTCGGAAATATTATTAAAAAAACAACAATTCTATCGGGCAGAGACACTATTGTGTATCTACACTTACCTGGTCAACCCTCCTGCGAATAATGCAGCCTCTAGTTTGGTTTATTATTTGCACTTAGACTCTCCGCAGAGCCAGAGTCCCTCTTGTTGCAGGCTTTTATTGAGTCTTTTCAATGAGGTCTGATTGTATCTGTCCTTAAAATTTTGTTACACTTGTTCGACAACTTAGTCGATTCTTGCGAGTAGGGATTCAATTTAGTTTCATAGAGTTATTTTGACCATCCAAAACGCTATGCAAATGTCTTCGTTTTCAAAAGTCTGCTTCGAGATCATTGGCACCAGCGTAAGTAGGGTCGAAGACACCGTCTACTCACTTCTTATCATTGCCAAGCTTACCCCCTTCTGGTTCTGTGTTATTCAAGCACTTCAAAACTTTAAACCAATCGACTCTGACCATCCAAACTAACATGTAACCGTAAATGATGCCGGTAGAATAACAGAAAGTAAGATGTCGCTGACCTCATCCGATGTATTCTTGTTTCACAGCCGTGGGCAAAAGTGTAGCTATTGCAACTCAGATATGAGCCAACTAGCTTACGGTGTCGTGAGTTTGAATAGTTTTGTTCAATAGATCTGAACACTTACAACTGTGTTTCGAATTGTATACACGACTACATTTCATTCATCAGGGTAGTCGGCTGGGCACTAGAAATTATCACGACTATTAGCCGATGATTTTAACACAAAGTCTGTATTGTGTATTGTGTATAATAGCTGACATCAATAAGACCGTAAATTCCGGATTTTTCGAATTCTATTTCGCTATAATGTTTTAAAGTCAAAATCCTATACCTTGCAGATACATGCGCCAAACTCCAACGCTACGGTCCTCAGATGCTCTTTCGGTAATGAATGGCCACATTTCCCAGTGTCAATATGTCGATCCGAAAAATCAGCTTAAATCGCTACTCTCACTTTAATTTTCGACTAGGTTTGTGTACGTTCATTCACAGTCCACCGGCGTTTTGGACCTGTATCTCGATTTCTCTCAGCAACTCCTGGAGGTCTCGGACTTCCCCAGAGGCCCAAAGGCGCAACCTCATCCACTTCGTGGCCTTCCGCAACCTCTTGTGTCACCTTTTCAGGAGGTGGGGGAGATGGGTGGTTTTCTTGAGAGTCTTGGATTGCAGTACCGTCATTCCCGAAGTTTATGATCATATCGTCTTCGAGCTCCTCTGGCGTCTCCTTCTCTTCGGTTGGCGTCGCACTCCAAAGACCAACCGAGCTCTGTCTTGTTGGAACATAGCTTCGTGGCTGAGAGCTTGCAATACTGGCTGTGCGACGAATACTGCCCAATGAAGCAGCAGCAGTAATAGGTCGTGCTTTATTTGAATCGTGGTGGGCAGTGGTACTTCCGAACCTCTCACGGAAAGATCCACTCACAATGGAAGATGACCTCGAAGCAGTTGGTGTTGAGGAAGTACTGGTGTTTCGAAGATGTTCAGTATTTGCTATAAGTTTGACGTCATATTCGTCCGAAATGTTCACCAGCCTCGAGGTTCTTGGGGACTGAGATTTTGGTGTTGCGCCTGGAGTTGCTGGCGGAGTATTTTGTGCATCAGGTTTCCGCACGGCCATAGTGAGCGATGTCATTCCGACGTCGAGTAAGACAGGCTGATTCGTCAGAGCTCCAATAAGAGCATTGCAACCTGCCCCATGGGTTACTAGAATGAGGACCAAATCGGTGTCTTCTTCTTCCACATGATCCTCTTGGCCAGGACTCAGCGCAGCAGGACTGCTTGGACTCTTTTTCGAAAGCTTCCCTGGATCGTTATCGTTTTGATACCAGCCCACCATCTGCTGAAGACCTTTTCGGAATCGCTTGTGCATTGAACTCCATTCTTCACCGTACTCACCACCATTTCCCCACAGGTGCGGTTCACGCATACTGTCCCATTGATAATCGACGTCAACGCAAGCATCACGAGAGTGTGCTACATATCCTTGGGGAATAGGGTCAGAAAGCGAGATCGCATAGTTTGGAACGGGAGGCTGATATACGCCGTGCTCCGCAGCCGATTGTAACGATGTGCCGGCTCTAGCACTATGATGACTGTTGTGACTTCCGTTGGTTCCCACGCTACTCAGACTACCAGTTCTGTCTCTCCGGTGTAGCGCTTGACCTAACGCCGACATACTTGACAGAGGTCCTTCATCTTTGTCCTGCTCTGCAGCGACCACCGGGCTTCCCCAACCGCCAGGGAATGGTTTCTGGTGTCCACCGACGATAGCCTCCTTTTGATTGGTCAAGCCGGAGTAGTCTTCTCGCCGCAAGAGATCTGCTTTGGCTCCTGCTACCATCATCAAGGAGCTAGGTGGGGGAGTGATAAGCTCAAAATAATCGGGGGTGAGCCACTCGCCCAGGAAAGCATCGATTCTGATGGTGGATTTCTTGATATCGGGCGGCTTACTACCAGCCAGCGCAGGTTCTGGGATAGGTGCCAGAGAGGGCGAACCTGTGTTTATGGTCGGCCTCATTTTGGGGGACGAATGCATGGCCTTGCCAGTTGTAGAATGGGCAGAGTGAGGTCTCTGGTGGCTATGTCCGGGATTTTGAGCCAATCCGGCACTGATGCCAATCGAAGTTTGGACGCATCGTAAAAATGGCGAGCTGTGTATGATGACCTTGTGTCTCCGTTTCCTTCGATCGCCGCCAGATTTTCCATCGTCGTCTAGAGGAGAGATAACTTCGTCGTCGGTCTCGCGAGTCCGTAAAATATTAGCAATACGTTGTCCTAGTGCTCTCGACTGGCTCCATCCACCATAGGTGAGAGGAGGGTCGTATGGCGTCGGCGACGTGAGATGCCACTGCTTATCAGCGGCATCCAGACGGGCACCGTGTCTAGAAGAATGTCAGCTATTGTTTGAACACCAATATCAGAAGAGTTCGCGCCGTGGCCTCCGCGTCATGAGCCAAATTGGCCAGACAAAGAGGCGAAAGGATTTCGACGGCAACAACAACAATAACGGGGTTAATATATACCTGACGACAATCACAACAGCTGGAGGCCAACCCATCACAATATCATCCTGCGTTGTGCGTTGTGCGTTGTGCGTGAGGAGTTCTTTCAGAAGGGGAGGAGTTGCTTCGATGTCGTATTCTGATCGGATCTGCCCAAGATTCTGGCTGAAAGAGGTTGACTGCAGGGTCGAAAGTCCCACATCGAATTGCACCAGATGTCAAGCATTAAGCGGGGCAAATGTAGTGGGGGATCAGAGGCGCGCGTGGCACGGCCCTTAGACGGCGTTGTCCTCCCGCTCGCACGTGATAGCGCGGGACATTGGAAAGCGCGCAGCTGGGTAAGGCAAGGTACCTTGATTGTAAGGCTGACATATGCTTGGTCACAGGAAGCGGATTGTTCTATTGACCAAGGGGCTTATCCAACGAAGAGTTCCTTATATTTACCGTCTACCCCGATAGAAGCTGCAATCACTCTTCCATGGCTTGGTAGCACTCAGCTCGAATAAATATCAACCATGAAGCTCTTCAATCTCCTTCGATTACCTGCGGTGCTCGCTGTGATGCTGGCGGCACCAGTAGCTGTTACTGCCGAACATACGAGTAATTGGGCTGTATTGGTGTCAACCTCACGCTTTTGGTTCAATTATAGACACCTGGCCAACGTGCTCTCGCTATATAGGACGGTGAAACGACTGGGAATTCCTGACTCGCAGATCATCTTGATGTTGCCGGACGACATGGCATGCAACCCTCGAAATGCCTTTCCAGGAACAGTATACAGTAATGCGGATCGTGCGGTAGATCTGTACGGAGACAATATCGAGGTCGACTATAGAGGCTACGAGGTGACGGTAGAGAATTTTATAAGGTTGTTGACGGATAGGGTTGGAGAGGAAATGCCGAGGAGTAAGAGGCTATTGACGGACGATCGAAGCAACATTCTAGTGTATATGACGGGACATGGTGGAAATGAGTTTTTAAAATTTCAAGACGCCGAGGAGATTAGTGCATTCGATCTGGCTGATGCTTTTGAACAGATGTGGGAGAAGAAGAGGTACACACCCTGGAATTAGCCTTTCTTAGATCACACCCCGCTGACAAAATTAACAGGTACCATGAATTACTCTTCATGATCGATACGTGTCAAGCAAATACCATGTATAGTAAATTCTACTCACCCAACATCATCGCTACGGGGTCCTCGGAGATCGATCAATCCTCTTACTCGCATCATGCCGATAATGATGTTGGTGTTGCGGTCATCGATCGATATACCTATTACAATCTCGATTTCTTAGAAACACAAGTCCGAGAACCGAGCAGCAAGCAGACTCTAGCAGACCTTTTTGATAGTTATGATGAGTCAAAAATACACTCACATCCTGGAGTTAGGTGGGATCTGTTCCCAGGAGGCGAGCAAGCAGGGCGTGAGAGACTAGTGATGGATTTTTTCGGGAACGTTCAGAATGTCGAGGTGGATAGTACCGCGGGAAACGCGACGGAGTTTGAAGAAGACTTATTGGCATTGGGAAAGAAGATCGCTGAGATACGGGAGCGAGCTGAAAGACAAGAAGCTGATGAGAGAAACGCTAGCTTACCTGAGCCGCTCCACAGTACCCATACGACGAGAAAACTCAGAGCTACCAAGGTCGAAGCTGACAACAGGTCTTGGGGAAAGACCGCTGTTGGGGTATTGGCTTTATCAGGATGCTCACTTGTCTGGTGGCTTGGATCACAAATGGACTCGCCGGCCTAGAAAGCGCACATTCATACATGTGCTCCAAAACAGGTTCGAAAATTTTGAAATGACAACGAAACCAGTGGTTACAATTACCTTTACTACAAATTTCGTCGATCAGTCAAGTCTACTCCTTTCAAAGGGCTAGAAACATATGGCGACATAAGTTACGAGACGGAATGTTTTTTTGAAACATGTCACCCGAGGTCGTTTACTGGACTGGAACCTATGCGCAAATGTAGAAGTTGAAGCCAACACCGGGACGAGATGGCGGGTCTTCAGTTGGATTGGACGGCAGGACACAGGTAGTGTAAACCAGGATCCTTCCACTCGCAGCTAGAGAGTAAATGAGTAGTACGCTCGGCTCACGTACCGAATAAAACATGTTGGCAGCTTCGACCAACTTGTTTCTGAAACCAATGTTGTGGTTGTAGCGTCTTCCAATATCACCCAACACCGAATCAAACCCATGGGGCCTAGTAAATTAGTTGGCATGTCCGACAAAATTCATAGACTTGAACGCTTCCGAGTCATGGATTAGGAGGGCTTTAGAGGAGATATTAAAATCAAATCATATTCATGCGACTAATGATTACGAGCACTGTCAAGGGCACTGTCAAGGGCGCAAATTGCAGTTTACAATCATGTACTGAACGTAAGAGGCATGGGGTCACACAATCCTACTAATAACTTGTATAATAAACTTGAAACGCAAGTCTCATTACTAAAAGATACATCGAACATAAAGTATTAGTCTCCAAGTAGTACACCCCGCGCCGGAATAAATGCAATACAGAGTACAACGGTTGGGTGATTGACGCAACCAGCCGGCCAACCGCTTACGAGAAGTCAAATCTGTCTGGCAAAACAATCGGCGCAACTAGAGTCCATGTGTACATACTGTAACACACCCAAGCACTAATGATTTTCACCCAACTCGCCCAGTAAGTGCGTCCAATAGGAGCGAAGTCGCTGCCATCCTTCGTTGATTCTTCAATATTCATAGTCAAGAGAGTTGCTACCCATGCAGTGGCCATGAAGAAGATAATGTGGAACAGCGCATAGCTGTATTGTGTCGATGTTCGCTCGTCGTCCTTTGCGGTGTTTCCACTCTCACTGTCGTCGTCGTCATCCTCTAAGAGTGCATCTGCTGGAAGACTTCCTTCCTCAACGGCTTGCCTTAAAGCTGCAGCGCGCATCTCACGGCGGCTATCGGGTTGCTGAGTGACCAAATCATGCTCATCGTCGTCTGGGAGCCTAACACTCTTGCCCTTCCCGCCCAGCGCTACACCCTGAGTGGCAGCACGAGTAGTAGTATAGGCGACGGTAAGCATGGTAACAATGGCACCTATGACGATAGATGTTTTCCGGGTACCTTGTGCACGAATAAGAGGATTGCACTTGTGATCATCGGGTTCCATGGAAACGGCCGACATGGTGAGATAGGTGCAGTAGACGGCGACCATTGCAGATTGAGCCAGTCCAGCTTTAGGGTTGTATTCCTGAATAGCCGGATGTACCGAGATAATGGAGACTATAATAAAGAAAATCCAGTTCAGGCTGATGGCAGTCTGATTCATAGTGCAGCCGCCGCCCGCGAAGAAGATGTACTGAATGATTGTCATAGCAAGCGAGGCTGCATACATGCCGAGCGTAGATCCAATCAATACTCCTCTCCAGACACGAGAATCCGTCGCGTCAATCCTCTCCAGGCAGTACTCAGCCCATGTGTGTGCCAGATCTACGAGCAGGACGAGGCCGAGTAAGAGGAACATGGTGGCTCCAAAAAATGCAATGTAATTACCCCAGAACATAAAGAATGCTTCTGGGATGAAGAACGACACCACGATCAGAGCCAACCAGGCGATGATCTTTGGACCCCAAAATCCGTTCTGGATCGCAGCCCGTGGGTTCTTTGAGGAGTTGACGCCGAGCAGCAGTCCAGCCATTATCAAGTGAAAGATGCCGAGAGCAAAGTTGATCCGATGGACGGCAACCCAACCATAGCATTCCCCGTCCGGACAGCGTATCGTCATGTAATCGAGAGTAAGTTTCTGGAGCTTATTGATAGCCCAAGGTGTGAGCATGATCCACGACAATATGGAGTTGACGAGGAGGATAAGAGCGTAGGCGATACGCGTGGCAACACTATTTGTCCCCATCAGCACTGCCAATAACCGTTTTCAAACCCAAACTGACCTGTTGCCACATTTTCCACAAGCACTGCAGACAGCCGAGCATGTTGCCGCTCCGCAACAGCTTGCTGCGAATCCGATGACCTACAAATCTGTCAGTATTAAGATCCCACCATCTAGGCGCATATCATCGAGCGTACAGTTCCCATGCTAGGCACAGCCAGCAGCGGCAACGAGAGAAGAGCGCCCATGTTGGCGGATGGTACAACAAGATATACGCTGAATAAGAATTACGATTACCGGCGAGAATGCTGGTGGTGTTGGGTGGTAAGAAGCATACGAGTGAAGGAAGGACGACGAGGCCGAGAGCGACGACGTTGTATGATGGGGTTTGCGCCGAGGTGCCAGTGTGAATCAAGCTTAGCGCGCAGATCGGCTCCGCTGCCGAATACCCCCCGAAAATCGGCGTTCAGGGGCCGGTGTCGATAAGCTTCGAAGGCGCCTAGGATGATGGCACCGCTTCTCGTTCGGCGCATGAACTAGACTCCGTCGTGTTATCATCCAACCTCCAAGCCATAGATACGCCCTATCGAGGGATACGTACTACCTCATCTCCCTCATCTTCCTCATCGCACGCCTTTGCACAACTCTGCGTTCCAAAATCCACGATGGTGCCTATGTCCACGCCTTAGACCAGCAATATCTTTCCCCAGAGTCCGCCAGCAATGGTCTTGGTGTAACGAGTCGACACTATCTATCCCACCTTTCGTCATGTCCGAGAATACGCTCAGGACGGCGCGGATTGTGTCTAGCATTGCCGCGACATGTATATCTCTAGCATGTGGCACGAATGTCAGTACGCCTGCCGCAATGTGCGGTGCTATGCTAATTGTGTCAGTACGTCTATTCGGCATGGGGCCCTCAGTTCGCCGAACGACTGAAGCTGTCTTCAACACAGCAGAACCTCATTGTGAGAATCGCTTTGCTCGATACGTCTGACACCAACTAAACATGCATAGGGATTGTCTGGTAATCTGGGCATGTACTCGATGGGAATCCCAGTGGGAATGCTGGTCGACTCGAAGGGACCGCGGATTGCTGTTCTGCTCGGAGCGTTACTACTCGCGGCTGGTTATTTCCCCCTCCACCAAGCATACGACTCAGCATCTGGGTCGCTGCCCTTTTTGTGTTTCTTCTCCTACATGACCGGACTGGGTGGCTGCTTAGCATTTGCGGCTTCAGTGAAGACTTCAGCGCTCAACTGGCCTCAGCACAGAGGAACAGCCACGGGTTTCCCGCTAGCGGCTTTTGGCTTGAGTGCGTTTTTCTTCTCCAGCTTTGCCCAGTTTGTTCTCCCGGGTAATACTGGACATTTCCTGCTGCTGCTAGCCTGTGGAACCTTTGGCCTTGTTTTTGTACCATCTTTCTTCCTCAGAGTCCTGCCTCACCCACATTATACCGCTCTTGCAACCGGAACAGCAAACCGTTTGCATAGAACTAAGTCGGAGGACAGTAAATACCGGGCCGAGAGGGCATCAGAACCAGAACCAGGTAGGTCAGAATTCGTAGTCGAGCATCTCGACCAGAGGATCGCCCTAAATCAACCCCATGTAGGAGCAGAGGCATCTGCGGATGAACCAACTTCCGAAGCAGATGAGACCTCCTCCTTGATGTCGCGAACCTCCTCCTCCTCAAACCCGGGCGATGTTGAAGAACCTGAAGAGAGCATTGTTAAGGATCATGCCCATCGTGTAGATATTCGCGGGATTCGAATGCTACCCCATATGGAATTCTGGCAACAGTTCCTGCTAATGGGAATATTGACTGGCATCGGATTGATGACTATCAAGTAAGGAACAACTCCATGTATGGGCTTTTTACCTGCTAATAATATCCAAGCAACATTGGCAACGACGTAACCGCTCTTTGGCGGCATTATGATGATTCTGTTTCCGACGATTATATTATGAAACGTCAGGCCATGCACGTCTCAATTCTGTCGTTCTGTAGTTTTGCGGGCCGATTGTTAAGCGGTAAATCCACAGCTACCTATGAAATATGTAACGTTATGCTAAACCGGTTTTAGGCTTGGGTTCCGACTTTCTTGTCAAAGTCCTTAACGCATCGCGCCTTTGGTGTCTTACCTTGGCCTCTGTGGTGTTCTTGGTAGCTCAATTGTCAGCGCTGACAATTACCACGCCTTACAATCTCGTCTTTGTATCTTCATTAACGGGGCTTGGCTACGGTTTTCTTTTTGGTTGTTTCCCGGCCATTGTTGCTGAGGCTTTTGGGGTCCATGGCCTCTCTACGAATTGGGGGTTTATGACACTCAGTCCTGTGATTAGCGGAAACATCTTCAACATTTTCTACGGTATGGTCTTTGACCGTCACAGCATTCTGAACGACAACGGAGAAAGAACCTGTAATGAAGGTTTAGAATGCTATCGGAGCGCGTACTTGGTCACTGTTGGCGCATGTGTGCTTGGACTTACAATCAGCTTGTGGAGTATTCGATATACCCATTTGGCTCGGATCGAAGAGGATCGCTTGAAAGATCTCGAGGATCGAGAGGCTTGAACAGAGCTTGATATTATTTTTGAATTTGAATGCGACATATATGGCATAGACCGGCGTTGGGTGGCATAGCGTCTTGGTGTTCCATAGCGGCTTTAATCGGATTGTAGGCAGACTATACTATAGAGAAATCGTATACATACTCGGTGAACCTTACTAAGAACAAGAGCAATGATGATTTGACTTTTGTATCGGTCATATGGTTGAAACATGTGACGATCCTCCAAGACCTAAGAGATAGTTCGATAGCATAAATATTATTACCATGCAGGAAAATGGCATTACTAGCCTTACTCGCATACATGGTTGCTTGTTGAATACCTAGGTAGTTTGTTATTAGACTGATTAATAGTCGGTGGTCCTCCTCTTGCGCCTCCGGCTTAGAGTCGGGGAAACCAAGTGTCCCAGACCAA